CCTTTTTTAAAAAAAACTTTCAAAGAGTATATTTTTGTTAGAAAATTTAATTCAGAAAAAATTATGAATAAAACAAATTAAAACAAAGCATTTTTATCCATTTAATTGTTTATTGCATGTCACCCTTTTTATTCAACATGTGTTTTTTGGTTGTTTATTCAACAGATATCTCATAATTGATTAGAAAATTTGGGATTAAAAAGTTAATTTTTATAAAAATTAAAAAATAAATGAATAAAATATATAAAAAATAATGAAAAATAAATAGATAAAATATTTTAAAAAAATAAAATAAATAAAATGATGAATAAAATATTCATAAATTATTTATCCACTTATTGTAACAAAAAAAAAAGAAAAATTGAACCCTTAATTAAAAATGTTCAAAAAAAAAATAAATTCGGATCAATGCTTATTGTTCCATTTCCAAAATTGTACAAATATTTCCGAAAACCTCAAAATTCCTCACAGTGATTGGATTGGCTTTGGTTTAAACATATTTATTTAAGCTCGATTGCGAAACAAGTTTTGCAACTTATATCACTTTCAAGTCCCCTTCCTGGAACCAGTCAGTACTGGTGTCATATGAACAAACATGGTTGGACCCAACTAGGTCTCGAATCCTTTAATCTCTGGGTTGAGAGGCAGACACCCTAACCACTAGGCCACCCCTCCCCTTAATCCCCTTTCCGTGTATCAATAGTCTGAATTATGTAGATGCTCAAAAGTGCCCTGATATCTATTTTAAGCTCTAAAGAATGTCAAAATGGCAGCACCCTGTTAACTTAGGAATTTTCTCAAACTCATTATATATATGTATTTTTAATTGATTTTAATGTGTTTTCAATTTAATTTATTCACATCATGCATGTTATCTAAGAACGCTTCAGCCCTTGCTGGGCCTATGGCCCTGCTTAGACTTAAGTGTTTTATTGATTGTCAAATACTTAAAACAAATAATATGAAAGTATGCAAAGTCTATGAGTGGGGAAGTCAGAAAAAAAAATATTTCATTTTTTATTTTACATAAATTTTCCATTTCCAAGGTGTCATTCGGTATTTCATGCCAGGCTTCAGTTTTTCATCGGAACACCTTGATGATTATTTTTAAGGCAAAAAGTTGTGAGAAATCCTGCATTGATTGGTCACTCAAAAAAAAAAAAATAATATAATATATTTAGTAAAGGTATGCAACTCGCTGCCCATTTTCTAGCACTCATATGTGAACTCTTTCACTACAATATTTTTCCACCAAATTTCAAAAACAGTAGGGAATTGTTTACTTTTAAAGGGAATAAAGCTGTCATTCCAATGATTTAAGTACTGTAATAAGTAGATATCATCGCAGCTGGAATACAACAGACATTATTATTATTATTATTATATACCACATTTCTATAGCACTCTTTTCATAAATAATAAATGTTCAAGAGTGCTTTACATAAATCTGATAAAACATAATCATATACAAAAATGTATATATATAAGACATAAGGTACAATATTAATTAAGTAAACCTATTAAACAATAATGATAATCTAAAACCAGTAAAGGATGGTAAGAAACACAGACACATTTAGTTTAAAATCAAGGCTCAATTATATTATCCTATAAAAGATTTGAACAAAATAAGAGTGTTAAAAAAGTAACAAACAAGAGTAAAAAAGAAACGAATTATAAAGTAAGACCCTTAGACATAAAATCAAACATGGGACCACTGGGTTTTTGTGAAAATGTGATTTAAAATGAAAACTATCTTCACTTACCAGTGAGATTTCATCTTATCAGAGGCCTAAAAATGGCTTCTTTCCAGTTATGTAGTTTTCCCAAATATTTAATCTTACACAAGTTTTGTTTCTCTTAAATTAGCAATACTATCTTATTTCTTTTCTCCGCTTATTGTAGTTTATTTATCAAACCACATTTATATTCATGTGTATTGTTGATTAATTAAGATCCCAAATGAATTTTATTATTCCAGAAACTACAAGTAGAAACAAGTTTTACTGACCATTCCCACGCAGGCTGTGTAAAATGTGTTGCTATTTCTGGGAAAGGTGTTCTTGCATCTGGAAGTTCAGATGAAACAATAAGACTTCTTAATATAAAGAAACAGAAAGAGTTGGGCTCACTTGTTCATCACAATGGTAGGTTCTTATTTTGTTACCAGTAGTTACCACGTTAAATATCTTATTTGGAAATGTCCATCTTTGAATCTGGACATGAACATTCTTTATTTTTATGTAAAAAAATGTTAAAATGTGTACTGACTGAATTGGGCACATTGCAGACCATTATCAGACAAAGGATTTGTGTTAGCTAATATTGATGTGCTCTGCTCAGATGGTTAGAATCTGTTGTCACACACGCAGGCTAAGGGTTAAAATCTACTGATACATGTATGTACATGTATCCATTCTGATTAAAATCAGCTCCTAAGGATCTGATTGGCACCAATAGGAGATCATCATCTCGTGAGACAAATACATTTTGTAACCATTTTAAACTATGAAGAAGGTATTTTATATGGGTGAAAATTATTATTCAGTATTTGAAAAAGGGATTGCCATGGCATACTTAGTATGTGACAAAGTACCAATTGAATAGTAAGACATGATAAGATAGTAATTCCTCAGTAAATGATAGAGATTGCTGACCGTATTTTTCAAAAACATTGACTATTTTATTATGTTTTCAGGTACTGTAACAAGCTTAGAGTTTCATAAAGGTTTTTTATTTAGTACAAGTGAAGATAAAAATCTGTGCTTGTGGAAAACGTTTACATGGGAATGTCTTAGAACATTCAAAGGACACCAGTGAGTGTTTTACTTTATATCTAAAAAAATTATGTTATATAACATTATTTGTTTGTTGGTGTTTTACATGGCACTGACATAGATAATTATTATATATCATTTATATGACATTTTAAATAAAAACTGAATTTCTACCCACTCCCCCTTCACACACACACTTACATTAACTCTGCATAAATCAAGCACCCAGGGGTAAAACCGCTGTTTTTAAGACCCTTGATAGCGTTCTTTTCATATATAGCCAGGAATTAACCTTGACCACTGATTCCTCTGGCTTATTCTCTATGCTAAGGGTGAAGGGATTTAATTGTTACTATCCTAAGTTATGTTTGAAATACAGTACTACTAGACATTCCATGAGAATTTTTGATGTAACAGACATAAATCTGTATTACAGGGCTGCTGCAGATTGTGTATCTGTACATCCGAGCGGAAAACTTGCCTTGACTGTTGGGCGGGACAGAGCATTACATACATGGAACCTTATAACAGGCAGATCAGCTTATATCACAAATCTTAAACAAGGTATATTAATTCACCTACAGATTCATTTGTGATAGGTGCTCAATTAATCCTTAATTGGCCTAGTGATATTCATTTTGCATGCTGCTATGTTGTTATGAATGATTTTCTTTACTTCTAGTTGAAGATATTATTTAATTCATTGAGTAAACTTTTATACCCTGCACTTACGGCAAGAGGCATAAAGGTTTGCCCTTGTCCATCTATCTGAAGGTTGACAAAGGAATGGAATGTTGTTCATAGACAGGATAGTATTGTTTTTTTTAGATCAATACCTTATAATGATTGGTTTAGACTCGCATCTCTTTATGCCAGAAATTTATTTATAATTTGGTACATTATTGATCAGTTGAGCAACAGACCAACTGTTATAAATCCTTTAACTGTATTTTCACTGAAGTATTAGCCTAGCACAAGTATTATATTCAGGAGATTGTGAGATGGTTTTCTAGCTAGGTTCTACCAAGGAGTAAAGACCTATTGACCAGGCAGGAGCTTTCATGTGCCCAGCATTAAGGGAGTAGTTGCAGTACTGGTCAATTCAGCTCCAGCATAGGGGAATAGGTCCAGTACTGGACAATCTAGCACCAGCATAATGTCACTTGATAATATGTTATGTCAGTGTGCTTAGGCTTCATTTTATTGAAGCAATAGTTTAATAAGTTTGACATTGTTTTTACTACTTCAAGACAACAATCAATGTTGCCTGTATACCTGAAAATATGTAGAGGCAGAAGCTTGAATGAAACACACTCGCATTCTCAAGGTTTTTTTTCACCTTTTTGTTCCACAGTGGCTGAAAATTCCTATTATTCCCAAAATTTTGTCAGTAATCATTCACAATTTGGTTTTTGTTGGGACTCGTTTTTACCAAGGGACCTCAGAATTTTCTGAATGGGCAGATCAGTGACCATTTCTTAAGGTTTTGGAAAAGAACCACTGTCTTCATTTATTATGTTGAAATATTAAAGGGAAAACAATTTAATTTTATTACAGTTGCTAGTATTGTGAAGTGGAGCCCTGATGGAGAGAAGTATGCTATTGTTATAGGAAACACTGTGAACATCTACTCTGTGGAGGTGAGCCTGAGAATATAAGTATTTAACAAATGAGCCATGTCATGACAAAACCAACAAAGTGCGTTTGCGACCCGCATGGATCCAGACCAGCCTGCGCAGTCTGATCAGGATCCATGCTGTTCACTTACAAACCCTATTACAAGTAGAGAAACTTATAGCGTACAGCATGGATCCCGATCAGACTGCGCAGATGCCCAGGCTGGTCTGGATCCATGCTGGTTGCAAATGCACTGTGTTGGTTTAATCATGGCGCGGCTCAAATATTGAAATCAGTATTCGAATATTCTAATATTATTTTTCTTAGGTAACGGTATTGAGGTGTCCTTTGACCGACTTGTTAAGGTCGTTGACTTCAAACAACTTGCCTCTCACTGCTGAAGGTTTGAGCTAGCAAGCGTTGCTGGATGTGAGAAAGTTATCCAGCTAACTTATGGAACGTCAGTGTTTCTACTCCGGTGCCTGTTTATGCCTGAAATAATGAAAAGAAGGGCTCTTAGGGCCGACTCATCCTCCACCAGCAAAGCTGGAAAGTCTCCATATGACCTATACTTTGTTGTTGTGATGTTAAACCCATTCTCCTAAAAAAGCTAATAGTAGTCATCTGAATACTGTTACTGTTTCATTGAGCTATCTATATAATGTTGGGGAAACTAGTTTTAAAGTTGACTTGATTAAATATTTAAATCTTTATTTTGTCAGATTTTCATGTTTTCTTTCCTAATAATAATAAATACTTTGATACACCATGGTTTTGATCCCCAATGATATTCTTGGAATTCAACAAATTCTGCAAAATAAATTATTTAAATATTTATTTTGGGAGCTTTTGTGTATACAGATAGTTCTGATAGGTATTTGCATGTTAGTAAGAGACTAAAATACATTTAAACTGGCTGTATATTATCTTGCCAAAAACTAAGTTTTAAATCGTCGGGTGCAATTAACTTTTTTACTTACAGACTGCAGACATAATTTTGACAATGAAAGCTGAAGCTTCCATCAACAGTTTGGTATTTTTAAATGTAAGTACATGAGAAATATATAATGATACTAATTCTGTAAAATAGCATTAATTATTTTGACTTGGTTATGAAGCTAAATAGTTGAGCTATGTTGTGATATAAATTTTGAACTATGCAGTGATATTTTTTGGTTTAAAATACATGTAGTAGCCACCAGTAAGTTTATATTTATTGATATAAGTTCAGTTTTGTTGAAAGCTATAAGCTTATTGAAACACTTTCCAATCGGTTCCTGTAACCAACAAGTACTTGTTCTAAGCAATTAGTGCACGAAAACAAGGACTTGCTCCTGATGGGTTTGAACCCAAGTGGTCAGCAATCCTTTATTGCAAATTTATGTGCAATGCATGCAGCTAGCTATGTAACAAAAAGCAAGGCCTCCAATCCAGCCTTCGCCTCTCAAACATTTTACAGACACATCAAAATTGTAATGAAATTGTTTTGGTTTTCTTATTAAAAATGGCTTGATGATCATGTTATTTTAAAGTATTTCTTGTGTTTTATATATAATCAGAACGAAGTATGCTGCTATGGTGGAGAGGGAGGGGATGTCATATTTTATGACATCGTCAGTGATAAACAACTATACAAGTGCGAGACCGGTACAAATAGGTAGGTTAAATAGGGGGTACTTGTTGGTGTACAATGATAATAGACTTTGTCTCACTGAAAAGTAAGAAATTTTCACGAGTTTCACATGTGCAAAGTGAGATATAGTCTGTTTTCACTGGAAAGATTTTTTTTCTTTTTGTTTTATGTTGCATTCAGCAAGGATTTTAGCCAGATGGTACCAAAATCGGTGCCAAGTTATTCCAGTTCATATAACGTTTCCACAAAAATGATAAAACTGTAAACCATTCTTATTTTGACTATGTGATAAGTAGACTGTCATATTCGTGTAAATTCACTACTCTTTGCCATACATAATTACCTAATTATAATGCAAAATTGCAAACATATAGCACCAACTTACAAATTAATACCCAATTTTTCAAATGTTCTGGAGTTTTTGTGATAACTCTGAAGATGTCCTAGAGTTCTTCTGATAACTTTTGTTGCTGCCAGTGTGTTTCTTGCGCTGAAGGATGAAGGTCAATACTTGCAAGAAATTTTACTCAAACTACCAGATTTTAAGCAAAAGGCGATAAAAATGGTACATGTTTATACATGAGTTTTTGACACATAATACAAGATGTAAGGCAAGCTTATTCATTAAAGTTTAATTTATCACCTAAATCTAACTTTTTAAAGATGAAAATTACCATTTTTGACAAGTGTTTTTGTAGTATATACAAATGTTTTCAGACAAACTCTGTGACAGTTCTCCTGAAAAAGTTATCATAAGAACTGCATCTTTCGTTAACAGTTCCTCTCCCGTGGTACCATGCTCTCCAGAGGCTTGCATAAAATGATTTTATCCAACTTGTTCAATAAATAAAGTATTGAAACCTGAACTCTTTGTACAACATTAAAGTTTTCAGGTGCAAAAAAAAAGTGTCGGATCAACCCATTTGTTTTCAAAAAGTTACATACCATGTTCCCAACTACAATATGTAAAGTTTTAATAAAAAAAAGTGTTTTTGCAATAATTTTTGCAGGCCGTGTTTCTTTGACATATATTCACAAAAAGGACTTGCGAACTGTCACATGTGTTTTAATCTGCTCTTGGATTTATCTTTATTTAAGCAATAAAACATTGAAATTCTCTGGATTTTTTGGATATTATTGAACCTCAAAATCTCTGGATATTGATTTTGAAAATGAAAAAGTGATTTGACTAGCAATTAAGCAAGGAACTGGTGAAACTAATCATAATTTGTATAAAATCTGGAAATATGTTATAGTTTTTACCAAAGGATTAGTACTTATCACTTACAAATATTTTGCTGTAAAAACAGGTATAATAGTTATATAGTGCTAAAATACATCAGGGTATTTATAAACCTTTGTGACAACAATAGCTGACTAAAAAGGTGATAATGGATCAAACAATGGGATTTAAATATTTCTAATTTTGAAGGCTTTTCTTTCAATGAAGTGTTAACAGACTGTCTGGAGATAGCAGAAAGCCAATATTTCTCTGTAAAAACAAGTGCTTGTGGAAACAATGTTACAATAACATTCTTTAAGAAAGAAATAAGTGACAGAATTAGAGAAATACTACAACAACAATATACACTTGTTCCCAACATTGATAACACAGGCATTTCTATAAACAACAGAACTGTCATCCTTCAAAGTGGTGATCACATGGTATTATAACAAAACAACCCTACTTATTCAGGGCAGTGGCAGTATATTGTGGACAAATACAATATTCAAATCTCTTGCCTCTCACATTGACAGTTTTCCAGAAAGTCCTCCTGACACTATCCTTGATGAACTGGACTCATCTGAGCTGACCTCAGTAGCTGAGTCTCCAGTTCAGACTTCAACACCTGCTGCCCCAAAAATCAAAGGTCAGAAATCTACACCAAGAGGATTTAAACACTTACTCTCAGACCTAATTTTTGGCCCTCCTGAATTAAATGCTCTTGTAAAATTAGCAGAAGAAAAGAAAAAAGCAGAAAAGATTCAAAAGAGGGGTGGACCTAAAGTAGATCTTGAAGAACTTGAAAGACAACGATCTATTATAGCAGAAACAGGGAAGAAACCAAAACAGAAACTTCACAAAATGCAACAAAAGAAACAAGCAGTGAATTCTTTCATCAGAACTGCAAATGGGTACGCTCATCCACCAATATCATTTGGGGATACAAAATGTGAATCTGAAGAAACTTCACCTAAATCCTTGGATACTGAGTCAGAGCAGAGCTTTAAGCTGGCTAATCCTGTTCTTTCTATCATAGACAAATCAAACTCGGAAACCTCAGTGCCCGTCTCTACTGACACTACAGATCATATATCCTTTAATAATAACAGTGAAATTATCAATATGGATAGTGTTCCCCAGATTGACTGTGTAAATTTTTATGAGACCCCTAAAATGTATGAAAATCAAAACAATATTCAGCAATTTCAAAAGTTGAAAAAAGATAATGAAACACTGCAAAATGAAAACGACAACCTTCAACATAAATATGCTAGTCTTTCAATAAAGCATGCTAGTCAAGATCAGCAAATTGCATCCTTGCAAAACGAAGCTGAATTTCAGAGAAAGGGACTATTTCAGATTACCAATCAAAAGACTCAGACTTAAATGCTGAAATTCAAATTTCCTAACGCTGAAATTGAAACCATGAAAAAAATCAAACAATTCATTAAAACAAGAAAATAAGTCTCTGAAAGGAAAGATATCATCAAAACAAAATGATACATTTACCAGTGAAATCATTCAAAATGACATAGAGGAACTTAAGAATACAATGTCAGAGTTTACAATGACAATCGACTCTTTAAAGAACAGAACAGAGAATCTTGCTTCTAGCACTGACATATATCTCCTTCAAGCAGAGATAAGAAATTACAAGAAAATAGTAACTGAAAACATGGAATTAAAACAGATGCATACAAGCGTTGATGCCCAAATTTCTTCTCAAGTGGATAACATGGCTGAAAACGCCTCAGTCGCACCAACAGAAAAATCTGAAATATTAGACAAAAACAATGGATCAAAACATTCAACAGAAAAAACAAAGGAAACCTCGGGTCAAAAGAAACATGAGGTTCTGATTCTTGGTGATTCTGTGACAAAAGTGCTAAAGCCGAAAAAAATGAGTGGAAGTAAAATAAATACAAAAATCCGATCACACCCAGGTGCAAAGATCTGTGACATAACCAATAAAATTGTGAGTTCAGATGACAAAAGGATTCTGAAGGAGTGTGACGTTTTTGTCATACATGCAGGGATAAATAACATCTCAGACGGGGATAACGAAAATCTTATAACTGATGAACTAAATGATCTAACAAATCAGCTCCTAAAAGAAAATAGCGATGCTAAGGTGATAGTCTGCTCAGTGCTGCCAAAATGCAGAGATAATCTTGCAACAAAGATCATAGACACAAAAGTGAATACATCCATTAAGAATCTTTGTAAGCGTAAAGATCTCACATTTCTTGATAATACATCTGCTGTTATGTATCAAGGGACAGTTAATGATCAGTTGTATCAAGATGCTGTACACCTTACTAAAGGACGGGGAGCAGCAATCTTAGGTAAACAGATCAAAAGGGCCATATACTCGGCACTTGCCCTACCATATGAAAGTTCTGAGGATGTAAATTTTCCCAGGACAGCTCAACAACCAAAACATCCTCCACATTACTCTCAATGCCAGCAAATGCAACAGAGGTTCCAAAGACCCCAGAGAACCAAAAATCAACTCAGGGAAAGAGCTCTCCAGAATCATTTCAGCACACATCAACAGGAAACCTATTTCTCTCACTACAACTCATATCCCCATCCTCAAAAACGTATGAATTCCCATTCTCATCTACAGGACAATTCCCAGTCTTTCAAAAGCTTCAATACCCATCTTCAACAGAAGAATCCCATTCAAGTACATCCCCACTATCAACAGGTAAATACCAGTCCCCAACAAGTAAATCCCCATCCCCAACTGGTCAATCCCCATCAGCAACAGGTCAATCACCATCCCAAACAGTTAACTCCCCATCAGCAACAGGTCAATCCCAATCCCCAACAAGTAATTCCCCATCAGCAACAGGTCAATCCCAATCCCCAACAGGAAACTCCCCATCAGCAACAGGTAAATCCCAATCCCCACCAGGCAACTCCCCATCAGCAACAAGTCAATCCCCATCCCCAACAGGTAGCCCCCAATCAGCAACAGGTCAATCCCCATCCCCAACAGGTCGCTCCCCATCAGCAACAGGTCAATCCCCATCCCCAACTGGTAACTCCCCATCAGCAACAGGTCAATCCCCATCCCCAACAGGTAACTTCCCATCCTCAACATATCAATCCTCATTCCCCACAGTTCAAAATCCAACAGGAAAATCCCCATCATCAGCATGTCAATCCTTATCCGCAACAAGTCAGTCCCCATCATCAAAATGTCAATCCCCAATCACAACAGGTAAATCCACAAAAGACCAATTCTTATCCTCAGCAGATCAATTCTTATCATCAACAGGACAATCATCATTCTCATGGAGTAGATCCTTATCCCTACAATGTCAATTCCCACCATCAACAGCTCAATCACCATCATCAACAGGTCAATCCATTTCATTACATGGAAGTACACCAACCAACTCAGTTTCAACAGAGCAAATCTTATCCTCAGATGATGCAGCAACAATCGATAACAACAAATCCATCATATTAAAAAGTGAAGATTGTAACAGTGATATCCTAAAAAAATTAAGTGAATTACGACAAAAAGATCTCAAACGTCCTTTGATAGCACATTTAAATATCAACAGTCTTAAATCAAAATACTTAGAAGTGCATGAAATTTTGAAGAGAAAATTAGTGGATATATTTATCTTATCTGAAACTAAGCTGGATGATAGCTTTAATAGCAACATTTTCCATTATAATGGATACAAAATTGATCGCCGGGATCGCAATAAATTTGGAGGGGGAATTCTTGTTTATTCACGTGATGATTTGCCATTCCGGAGAAAGAAAGACCTGGGGCCAGAAAATTTTGAATGCATGTGTTTTGAACTATCTTTAAATAAAAGAAAGTGGTGTATCCTGGCTCTTTACAAACCTCCTAATATCAAAAATGTGGATTTTACTAACACCTGCACTAATGTTCTTGATAGAACTTTAAGACAATATGAAAACATCCTGCTTCTTGGTGATCTGAACTTTGACATGAACAGGCTTGAAAAATCATCCACCCTTCGCGATATTTGTGATACATATAACCTTGAAAATGTTTGTAAAAGGAAACACATGCTTTATGAAAAATGCAAGTCCCTCAGCAATTGATGTTATTTTAACTAACAGATCAAATTTTATTTGTAACACAGAAAATTTAGATGTTGGTATCAGTGACTGTCACAATCTAGTAGCTACTACAATAAAAGAGCAGTGTTGTCAAACAAAACCTAAATATGTTAAATTTAGATCATACAAACATTTTAATGAGTCTGTTTTCAACACTGAAGCTTAGCAAAATTCCATTCCATATTGCAGATATTTTTGATGATATTGATGATTCATACTGGGCTTTTGAAACACTTTTCAAAGAAGTTGTAGATGAACATGCTCCAATAAAAGAACGCAAATTAAGATCACAAAAAGTTCCTTTCATGAATGGCGAATTGAGAAAATCAATCTATAAAAAACAGCAACTAAGAAATTGCTATTTCAAATACCGTAATAACAAAAACTGGGAAAAGTTCCGCAAACAAAGAAATTTGGTCACAAAACTAAAAAGAGAGTCAATGGAAAAATATTTCTTTGAAAGGTGTAATGAAGGTCCAAAATCTAGCCACTTCTGGCCAACAATTAAACCATTTTTGACATCAAAATCTACAGCAAAGTCTGACAGCAAAATTATTCTTAATGAAAATGAGACCATAATATCAGACCAAAAGGAAATAAGTAATATTCTGAATGATTTTTATGTGAATATTGCTTGTGATATTGGTATAAAAACTGATGCTGATATTGATGAAACACATCCTAGCATAACACAAATATCTAAAAATCATCCATCAATAGATACTTTTCAATTTGCTCCAGTGAGCACTGATCAAACTTTTAAATTATTGAAAAAGTTTAAATTCAAAAAAGGCCATTGGTGTGGACAGCCTACCACCAAAGATAATTAAAGCAGGTGCGTATGCCCTGACAAATCCTATAACTTCGCTTATTAATAAAAGCTTTCAAACATCTCAATTTCCACAAGCTTTAAAACTAGCACAAGTTAAACCTCTGTTCAAAAAGGATGATCCTTTCCAAAAGAAAAATTACAGGCCTGTCAGCATCTTACCTACCATTTCAAAAGTTTTTGAAAAATCTATTAGTGCTCAACTTAACTTACATTTTGAAAACATTTTTCATGACTTTCTATCAGCATTCCGTAGAAATTTTGGCTGTCAGACAACATTACTGCGCCTCATTGAAGATTGGAAGAGAGCATTAGATAGAAATGAATATGTAGCTGCCATACTCATGGATCTGTCTAAGGCTTTTGACTGTCTTCCGCATGACCTGATTATTCTTAAACTTAAGGCCTATGGTCTGTCTGATGCCTCTGCTAATCTCATGCAAAGTTATTTGTTTAAAAGACAGCAACAAGTAAAACTAGGTACAATCTGTAGTGAGTGGAATGAAATAAACAAAGGGGTTCCACAAGGGTCAATTCTTGGTCCCCTCTTATTTAACATTTTCTTAAATGATATATTTTATTTCATTAAAAAAGGTTCTGTTTATAATTATGCAGACGACAATACCCTCTCATTTAATCATATTAATGTGGAAACTCTCAAAAGCACAATACAAGATGAAAGTGTTGTCATGATTAAATGGTTTGAAGACAATCTTATGCAAGCAAACCCTGAGAAGTTTCAGGCTATATGTATAGGCAAACAAACCTGTAAAAATGTGTCTAAATTCCAGATTCTTTGATGCCACTATTCCTTGTGAATCTCATGTAAAACTTCTAGGTATTGAAATAGATTCCCTATTAAATTTTGATATTCATATCTCAAATGTTTGTAAAAAGTCAGCAAGACAAATAAATGTATTAACCAGACTATGTCCTCTACTTAATCTGGATGCAAAAATTCTTATATACAAAAGTTTTATCAGATCCAACTTTAATTTCTGCCCTTTAGTCTGGCATTTTTGTAGTAAGGACAATACAAACAAGTTGGAAAAACTTCAATATAGAGCTCTGAAAATTGTTTTTAATGACTATTCATCAAGTTATGAAGATCTGCTTAAACTGACTAATATGTCTTCACTCCATATCAGTAGAATTAAACAACTCGCTATTGAAGTTTTTTAAATGTCTTAACAGCATTTCTCCTAAGTATGTTCAAGAACTTGTTAATGTGCGTTCATCAAATTATAATTTTAGATACCAAAAAACTTTAGATGTACCTAAAGTACGCACAACCAATTATGGTAAAAAGAGTTTTCGCTTTGAAGCATCTAAAATCTGGAATAGTTTATCTAATGATCTAAGATGTACATCTGACTTAAATGAGTTTAAACGACTAATTGAAACATGGAGTAATGACAAGTGTGCCTGCTCTATGTGCATCTAATCGTTTATGTTCTATTTTACTTGATTCCTGTTTTTTTTTTTGCTTGTAAATAAATTTAGTCTTTTCCTTGAATTATGTACTATGTATCTGTATATATGTAAAACCCTGTTAATAGATATGACTGTATTTTTCATTGTAACCGCTCAGATTTCATTACAATGACTATATAAATTAATTGTATGTATTATTATCTTATGGTGTCTGTTTATTTTTGTTTCTTTGTTTCTTATTATTATTTTCTATATTTTGTTCATGTCGGATACAAGCTTAAAGCTTATGTTTTTGTACTGTTAATCATAACCGACTATAAATAAAGTTTGTCTTACTGTCTTACTGTCTTACTGTAAATGACTTCTTTTCATCATCATTATTGACTCGAGTTAGTCCTGTGTTAAACTTGTTATTGTGATTGATGTTTCAGAGTAAAATGTTTCTGCATTAGCTCACATAACTTTAAAGAAGTCTTGGAGAAGAGAATTTTGTGTACAGTCAGTAGTGATGGTTTAATAAAACTATACAAGATCATAGAAAATCAGGTTGGTATTCTCAGTTTACAGTTTATCTTATTGGTTGACCACCACGATAGTTTTAAGAACATCACAATGTAGAAATTGCCTCTTGTGGTGGAGGGTTGAGACATAAAAATTACAGCCACCGTTTAACACTGTGTGATCCTAAGAGGCCATTTAATGGGTTTGCTTGGAATTACTTTATGCACCTTTTAGCTCCAGCAGATGAGGTGGTTTTGACCCCCCTTCATGTTGCTTTAAGTTTGTAACACCTGAGGTTAGCCAAAATCATCTTTCCTGTTTGGGCGCCATATGACCATAACTGTGTTGGTGGGCTGTTAAACCAAACAAACAAACAAAATGTTGTTTTCCCTATGGATAACATCAGCTAGTGATATTTAAGTTGTGTATTTTGCATGTCATCTACCAAAATTGGCAAATTGCCCTTACTACCTATTTATTTTTATCTTTTTATGCCACCGCAGCATCTGCGATGCGGTGGCATATAGCGATTCACCTGTGTGTGTGTGTGTGTGTGTGTGTGTGTGTGTTTGTTTGTTTGTTTGTGTGTGTGTGTGTTATATAGATTATATAGTGAACTTAAAAAATCTTCTTGTGAAAAACCACTAGTCCAATTTCAACCAAACTTGGCAGGATTGATCCTTGGGTGAAGGGCTTCCAAAGTTGTTCAAAGAATTTAATTCCATGCAGAAATCTGGTTGCCATGGCAACAAAAAGGAATTATAAGAATAAATTTAAAAAATCTTCTTGTAAAGACCCAAAAGGCCTAGAGCTTAGATATTTTGCATAAGGCATTGTCTGGTAGACCTCTACCAAGATTGTTCAAATTATAGCCCGGGGGTCATTGATTTTCACTATATGTACATATAGTAAAAACTTAAAATACCTTTTTATAAAGACCCATAGGCCTAGAGCTTAGATATTTTGCATAAGGCATTGTCTGGTAGACCTCTACCAATATTGTTCAAATTATAGCCCTGGGGTCAAAATCAGCCCTGCCCCGGGGGTCATGGATTTTCACTATATGTACATACAGTAAAATTTAAAATACCTTCTTGTAAAGACCCAAAAGGCCTAGAGCTTAGATATTTTGCATAAGGCATTGTCTGATAGACCTCTACCCAGATTGTTCAAATTATAGCCCTGGGGTCAAAATCGGCCCGGCCCCGGGGGTCATTGATTTTCCTCATATTTACATAGTAAAAACTTATAGTAAAAACTTTTAAAAAAAATTCTTCTAGCAATTGACAAATGCTAGAGGTTAGATACTTTGCATGAACATTGTGAAGTGAAACTCTAGCAAGAATGTTCAAATAATAGCCCTGGGGTCAAAATTGCCCCCGCCCCGGGGTCATTGATTTTCAATATATACATATAGTAAAAAATCAAAAAAATCTTATTGTCTGAAGGTACTAGGCTTAGAGCTTTAATATTTGTTAAATGATATCATCTTTAGGTACTCTACCAAAGTTGTTCAAATTTTGCCTCTAGTGTCAAAATTAAAAGTGAACTTTGATATCAGCTGACCTTGATTTTGACAAAGTGTATTACATGTTGTCCTTTGATGCAGTCAAAAGAAATTTTAGGCTGTGTGAAATATGACCTTCACCACCAAATTCACTAGACTCAAGTGCATTGATATATTCCTACTCTGATCTTTTATTGAGTTAACAATAGATTTAACCACTAATCTGATAATAAGAATTAGATATGCATTATGACAATCTTCAATTGTATAGAAACAAAAAAAAATCTGTTCCTACACTACTATTTAGTGTTGTATTAATGCGGTGGCATAGCATTTTTCTCAAATGCAATCTTTTTTAATTTTGTGTAATAAAGTAACTGTATGTCACGAAGGTAACATATTTACTTATATAATGTATAGTTTGTTCTTAAACTATCTTTTTTGTTGTTCTATATATCCCTGTCAATTTGTTAAATTATGTGTTTGTATATATTTCCTATATCATAATTTTTCGTTCCGGGTAACAATGTCACAATGTACAAACTAATGAACCAACTACATGTATACATTACATCTATCATTCTTGTGAAATATTTTATTCAAAATATCAAAATATACATGTAAATTTTAAGATCGCGCTTGGTATATTCATGTTTGATTTGTCAGATGTACCATTTGGCTCTGAAGAGATTGCGTATGCCTGTCGTCAGCTATCCATGTGCAAGCCATCTAAAAATATTTTCAGAGTCACTCATCCTGTTCTAAATCCAATTTGCAGGCAACTTTTTATGCCCCCGCCATGTAATGGCCGGGGCATATAGTGTTACCCTGTTCCGTCATTCCGTCCTTCCATCCTTCCGTCCTTCCGTCATTCTGTCATTCCGTCATCATCAGTTTCCGTTCATTATCTTAAGAACGGTTGGGCACATTCAACTCAAATTTGACATATGGATATGTCATGAGAAAATACAGGTCAATTTCGAATTAGGTCATGGTTCGATGATTTTTGGCAGAGTTATGCCCCTTTTACTTTGAAAATAATATGAAATTTCAGTTTCCGTTCATTATCTCAAGAACGGTTGGACACATTCAAAGCTCAAAACTTGACATATGGATATGTTTATGAGAAAATACAGGTCAAGTTCGAATTTGGTTATGGTTCGATGATTTTTGGCAGAGTTATGCCCCTTTTACTTTGAAAATAATATGAAATTTTCAGTTTCCGTTCATTATCTCCCCAACGGTACAACACAATCAACTCAAACTTGACATATGGATATGTCATTGAGAAAATACAGGTCAAGTTCGAATTGGTCATGGTTCGATGATTTTTTGGCAGAGTTATGCCCCTTTCACTTTGAAAATAATATTAAATTTTCAGTTTCCGTTCAATTATCTCCCTCAAGGTACAACACATTCAACTCAAACGTGACATATTGATGCGTCAAAGGAATGCGCAGGTCAAGTTCAAATTTGGTCGTGGTTGATGATTTTGCAGAGTTATGCCCTTTCACTTTGAAAGTAATATGAAATTTTTCAGTTTCCGTTTATTATCTCCCAACAGTACAACACATTCAACTCAAACTTGAACATAATGGATATGTTTTTGGAATGCCAGGTCAAGTTCAAATTTGGTCATGGTTCAATGATTTTTGGCAGAGTAATGCCCCTTTCACTTTGAAAATAATATGAAATTTACAGTTTCTGTTCATTATCTACCTAACAGTGTTACATATTCAATTTTAATTTGACATATGGATATGTCAAAGGAATGGGCAGGTCAAGTTGGAATTTGGTCATGGTTTGATGGTTTTTTGGCAGAGTTATGTCCCTTTCACTTTGAAAATAATATAGATACATCTTAGGAATAAGCAGTTTAAGTTTGAATATGGTCGTGGTTCAATGATTTTAGACAAACTTATCTTTCCTGAATGTTGGAAAAATTTTGAACTTTCAGTTTCAGCACTCATTCTTTTAGCCATTATTTTGGCTACAAATATGCAATATGCTTTTTCTAAAGGTTAAGACTGAATAATTTCAGTGCCTTGAACGTTGTATGGAAATGGTTTGTGTTAACATTGAAAAGTTTTAAGGGCTTTGAACTTAAAATGAAAAAAAAAATTAATGCACCATCTGAAATTTTGGCTGCATGCGGGGGCATCCGTGGCATGATGACACATTTCTAGTTTCTACTTGTCCTGCATCGAGTTCTCTTAAATTCTGCTCGTAGTTACAAGCTTACAAGTGGAATTTTCTATCTTTGATGGTGCGGACTTTAAAGAGTTTACCCAAAGCTGTTGGTACCGGAAGTGATAAGTCTTTGCATTCAGTAGAGCCAGACCATGCCGTCTGCCTAGGGTTACCTGTATATACTATTGGTTGTCTAACTTTAAATTTTCAATTTGATATCCCATAAATTGACAATGGACAGTTCTAAAACATGGAATTGGTATAGTACATTAAAGAAATTCAGCAGGTTAAGGAAATATTTTTTCATCATAGTTTCCTTTAATAAGGGTACTAGGTCCTTTTAACAACTATACCTTGAAAACTTTCTTTCAGAAGAAAATTTCTACAGAGTTGTTGATTGAACATAGATCAGGATTTAGAGTTACATGTCTCGCTGTATTGGGAAAAGATGATGATAACAGTTCTCCACATGAAGGAGTTAAACTAGAGAAAACTGTAACAAAACACAATGACAACGATGATGGTGGTGGCAGTGATGATGATGATGAAAGTGATGATGATGATTCTAACAGTGACACCCCAGATGTCACTGATGCAAATAAACTTTCTAGAGCAAAAAGTGAAAAAACTGAAGTGAAAGTAAATAACAACAAAACTGATGTGAAGCCAAAAAACAGAAAAAGGAAATTTATTGAGTCTAGTAAAGATCAGCAGATAGTTCACCCAAGTCCTGTAAATAAACAACAGAAAGTTGGCAAACAACAAAAAAATAAAAAGCAACATGAAGTGGTAACGAAAGGTATGTGATATGTATATTCTAACCATTTTTAAAGTTGCTTTGCTCAACAACAAAAGAAATAATATTTTGGTGTATAAACTGTCTGCAATATGTATTGAAAGAATGAAGAGATTAATATCTTGTATATTTATTTTGTACAGATTCTTTTTGTACTAATACCAGAATGTTCTTCAACCAATTGAGTTAAATTACACAGTTTAACCTGGTTGAAAATTTCTTTTAGCTTAATTTGCGTGATTGTCTGATTTCATATATAAACAGCATATAGCAGTGTGCCCTGAACTTATTTTCAGTTTGGTATATTATCAAAGAGAACTAATTGAGTGTTGATTTTCTCTTGTTTTGAATAAAAATTAAAAAAAAATGATTTTTAGCTCAACTATTTAAAGAATAAGAAGAGCTTTTGTACTCACTCTGGTATCATTGACTCAAGATACTTGATAGGTGAACACTGGCTAAGGCCCATAACTTTAACATAGATTTTGATGAATTACAGCTTTTTTGAAATTCTACATTATCTCAGACTTCTGTTTTGCTATCAGTTTTGCATTTTGAACAGATGTCAAGGCCATTACTGTTTATTTTATACAGAATTTTATTTTAGTTTTTGTTGGAAGTTATAAGCTTACTGAAACACTATTCAGTCTGTTCCTGGAACCAACCTATAATAAGCAACAAATGTCGAGGATACAATGGCTTGCCCTTAACAGGGTTTGAAACCATACAGCCAGTAGACTACTTATACTTTAATCACTCGGCCGTGCCACCATGTAAATGTAAACTATTTGAATTTTTTCCTTCACATAAGAAATATAATAATATAATGTAATATTTTGCACCAATTCAATGTAAGCAAGTTATTTGGTAGTATAATTATATATCATTGCCTGAATGGTAAGTTTGTGAATTTGATATGTTTTTTAGCTCACCTGTCACAAAGTGACAGGGTGAGCTTTTGTGATCGCTTTTCGTCCGGCGTCCGTCCGTAAACTTTTACTTTAAATGACATCTCCTCATAAACCACTAAGCCAATTTCATCCAAACTTCACAGGAATGTTCCTTTGGTGGTCACCTTTAAAAATTGTTCAAAGAATTAAATTCCATGCAGAACTCTGGTTGCCATGGCAACCGAAAGAAAAAACTTTAAATATCTTCTTTTAAAAAACCCCAAGAGCTAGAGCTTAGATATTTGGCATGAAACATCTTCTAATGAGTGTCTACAAAGTTTGTTCAAATAAAAGCCCTAGGGGGTCTTTGATTTTCCCTATATGCATATAGTAAAAACTTAAAATATCTTCTTTTAAAGAACCCAAAGAGCTAGAGCTAAGATATTTAGCATGAAATATCTTCTTATGAGTGTCTACCAAGTTTGTTCAAATAAAAGCCCTGGGGTCAAAATTGTCCCTGCCCCAGGAGGTCATTGATTTTCCCTATATGCATATAGTAAAAACTTAAAAATCTTCTTTGAAAAAACCCAAATAGCTAGAGTTTAGATATTAGGCATGAAACATTTTCTAGTGAGTGTCTACCAAGTTTGTTCAAATAAAAGCCCTTGGGTCAAAATTGGCCCCGCCCCGGGGGTCATTGATTTTCCATATATGCATATAGTAAAAACTTAAAAAATCTTCTTTTAAAGAACTCAAAGAGCTAGAGCTAAGATATTTAGCATGAAACATGTTCTAATGGGTGTCTACCAAGTTTGTCAAATAAAAGCCCTTGAGTCAAAATTGGCCCCGCCCCGGGGGTCATTGATTTTCCTTATATGTATATAGCAAAAACTTAAAAAATCTTCTTTGAAAAAACCAAAATAGCTAGAGTTTAGATATTAAGCATGAAACATCTTCTAGCGAGTGTCTACAAAGTTTGTTCAAATAAAAGCCCTGGAGTCAAAATTGGCCCCGCACCGGGTATTATTGATTTTCCTTATATTTGTATAGTAAAAACTTAAAAATCTTCTTTGAAAAAACCCAAATAGCTAGAGTTTAGATATTAAGCATGAAACATCTTCTAGTAATTGTCTACAAAGTTTGTTCAAATAAAAGCCCTGGGGTCAAAATTGGCCCCGCCCCAGGGGTGTCATTGGTTTTAACTATATGTGTATAGTAAAAACTTAAAAAATCTTCTTTTAAAAAAACCCAATGAGCTAGAGCTTAGATGTTTAGCATGAAACATCTTCTTATGGGTGTCTACCAAGTTTGTTCAAATAAAAGCAGTAGATCTTTGTTTTTCATTATATGTGTGTAGAAAAAACTTAACATCGTGAAACATCTTCTAATGGTTGTCTTCCAAGTTTGTTTAAATAAAAGCCCTGGGGTTTAAACTGGCCCCGCTCCGGGTGCCTTTATACAGGTGAGCGACCTCAGGGCCATCATGGCCCTCTTGTTATTCTCTTGCCATGTTACTAAAGGACTATGATTGTGTTTTAAATCATGACAAATGTTTAACACAATTTCATGTATATACATCTATTTTCAGATGATACAGTGTCATTTATTACCGCTGCTGACAGTAGAAAGAAAAAGTTCAAGAAAAAGAAGAAACCTAAGAAATTTGTCAAAACGATATGATTTGTTAAAATATAATGCAAAATACATTTGAAACAAACTATTGAGCTGTTTGCTTATAATTGTTGAAATGATGGCAATTAGATAAGTTTTGTCCTAGGCAATTAGATAAGTTTTGTCCTACTTAATTGATATTTTAAGTTTTTAAAATGTTTATCTTACTTTTATTCACTGTAATGTACAAAGTTAAAACTTTCAAGACCATATCAAAATGATAAAAAAAACACCATATTAAAACCACCACTGGTGTATTTTGACACAACACAAAGTGACAGGGTGAGCTTTTGTGATTGCTTTTCGTCCGGCGTCCGGCCGTCCGTAAACTTTTACTTTATATGACATCTCATAAACCACTAAGCCAATTTCATCTTACAATTTAGAATATTGTTGCAATTTAAAACCCTTTTCAAATGATCTTAGTTTGTCTGAAGAGAGAAATCTTGGATAGTTTGAAAACCTGATTTTAGTTTTCAGATATCAGTTGGACATTAGAATAAGAAAACATAGTTTCATTAGTTATGTTATATAATGTTGTATAAAACCATGTTGGCAGTTCCTATACAATCAAAAGGGTTCCACTGTACAGTAACTAGCAATTGAATTTGTTATTTTGTTGATATTTGGCTCTGGATATATAAATGGATACAAAATTTTCCATCAATGACATTTGTTACATTTGGTAATTCTAGGTTACTGTCATCAGAAGAACTCAAAAAAAAGTGTCTACAATAAAAAAAAATATTCTCAAATGGAAAATAAGACCCTAATGATTATAGTCTATTAACATGAAGATATTGCACCATTTTGCACAAAGATGTATGCGCAAAAAATATCAATGGTATTTTTTATCAAAACTTTATTTCTCAGTATTATATAATCTGCATAAAATCATTTAAAAATTTCAATGTTTCACTTTTTCATTGATTGCGTGAAACAGAACAACTGCATATTCCTACTATAAATAGATGCACACATACAATGTACATGTACCTTTCCATGTACCCGTACTTAAAATCTTTGGCAAAGTTCCCGACGGTGACAATACGCTAAATCTTGTATCAAGCTGACACATCACAAATTCCTGTTTTAGGATTTTTGTTTATTAAAATTGTAAGATGCACGTCCAAAGAAACACTTCGCTAAAATGTACATGTGTACACCTTTTTTCAACTATGATGAAAATGTCATTATGACATCATGACACTAAGGAACTATTTCTCCCCGCCCAATATTCCACTTAAGTCACTAATTGCGAACGCACACTTCAACACCATAAGGTGACTGAAATAGAAAACAAGAACATTTGTAACACTAAAAATGCTCTGGGATGTTGCTTTGAAATACATGTAGATAAAAAAAAATGCAAAATCTACTTTTTAAACCCAGCGAACTTTAACCTTTCGGATGATTTTTTTTTTTTAAGAAATCTAAAACTTTGGAAAATCTTGTTTCAACCACACAGACGTTGACGCCGTTGACCCTCGTCTAAGATTGTAGATGTTCTCCACTAAATTATTGGAAGGGTGTAAAGAATTTTATGTATAACACATATTTTATGCAACAAGAAATTAACGTACACAGAACACTGCTTTATTTAGGTGAAAAATTGCTATTTATTTTTCACTGAAAAATAATTTGCCATTTGCTGAAAGTAAAATGTTATCTGCTTATAGCTGGCATAGAATGGAAGCATGCTTGTTCTTTTTGTCAGTTTCTTTTTCAAATTTTTCAACACTTGCAAAATAATTATGAGATATTACCTGAGAATTCCTATAAAACCAGCTGGCATAAACTGTCTAGTTTTTATAAACCTGAATCCCATAACACACATTAATGTTGCACTTGTTCCTGAAATAAATGTTGAAATCTTATTAAACTGGAGCTGTTTTAGCATTGCATTCACAGAATAATTTTCATTATTATTACTGCACTATACACACAGTACAAATCAGGGACTTGGTATGAAATGATTGTAACAAACAGACAGTTTTCAGTTTTGGCATGAAACAAAAATAGAAATAAACAATAAACTTTATAGGCCTTAAGTTTATTCTTAATCTTTTCCATAATCAGCAAATGATAATGATTGAAGAATTAAAATTGCAATATTAAGCAATATATTTCTACAAGAGCTTTAATTCTGTGAAATAAGATTCTGAGATCTATTGCCACGATTGTCATAATTACTTTATTGCGAAAGTAGGGTCAAAATCAATGTCATGGTCATGCATTAAACAGGGAATATCAAAGTAAATCCTTTAGTTGGGACTGCCAAACACAAAATCCAACACAAAATCAGCTAACATTTAAACTGGGACAGACCGACAAGAAAACATGTGATACAAATTGCCAGTCTGAATTATTTGCTGTTCTATAGAAACCAGACACTTTGAGTGAGCCAGGAAAATACAATGTCTTTTTTTTTTTAAGCCGCACTATCACTGCATGGCAACTTTCCTGTTTTCCTGGTGGAAGAAATCTTCTAGTCCCTTCGACCTGTATGCAGCATTTCAGATACAAGTAGAACCACTGATTTGCCTTAAGAAACTTTCAAAGGTGGACATCTACAAAGGAAACTGGCTGGAAGTACATACTATCTCAGAGTGTATTTTTTTTTAAAGTTTTTCTCTATACATCATAATTATTCAGGTTAAGCATATGACCTTTGGTGCAAGGCCCTAGGGGTATAATTTGAACGATGTTGGTAGAGAACAAATTACTAAACAGTGCTATTTGTTAAATAACAAGCATTATTATTTATTCAAATAACCCTAATTTTAATCAATATCTTATATAAGTACATATGTGTTGTGCCTATATTGCTAAAATTGTCTCCGTTGTGCCATGAAATGCCCATTTTGCCAGGCATATATGATATAACCCTTCAATGCAATTAAACATACACAATTTATGAAACATTTTTAAACTAACTTACTCACTAGTGCTAAACAGGGCCCGTAAAATCTGATTTTGAATTATATACTTGCCCGTTTTTATGAGAAGCATTTTTTAACTTGTCCGTATGATATTTACATAGTTCTTGAAAACTTTCACTTGTCCGTACAGGCTGTGGGACAACCTGGGCAATACGGAAAGTTGATTTTGCCGGCCCTGGCTAAACAATCATTTTAGATGCTCAAATGTAACCTAATGACTTCAATTAAAGCGCTGTGCTGTTTTTTGTTGTTTTTTTATTAAAGAATATCTCCGTTGAGCCAAAAAATCTCCATTGCGTATTTTAGTGGTATCCAATATCGAGGCCTTCCAAGAATTTTTGGACAAGATTTTTTTATTACACATATAATAAGACCAAGCTGCAGCCCAGAATTCTTAAAGTTTGACATAAATTAATAGTAAGAGCTGACCAATATGCCATGTGATTTTTAAGAACAAACTTAACAAGATCTTGTATGGCATGGCCATGGTATAGTTGTACATGTATATGGAATGTAATTCTTTGAATAACTTTGGTAGACCTACAGCTTCATGCAATGAATTTATATCCCTGCCTGGTTTCCCCAGTGGTATCAGAGATGAAGAAATTTATGGACACATGATGTATCTCGACTTTAAATAAGAACAAGAACTGTCGGAGGCCAGTAAAACTCGACTATTCGAAAAGTTGTCACAAGGGTGTTTCATTGAGTATAATAATGCTTACCTATATAAATACATAAAATTGTCTGAAAAGGTACAAAGGCTTGTTATTAAGATGTTTTATCGAGTAAATCACTGCTTTATTATGAATGCATAAAATTGTCCCAAAAAAAGGCACAAACCCTTCTGTATTTATGGAGATACCAGCTAAAAGCAAAACCTTAACCAAGAATTTCTAAGCCGAAAAAGGGGCATAATTATGAAAAAAACAAATCAAGAGTTATGGGACTTGTGCAAATCATGTAAGATAATCACAGAGAACAAATGTGTGAAGTTTCAATCCATTCCCTTCAATAGTTATGGAGATACCACTGCTTACACGCAAAAACTTAACCAAGAATTTCTAAGTTGAAGAAGGGGCATAATTGTGCAAAAAAGCAAATCAGAGTTATGGGACTTGTGCCAATCATGTAAGATAATCACAGAGAACAAGTGTGTGAAGTTTCAATCCTATCCCTTCAGTTGTTTTGAAAATACCAGCTAACACGCAAAAACTGAACCACAGGGACGCGGACGCTGATAAATGGGTGACTGCATTAGCCCGATTATTCTGCGAATAGTCCAGCTAAAAAAAACATTGAAGTATATGTGAGGATCAGAAATAAATCCTAATGTCTAACACAGGCACTTTGTATTATTTAAGCTTATAAAGGCATAGAACTACATAATTAACAAAGGTATTGTCTACTACCTAAAGATAATCTTATATCTTTGCGGTTCTGTGATGTCTGGTATGCTCCCACTGCTGCCAATGAGCCAAAAGTCAGTCCAGCTGCTAAGGAAGGCAAGCTAGCTAAAAATATTTCAATAAAAAAGTTTAAATAGTGGTATTTTAAATGAACTTTACAAATGTCCGAAATTCTGTTGTCCGAAAAACATACTGCTTAACAACAATTACGTGCGCCGGAAAAATCTATGGAATGGCAATCAAGTATTTCAAGCTTACCTGATTTTACATAGCCCATTACCCCACCTCCAGCAACTATGGCGGCATAAGAATATCCTATTATATCTGCAGGCATGACATATAAATCGTTGTTTTCGCAATGTCGTGCCTTGTAATAAAATTAATGCGTGATAATTGCCATAGGTATCAACCTACTAAATATACTCGAGTAGAATATTGACCCTCGATAGTTTTATTGAGGAAAGGTTATTTGAAAAGAGTAAACAGTACAGCTTCCATTTATTATAGGGTTACAAACTAAGGCTACAAAATATTTAGGTGTAACAATTAGTAAAAATCTATCTTGGACCAATCATATAAATTATATGTATAACTTAACAGCAAAAGCAAATAACTCACTCAGATTTATAAAAAGAAATGTCAAAATTTCCAACGAAACGTCAAAGAAACTGCCTACAAAACTAACGTAAGGCCCCAGTTAGAACACTGTTCCGCGGTTTGGCATCCTTAGCAAAAATATCTGGTTAACAAAATAGATCAAGTTCAAAGGTCAGCTTCCAGATAATATATACCACGGAATTATATTGTAATATAAATCCGGATTTATATTGTAATATAAATCCGTGATAATACTTAATACTATATTATGACGTTATTTTTAGATTATACCTCTGACACCTTGATCCCAAAAATCCAGTGAGGTCAGCATCTGACCAAAAGCAATGCATCTCTTAAGATTGAAGGTCACGGGTTCATATGTTGTCCAGTTATTGATAGGAAACCGTTTTGACATAAAAGGTTAATGTGAACTTGACCTTTGACCCCTTATCCCAAAATCAAAAGAGGTCATCAAATTGGCAAACCTTTAAACTTTTCGTGCCAAAGGCCCATGGCTTGTTAAGTTATTGATCAATAAAACTGTTTTTACCTACAAGGGTCAATATGACCTTTACCCCTGACCCCAAATTCAATAGGGTCATCTTCTTGCCAAGACCAATGCACCTACAAAGTTTGAGGGCCAACATCCAATGGGTTGTCAAGTTATTGGTTGAAAACCATTTTTACCTACAAGGTCAATATGACATTGACCTTTGACCCCAAAATCAATAGGGGTCATCTACTAGCCAAATCCAATGCACGGATTGTCAAGTTATTGATTAGAAACCTTATTTACCTTCAAGGTCAATGTAACCTTGATCTTTGACCCTAAAATCAATAGGGGCCATCTACTGGTTATGAACAATCGTTGTACCAAGTTTGAAGTTCCTAGGCCTAAGCGGATCATAAACTGTTTTAAACTACAAGGTTAATGTGACTTTGACCTTTGACCCCAAAATCAATAGGGGTCATATACTGGTCATGAACAATCATCATACAATGTTAGAAGTTCCTAGACCTAAGCTATCAGAAACCGTTTTTACCTTCAAGGTCAGTGTGACATTGACCTTTGACCTCAAAATCAGTAGGGGTTATTTACTGGTCATGAACACTCATCATACTAAGTTTGAAGTTCCTAGGCCTAAGCATTCTTAAGTCATTGATCAGAAACCGTTTTTACCTAAAAGGTCAGTGTGACCTTGACATTTGACTCCAAAAATGAATAGGGGTCATCTACTGGTCATGTACAATCATCAAACCAAGTTTGAAGTTCCTAGGCCTAAGTATCCTTAGTAATTCATCAGAAACTGTTTTTACCTACAATGACAATGTGACCTTGACCTTTGACCCCAAAATGAATGGGGGTTATCTGCTGGTCATGTACAATCATCATACCAAGTTTGAAGTTCCTACCTCTAAGTGTTCTTTAGAATAGTTATTGATCGGAAACCAGTTGGTCTACGGACCGAGGGACCTACTAACAGACAAATGCAAATCAATATCACCCCACTTCTTTGGAAGGGGGTATAATAAGAGGTCATTAACTTGCCATGGGCAGTGTCCCTACCAACTATGCTTATTCCTTCCTAAAGGCACATTATACCTCAGAAATGAATAAATATTTCCTTCTTAATATAAAGGAAAACATGTGTTTAATAATGTTTAAATAACACTTTTAGAGCATGTTACTTGTTTATTACCTTTAGATAGTATTGCTCAATTTAAAATTATTTGTATGAAAGTAGCTAAAAGTAAAAAAAAAGTAGTATTTTGACTTCCATACAAAATACTAGATCACTATAACTGTACTAATTCCAAGAAAGCAACACAAACAAAATATGGCTCATGTAACTGGCCAATGAGTATCTTTCTGGCAACTACAACAGGAAAAACCAAATATATAAAGCCTTTCAGAAATGAAAAAAAAACCTATTCTAGGGCATAATGGGCTTTTAAGTTATTGACAGAATAAGGATCTAAAACTAATTTTCATGGTGACCTTTGACCTAAGACTCAATAGGGGTCATCTACTGACCCCTAATTAAGAATGAAGATGGCACACCTAAAGGTCAACAAGACATTGATGAGGCTAATGAAAAGGTGGAAAAGTGCCATAATGGTCAAGGTCATCTTTCCGCTTATAAATAAACAACAACAAAGAACACTGCATGCAGTGTTATCTCTAATCTGTTTCATAATTATTCAAAGTTAAAAAAGGCAAAACTCCTTACAAAATTGCTTTTCAAGATAGTGCCCCCTTCTTAACAACTGTTCCTCGTCATGATAATAATGAAAGCTTTGATGGCAATTTGTAGGCAATTTTGACAAAAATTCTAATTAAAAAGGGGCAGAATTTCCTAAAATATTTCTAACAGTTTGTTTGTTTGTTTCATTTTACGCCTTTTCCTAACAGTATTTCAGTCATATAGGCGGGTAGTTTCCTAACCATTGTTCCTGGAGAGTTACACCAGTACTAGACTACCTTCCTCCGTGCTAAACTACCAAAGCATCTCCCGGGGACAGAACCCATGCCAGAGAGGTTACTGGATTAGAAGTCATCGACTCTAACCCCTCGACCACGGAGGCGGTTATTTCTCACAGAATAATGCCCCTTGTCTAACAATAATTAAGCAAGTATTACAAGTCTGATGTTGATACTATTTATAGTTTTGAAATCATTCTATATGTATTTTTTACAAAAATTCTTACTTAAAAAATGGGCATAATTCCTAAAAATTCTTATTTTCAGAATTATTCCCTTTGTCTTACAACTACATCTCATCATGAGTATAAAGTTCTCTGTGTTTCATATGGATACCTTTAAAATTGTTTTGAGAAATTAGCTACATGGAGGTTTTTTCCAGACAGCAATGATAACACAGAAATCATAATAGCTTAACCTTTTCTATGAAACAGACAAGCTAAAATAGCAATGTTTTCACAAATCTTAGTTCACTAATAATAATAACACTGTCTTCATCAATATATATATATATTTCTACCAAAACTTTAATTATACAAAATCTATGACCAGCAATAAATTTACAACCATTAACAAGTAGTATGTATTAGAAAGCTATGGGAAAAAAAAAATTTAACTCGATAAAAAAGTTCATAATGTAAAAGTGATTCAAATTTTTATTTTTAATTTCTAATTTTTAATTTAATTTTTATTGAAATGCATTCCTTCCAAAATAATGTGAAGCAAGCTTTATTACAAATATCATTCATATATAACTTTCATTTTTCACTTTTATGATTACAATATATTAATCTAAATGGATACAAAGCAAAATGACTTGTGAGATATTGATAACACATGATTGCTGATGACAATAAATGTAAAAAGTGTTTAATTGATGGCAATATCTGAAGCAGCACTTTTATTGTTTTGACAGTTGGTATCCACTCTTTAGCACCATGAGAAGACTGAAAATAGACAGAAATGGCCATACAGATCATTTATACTTTCTGGAACAAGCAATTAGTGCATAGTACTACCTTTCCTGCCATCTTGGCTGTCTGGAAAATAAAAGTACCTCCTTTATAACCTTTGACATTCTGAATATGTGTAGTTGATTTGCTCAGCTTTGAATTTGGAGTAGTCAAATTAAAATTTCAGAGATTTCAATATCAAAATACAAGGCAGTCTAAAGGACAGCTATATCACTTGCTGCAGTAGAACATTGGAATTGTTAACAAGTGTGAGGAGAGGTAAGCCCTCCCAATATTATCATTTGTGCCATGTAATTGTTAAAAAAAATTCATTTGTTATAGATGGAGAAGACACTAAGTGTGGACTTTTTACATTTTACCTTAAAGAGTGACCTTGACCTTGTGGATAGCCACCTGGTTTTGTGCTGTGCACATCATCTCAAACAAGTGATTATTTGTGCCATGTTATTTTACAAACTTTTCATAACTTTAAAAGTTAAAGAGTGGACAAGAAATATGAACAGTATACATTTAGTTAGTTTTTAATTTAAGAATTTATTTCAATTTGATTGTGTTGGAAGCTATAAGAACACTGAAACACTCTTGAATCTGTTCCTGGAACCAGCCAGTACTAGGCAATGCGTTTAAATTTTTTTGCTCAAAGAAAAAACAGCTTGGAAATTCCAGCTTGTACTGACAGTCAATGTTTTCTTGCATATCAGACTGGTGATTCTGTTAGTTTTACCCAAGCAGAAAGTTTCATCTGGCAGGTCCTCTTAAGACGGATATACCGATCTGGACCGCAAACATGACAGATATTATAATAATTAAGATTATTTCATGTCCATTAATGCTATAACCTGTCCATTTCTATTCATTATTGATGAGAAGGATTTATACAAATGTAGATTACCTTTCAGACAAAATTAATGTCATAATAATTAATTACCAAAAGTCTACAATTATTTGGTTGAAGTTTCCAATAAACCTTTCATTACAGCCTTCAGCAAAAGTTCACAGCCTTCAGCAAAAGTATCAGAAATTACCTGAGTGTTGCAACAAGACCGGCTGGCATGAATTTCCCAGAGTTATAAAACCTGTATCCCATCATACACATTAATGTTGCACTTGTTCCTGAAATCATGTTAATTAAAGTAAAGTACAATTTCTTAAATGATTCAACGTGAAATTGATCATATTAACATAAATCATCGGCAAATTTCTCCAAATAATTATAGCATACTGAATTAGAATAGTAATATTTAAGTCGTAGATTGAATAGAATGCTATTAAAGGATTCTATAATATATACACACTTAATACAAAATTTAACAAAAATTAGATGCATAACAAAATTTTAATGTCAAAGTCAAGTTTTTCCATATCTATGTACAAAGATAATACCAGAGTTGACAGTGATTTTCATACGTACATTGTGTAATTGATTTTTGTCAAATCTTATAATGTTTGGATGATGTTTAAGGGTTTTTTGGTTGTAAGAGGGGGGGGGGGGGGGACAAGGTTATAGTCATACAGTAAATCATGGCCACAGGCCAAACACCACATGCAGTAACTATTATCTGATCATTAGATCATTATATATACAATTAAAACAGTAAAGGTATTTTGAAAAAAGCCTGAATAATGCTGCTTTGCTTAACATTATAAATTTAATTCAGGTTACTTTACCAAGAGATAATTTAACATCATTAGAGTTCTGTGTTGTCTGATATGCTCCCAATGCTGCCAATGAGCCAAAAGTCAGGCCAGCTGCTAAGGATGGCAAACTTGCTACAAAAAAGAGATGAATAGATACAATCTTCTTTTGATGAAAGTAATGAAAATAGACTTAAATAATTCGAGTTTACTTGTTATCTTCCGATTTAAAGTGGCATTGATTATTAATACATTATACAGTTATACCAACGTGTGTTGTATCCGAAATTGTGTTGTCCGAACAACATACTACTATCATAATAATTACATTGTGTAGAGAAGCATTTGGAATGACAAGCCTTAATTCGAAGATTACCTGATTTAACATAGCCCATTATTCCACCAGCAGCAACTATGGCAGCATACCCAAATCCTATAATATCTGCAGGCATGATTTTCTTTTACACCCGACAACTTCCGTATGGCGTTATAAAAATATTTTGTGTAAATTACAAAATGTGGGTCTTACGCTGCAATTGCATTTATTTCCATGCACCAGTTATCACTTTCAAACAGTCCATCCAGTGAAAGGTGTCAATGCTATAAACTAGACTATTGTCATAAATACCTGCATTGTAATGGACAAAGGGGCTTGTAACAGTGCTAGGACTCTATATTAGGGTCATTTGTAACCAAAACTAGGTCCAGACCCAAAAAACAGGTGACAACCCTTATATATAGAGATGTGACCAAAACTAGGTCCAGACCAAAAAAAACAGGAGACTTATATATAGTCTAAAATAGAGTTCAAGCACCATTACAACCCCCTTTGGTTATGGAGATGAAACATTCACGCAAAGCCTTTAGTATTACCTTATAGTCAATAAGACACCTCACTTACTTTACTTAGCACTTGATAGTAGCCAACAGGGCCACAATGTTCGCAAGAGTATTTTTCTGTTTTTACCAATATAAGAGTTACATGTTTTGGTCACTGACCTACTGATGGACAAGTTTTAAGTAAATACCCTCAGTAATTGGGAAGAACCCGTATGCAAATCATTATGACTTTTCTAAAATCACAAAGACTTGAGGCTTATTTAAAAAAATATTTACGGATTATGGTCAGTGTTTTACAATATTTTGATCCCAGACATGTGTGCAGTTTCAAGAAAATACTGTTACTTCAGTGGTTGTGAGGATAGTCTCTGCGAAGTTATATATATGTAGACAAGAACCTTAAAAAGAGACTGAAAAGATTCAAGTGAATACTTTCTTTGTTCAATGGAAAGTTCAGTTGCTACAAAACTAAGCCAAAGCCAGACTATGCCGGAATAGTTTATTCAGAGAGGGAAGAGGCCCACCAATTTTTGTATTTTGTATGTACACCCCGAGGATTGTGTTTGTAAAATTGTATATTCTGTGGTTACAATAAAATATTATTAAACTATTAGCCAGAGTTATGGTTCTTGATATGCATAACAATCTTAAAAGCAAGCCATCAATACACCACTGCCAACCTAAGTAGGATATCTCTCCTTTTCCCTGAATAACTGAGCTATGAAAAACAAAGATGAGAAAACATTTTGATTTTCATTTTATTTACAACAGATATAATGAAGAAAAAAAATCGTAGCTGTCAACATGTTTGTGATCAATGCAATATGACTGAAAACACTGAAACAATAAACTGTAACAAAATAACCATAAAACATCTTGTTCAAGTATACAACATACATAGTAATGTTAACATAAATTTGTGTATTCAGTATACAAGTAAAGTGTATAGAAAAACTCTATCATGGCTGTAATACTAAGGTTTAATTTCAAGTATGATCAAGATTTTTAATTTATTTTTGTCTGCTTTTATGTCACACCAACACAGTATAGGTCATACGGCCACTTTCCAGCATTACTGGCAGAGGAGGACCTCATATGCCCCTCTGTTCATTAATTGAAGCATTTAGGGACCATCAATGGTCTGACAGCTAGGTGGATGGATAGCTTCCTCACATAAAAGAATCAAATAAAATGGCTATTTCGGACTTGGAATCAAAAGGGGGCCAGTTGAAGTCATTGATCATAACCACTCGGCCATGGATGCCCTATCATCAAATATCAAAATAATTTACTTTTCACTTTGCCAAATATGTATAACAGACTTGTGACATGTTAAATTTGGAACTTTGTTATATTGTTATTGTTATAGATGTGATATCAATACAATATTAATCAGTAAAAAATCAAACAAAACAAGTAAATAACAATATAAAATCTAGCCAGTAATCTGTGTAATTTATATACTTTTCTAACACGATCTGCATTTTTCCCTATTGAACATAGAAGAACCGAAAGTGTGTCTTATTATGCTATAAAGTCACTGTTTGGCGTTCTATATTTAGACATGTGACTTAATCATTAAACATGTGACGTAACCGCTATAAAATCTGACGCGCTGATAATAAGTACGGAAACAAATCAGGCGCTATTTTGCTTAATATCAAGTACGGCAGCATTTATTTGTTCATGTCGTGTTAGAATCAAAATAATATATCCAAATCGATGATTTTATCGCTGGATAACATCACTGTTTGTCATTCGGATGCGCATCATTATATCACTCGGGCTACGCCCACATGATATAATTCCTCGCATCCGAACTCCAAACAGTGATGTTATTGAGCGATAAAATCACAGTTTGGGATATATTATTTCTTAAATAAAATGAAAAAAGGAAATCTGAATATTAAACTTATAGAGGCTGTAATCATAAGGTTTGACCAAGAAATATGTATACTAAACACCAAGTTATATGACAGTCTTACCATTTAACTTTACCATTTTGAATTTGCAAAATGTCCAATTGTAACACATTAAACAGTAAACTTTAAAATTCGAGAGCAATATTATGTCCAGTCAGACGTAACAGATGTGTGGGCTAACCTGGCTCTATACTAGTGACGTAGGCATGTTGTTACAATTGAATGTGTCTTTATAACTAAACTAACACTAGTTTCCTCTTCTCATTGCACCTATAAACTACAGGGCTGTGTGTAAAATCCCAGATTTATTTTTTTTATTTTCATAATTCAATGATTTTAAGATACAGACGGGAAAACTGTAAGCTTAGAATATAGCACATTTTTGCATTGAAATTTTTTTTTAAAAATCTAATGATCAATGACTTGATTGGGTAAATTTTGTTACTTTGATTACATATAAGAATTAAATGTTTAATATTGACATTTAAAATATAATTACTCTAAGAATGAATTATCAAAACCTTGAGAATCTGGTCACACAAGGCATGAGGCCAATACATGTATCAGGTTTTCATTAGGTGGTTATGAACCCACGAGAGTTTGGTGGCTCATTATCTGGTAAGCTCACAACATTAGCAGAAACAAGGATTAAGATATTCTCTACAGATCCAATTACTTGCCTGTAACTAATAAATTACCACCAACATGAGAAAACCTCCCTTAATGTCACTTACTTTTTTAAATGACATTGAATTCTTAAAGAAATTCTATTCTATTCTAATGTTACCTATTCATATTTACCTTTAACATTTCAAGGGGAGTTCACTTTTTTATTTTTATAGTCAATTGCAAAGTTAACGTCTTTTGACATCATTCGTAAAATGACTTCAAGAGTGGTTTTCTCATTCCGGCGTTCATTACATATAAGTGATACAAATTCCATGTATAATCATGAGAAGTCTTTTAAAAATTGTAAGTTAAAAGAAAGAAAAAACATTTTTTTTTAGGCGAAAAGTGTTCATTAGTACAGCATTTTCTCTAACCAATAGAATGCTGTGGGCGATAAAATTTACCCATGCAACCAGTGCAGACCAAGATCAACCAGAACATCAGTGCTATGGGATCATGGTCTAAACTGTTCAGTATTCAACAGTTCATACTTTGCTAAAATTCATTAATGGTTTTGTTCACACTGAAAAATGGACAAGTCCATTTAAGAAATTTAGCATGGTATGGGCTAATGAATACATGTGCATGTATGTCTTAATTATGTCCAAGTACAAGTAATTTACAATATGAAGATTGGCTATAGTTACATCCAATACCTAAAAGCAATTATCAAATTATTTAAAAAATACAAGACCCTTAACCTGCTAAATTTGTGTTACAGATGTTTCTTACTTTGAATTTGGAACAGTCTACATGTATTTGGAAACTCAGGGATTTCAGCTACCAATGTATCAGTATAGAGCCTGGTCAGGGCTGCACAGATGTGCATGGTGGCCTGGCTGTATATGGGTGGCAAAGACCAACATAACAGGTTCTAACAGGTTCTAACAGGTTAAGGGTTACACAAACAACATACTTTACATCTTCATAAATAAAGAACATGATAAAAAAATACAATAAAACAATGCTTAATGTCTTGACATGTTATATAACCCATTCTGATAATCAGATTTAAACAGGGTTAAGTTTGTTGTGATTACAAAACAAAAGAAGAATGTGATAAAGCTATAAAAGCTGTTTAAAGTCACTTATCCAAGTTTGCAATGCCCATTTGCTGAGACACTTTTCCGAAAACAATTCAACAAAGTATCTTACAATGGCTTCAAATGTTGTAATGAACACATTTTCTGTAAGGAATTAATCAATATCAATAATCAGAACCAGTCGTAATCGGGAATGTTGCCATACTCATCATAGATGTCATTTTCCCAGTAATCCGAGTACACATCCTCATCATCATAGGACAGGTCTTCGTCCTCTTCAGGGTCATCATCAGGATAGTCAATCTGGTATGTTGCTTGACTCCGAACACCGAAGTACTTGCAGTGCGGGCAGTCAATGTGACATCTCACAAGATTAGATGGAATCTTGGCAACCACTACTCCACTGTTTGTAATTGCCTTTGGCGCTTCTTGAAGTGTTTCCCATTTTCTATTCTCGAGATCATATTTACATGCACTAGTTAGCAAATTCTTTCCACTTTTCCCCCCAATCACATAAAGTTCACTCTGATGGGTTGAGTATATGAAGTCAGATCTTGATGGCTCGTCCAGAGGATGTGGAACGAGAATATCCTTGCCGGAGGACCATCGACGCGTGTTGATGTCAAACTTTTGGTACCGGTAACAACCTTGTTTCGTCAGGAACACCTCATTTTTTATAGCGAACATAAACTGCTCATGTTTCACACCTCTAGAATGCTCCTGCTGCTTCATATTTTTTGTGTCTGTTGTAAAAAATCTAACACTCTTTGTTCTTTGCCTAGAAGTACCACCAGCTCCACATTTTGAGCACAGCACTGCAACATATCTGTCCTCCACAATACATGTTGTTACCTCTGTTTTAACATTTCTAGAACACAATGGAATCACAACATCACAGTTCAGCATATCAGTTGATACCCGAAACAAATAAACCATCCATTGAGGCAAGGTTCCACTTTTAGCACCGACAGATCGACCTGACGCTATGATGTACATTCTGTTGTTTACCATCAGGATATTCTGTATAGTAATATCACGGAATGGTTTAGGCAGAGTCATATGTATGGTTGTCCAAGATTTGTCAGTGACACTATACTTAAACAGGAAGGCCTCATTGTCATCAATAACAGCACTAGTGCTTGCATCATATACATATAGTGAGCTTGTGTTGTTACAGAAAGCCACTAAAGGGCGCCTCATTGAGAAAGGAAGGGGAGCTAACTCTGTCCACCTATTTTCATTGATTATGTAACCGTACACATGATTTATGGAGATTATATCTGATATAGGAAGGAATGGCACAGCAAAGAACGAGTGAAACAGCTGACCCATTCCACAACCACCGACAACCAGAATGACCTCACTGTTGGCTTCATCTGGCAACAGTCCAGCCATATGCTTCATCTTTACATTCAGAACATGAACTTTGCATTTGTCTGAACTAACAACCAGAGGCGAGGTTTCTACATTATTCTCCAAATACTCTCTTGGCATTTTTTTCAGATCAAGCTCACAGAACAAGCTCTCGAAGTGTGACTCTCTTCTCTTTAAATCATGCTCTACCCATCTGATAATAAATTTATAGAAATCTGTCACGGGAACATAGTTGAGGGACTTATCCTTTAACATTTCTAATATTGACTCAGCTGTCAAACTCAGAGTATCTTCTAGCTCCATAACTTCCGGTAAATGCCCTCGAATATAGTCAAACACTTTATTGTAAATGTCAAGGTCATACAAACTGGCTAGAAGACAAAGATGAACACAATTGCTAACATTGACATCTACTCCTAATAGGTAATTTGTACACGCTGTTTTCAGGTCATCGATTTGCAGGTAGTCGGCCACCTCTAGGATGTCTTTTACAGTACTATACGAGAGCTGTAGTGTACCAGTGTACAGAAATGTAACAGCTGATCTCACTGCCAATACCTTACCGATGCTTATATGTATTTTCCCTGTCAAAAAAAAACAAGAGATTACAATACTAAATGAAGATGAAACTTCAACAATTTTCTGCTTTTCTGTGTAATTACTGGGAAACAATTTCATTCTTTTTGTATTTTAACAGATTAAAAGAACATTCATTTTGTTACACAAACAAATTTTCTTTATATAAAATTTGCAGAAAGTAAAAAAAAAAGTCAAAAACAATTCAGTTTCTTATTGATAATTCAAATGTATGGTAATAAAATTTATTTAACTATTAGAATTTAAAATTTCAAGTTATTCAAAGTGTCTGTGTTAGTAAAATTAACAGTCAATCCTATACTAAAGATCAACTCTGTACTAATACAGGACTTAAGGTACCACATTGGTTCAAACCCTGCTGGATTCACAAGCATATTTCCTCATATGGTTCCGGTACTATTTTCAGGAACCAGACTTATGAGTGTTCCAAAAAAAAAAGATTTAAGCTTTAATTCATGGGTGCCAGTTTAAAATATCAGAAAACCTGAAAACCCTAAATACAGCATTACTTCAAATGGTTTTATATATGCAAATGTCTGAAAATTTAAACCCATGTTAATTCTAGATCAAGCCTTTGTGAAGCTAAAATAAAACATGTTTAACTTTAAAAAATTTAAAAATAATTAAACACACACCCTTCCCATAATGACAATCTATTCATTTGTCAATTGTGTACATAAATGCAAAGAATACTTTTTCTAATAGACTACATGTACCTGTCGATATAGACCATTTCTTATTTTACAAAGACTTGCCCTTACAGACCAGTTTGATTTTATAGCCGAAAAAGATTTTAAGCAAAATTTTTTTGGTGTGTACACATTTTTCTAATATGTTGCCTGCTTCCTTTTGTTAAACTTTTCTAACATGATTGTTGCTCACATCCTTTTAGTCACTATAATCTGAAATCTTACAATTCTGTCAAAATGATTACAATGCTGAATTACAGAAAAACATAATTACAGAATCTTGACCTACCGGCTTGCTTTTCTGACATTCCACTATTGTACAAAGACTGGAAATATGGACACGACACCAAAACACACCAATGAGCCTTCATTTCCTTCAGTACAAAAAGACACTTGGTTAGATAAAAAGCAGTACATCTTTTTGCTTAGAATAAATTGAAAATAATACCAGGGCTCTCAGTAGGGTCAGAATTTCACGAGTCAAAGACTCTTTGGCCAAACTTTTCATGAGTCAAATCATTTTTTTCTAGTGTCATTTGACTACATGAAACATTTTTATGTTACAAAAATGACTGTATTGGAGGTCATTTTTGGAGATTCCAAAGTCTAAATTGACAGAAAAAAATCCATAATTATTTATGTCTATATCCCCCCTCCACCTAAAAAAAACAAAAACAAAAAAAACAAATAAAACAAAAAAAATGAATTGCTGTGAAAGAATAAAATAAGCAGCAGCTTTTCTGATTAAATGTATAAAATATAAAAAAAAATATCTTTACAGGTATGCTATATCATATTAATTTTAAATACCAAAATGTACCTGGAATATTTAATGGAAAAAGAAAGAACAAATGCACAGGTACTCCAAGTAAATCAAAGAGTATTATAAACCTTTAAAAGCAATCATTAATTGGCACCTCAAGTATGTAATTCTTATCAGTTGTGTAGAGCTATTTTTAGCACTGTCAATTGCAGCCACTGAATTGTCGCGCTTCAGTGCACAGGGTATAAACAATTGCAGTGTGTAAAGCATTTTATACAGGGCTTATACTGCCTGTTGACATTTTTAATGAGTGTCATTTGAGCATATGTAGGATTTGATAGGTAATTAGGGGTGATTAAAGGTAATTATTATTGAATAGCTGAAAATCCCATGTGGCAAATTGACTCTTGAGCGGTTTTTATCACGTGTCAAATTTGTGCATTTCCCAATTTTCACGAGTCAAAACCCGGATCCCCGTGTCAATCGAGAGCCCTGATAATACTATGATTTTATTTGATCTCAAAATGAAATCATGATTTTCTTTCATGTATAACAAATACCTGATGCTCTAACTAAATAACTATGCAAAGGAATATTATAGGAGTCAGCCAAAGTAAATCACAGAAACAAATAAACATTACAATCAATCCTGTTTAAAATCAAATATATTTTGGGACTTTGACAAAATGCCTGTAGTACCAGATATCTATATAATTGGGGTGCTTAACTAAGACTATGATAACAAGAATAATCATAGATTATGCTTAAGGGTTGTCGTAAGTAGAGGGCCATTGTGGAAGTTTGGGATTCATTTACTGCTTGTTTTTGGCTTGTGACTTCCAAAATGTAATACTTTTCCTTCTTTACCTATGTAATGTGACTTCCAATTTTAGACATTTTACAGTTTTTGACTTCCAAATTTTGGAACTTAATGGAAGCCCTGCCAAAATGAGTCTTGACAGCCTCAAAGACATTTTAGACTGCCTTAAAACTTTGCAGACACTCTTTGTTGTATGTGATAAACCAAGTGTCCACTTCAAATTCAAAACAGACTGTCTAAAAATTTTTTAATGACAACCCTGCTGCACACATGGACAACACATCATTCAACTTCCATCTTAAAAATCTTTCCATATGCTCCATTCTACGGTGGCACAGAGGTGACATGTGGGTGTCTTAATTTATCTCGTTCCCACGAGATAATAAGTCGTTCCCACGAGATAATATCTCGTTCCCACGAGATAATTATCTCGTTCCCACGAGATAATAAGTCGTTCCCACGACATAATATCTCGTTCCCACGAGATAATTATCTCGTTCCCACGACATAATATCTCGTTCCCACGAGATAATAAGTCGTTCCCACGACATAATATCTCGTTCCCACGAGATAATATCTCGTTCCCACGAGTTAATTATCTTGTTCCCACGAGATAATATCTCGTTCCCACGAGATAATTTCAGCCAATCAAAACTCAGTATAGTGGAAAAATTAAAAGTTATTTCCCTTTTTTTAACAAATGCTAAAATGGACTTTAACAATCAGGCTAATATTAGAAACCTTATATCAAGATACTTTCATGAAAGATTGAATTACCGGCAAATAGTGACTGTGTTGCGAGAACAACATGGGATATTATTGTCAATAAGACATTTATATAGACTTTTAAGGTCTGAAGGACTTCAACGAAGGTCGTACTCTGATCCATCTTCAGTTATAGACTTCGTCCAGAATGAACTCCAACATTCAGGCCAGCAACACGGATACAGGATTATGCGTGAAAGATGTCTGGCAAATGGTTTTCCTGTCACATTGAAAGCTTTTCATTGGCTAATTTATCTTGTTCCCACCAGATAATTATCTCGTGGGAACGAGATATTATCTCGTGGGAACGAGATAATAAGTCGTGGGAACGAGATATTATCTCGTGGGAACGAGATAATTAACTCGTGGGAACGAGATAATAAGTCGTGGGAACGAGATATTATGTCGTGGGAACGAGATAATTATATCGTGGGAACGAGATATTATGTCGTGGGAACGAGATAAAAAAAGACACCCACATGTCACCTCTGTGCCACCGTACCATTCTGCCATTCAAGAACTTTTTCTACAATATACCAAGCACAATTTGCGTCTGAAAGTTAATTTAAAAATGAGATGATAATAAGAACTTGATAACTATTCAATAAATAACTTAAATAGATCTGAACCTGAATGTTTATATAACTCTTGAAAACTTACAATTCCACTGAACACTAGAGTAACATCACAGAATTCTGACTGAGCTAACATTTGATCATACAAATGTTGTTGTAGTTTGACAGCATGAGTTGATGTGTTACCCATCTGTCGAGGGTATGGCTCATCCTCCATCTTTGACCCAATCTCTTCTGAAAGAAGACCCCTGAAAGTACAAATAAACATATTATAACTTAAGCATTACATTCTTTAAATAGCCTTAATTATCAAGTATGTTTGAAAAAATATGTTTGACAATGACCAAATACGTTGACACAAAATATGTACCGATCATTCGTGTCAAGTTTGGATGAAATTGCACCAGTACTGAGTAGTTTCTGAGGAGTAGTCCAGACAAGTTTTGTGCGGACAGAGGGTCAGACAGATGGCGGAGAAATGATCCCTATATGTTGCTGCTACTCACTAGCAGGCAACACAAAATTTGGCATTTACTAAGTACTGTTGAAAAAAACAGAAAAGGCTTCTTTTCCCATGAAACACTCTGCTGAGCGTTTTTTTTAATTTAGAATTTGTGAATGGGAAAGGTCCAGTCAAATTGGGAAAAATGTATTGTGATGCCAAAAAATTTGGAATTTTTTTAAAAGTTTATAATTTTTCACATAATATTTGTTATTGTGACTCATGACGGGACAATGGTTCCAGTGTAATTGGCATGCTTATTATGTTATCTTTACAATGTAAACATGTTCCATCAGCGCATTCTAAATTTATCTGTTTTTTCAATTGGGAAGGTAAATTGAAGCATATGCTGATAAAGTTTATTCCTAGGTATTAACAATATTAAATTGGTCAGGTGCCGCAAATACACGCAGCAAATTTAATTTGTTGAAAACCTACTTATAAATTTGAACTAGGTTACAGTACAGAATTGTTTTAAATTATTTTTAAAAAAACTCGATTTACATGACTGATTACTTATTTGCTGATTTTTCAATGAAAATGAGTTACGATCATTTGAAATACTGCAATCCTATTGGACAAAAAATAATTTCAAACACTAAATATATGTATATGTTTATAATGATATTAAAAGAAAAACAAAGAAACATCAATATTTAAATATTTTATTAAAATAAATCACGGTCCGTCTCGTCTAGAGTCACGGTCCGCCTTGTCCAAACATTACATACGGTCCACCCTGGTACGGTCCGCCCCGTCTCACGGTCCGCCCTGTCTGTAATTCCAAAATCTATATTCTACTTATTTTTTAAAGAACTGAAAGATGTTTCTTGATTTCAAATCAAATTCAACTTTGCATTAATAGTGTTGCGATAAGTTTTCTGTGTGTGAAAATGACTGTTAAATTAATAAAATTATGCTAACAGTTTCACAGTAGAAACAAACAGTTTGTTGAATAAGTCAAACCATTCATCAGTTCATGCTCAATATTAAGTAACTCAAGGGCCCTTAAACTTAAAATGTTATCAGTTAAAATGGACTGATTGCTGTTCTTGACTTAAACAGTGTTAAAGATAAACAGAACATTTTTTTCATTACTGTACATTTTAATCAATTCTTTATTTTATTAACTTAAAGCACATTTTTGATCATTATTTTGAAGTGGGGCAAATCATGACTAAAGAGTAAAGAGGGGCAAATCATTATGGTGTGAATCGTTATCAATTTCTTACCGAAATGTTTGACAATGTGAATAACAAAGGTGTTTTATGAATATCTAAAATTTATGTCTTGAATTCTTTATCACCCAATAAACTTGATTTCGTCATAATTAAAAACCATTGAAGCGAAAGAGCTACATTTTAAAATGATAAATGCGGAAGTGTATAGTGATTTTTATCCGAAGATTGCGTATATCCGGATACTACTGCATACAACAATATGTTCACAGTAAGAACTTAGACTAACTAGAACGATGATAGTAATCTGACAATATTCTTGAAATAAATATGATGTAAAATGAAAAACTAAAGGTGTTACAAAAGAAAAAATAGCGATTTCGTTACCAATTTTCAACTTTATCGCAGAGCGCTCTTGAACTGCGTTTGATTTCCATCGCATGCCTCTTACGATTATGTTGAGTTGCCCATCGAGTATTTATTTCCTCAGACATCCCTAATTGTGGGCTACCAACAAGAAATAGGCTATGGAAAACATATAGGTCTAACAGTTTGTGTTGAAGTGGAAAATAGTTAAAATCTTTAATAAGAGATGGCAGGAATGATTAATAGTAAAATTCTGTATTTGTGTGGATATTTTGTGCGTCATCCGCTGTTCCAGGCACAGGTGCTCGTCCAGCAGATCTTGGTGCTCATATAAAAATAAATTGAAGTTAAAAAAAAAACAAAAAACAAAAAATAGTATTATGAGCGTATAGAGCGTAGGAGATTTATAACTCCTACGTAGGAGATAAAAAAAAAGCCTAATTAGGAGTTTGAAAGTCCTACGTAGGACTATATTAGACCTACGTAGGACTTTATAACTCTTACGTAGGAGATATAAAAACCTAATTAGGAGTTTCAAAGTCCTACGTAGGACGTACAAACTCCTACGTAGGACTTTATAACTCAGGATAGGAGTTAAAAAAGCCTAATTATAGGAGTTTATAACTCCTATACGTAGGACTTTATAAGTCCTACGTATAACTCCTACGTAGGAGATAAAAAACATAATAAGGAGTTTTAAAGTCCTACGTATATAGGAGTTTAAAAGTCCTAGGTAGGAGTTTATAACTCCTACGTAGGACTTTATAAGTGTTCCTCTAACGTAGCTATTATAAAGTCCTACGTAGGAGTTATAAACTCCTAATTAGGCTTTTTTAACTCCTACGTAGGAGATAAAAACATAATTAGGAGTTTTAAAGTCCTACGTAGGAGTTTAAAAGTCCTACGTAGGAGTTTATAACTCCTACGTAGGACTTTATAAGTTTTCCTCTACGTAGGAGTTATTTAAAGTCCTACGTAGGAGTTATAAACTCCTAATTAGGTTTTTTCTATCTCCTACGTAGGGGTTTTCAATTTTTATAGAACAATTGTTAAATTGGCACCAGGACGCTTCCGTACGAAGTAGTAATGGTATATAGGAAAAAAACATTTTTTCTCTTTCCCCTAACCCAGAATAGTTGTTTAGGTGGGTTTTTTGGGGTTTTTTTTGTTTGTTTGTTTTTTTAACTTCAATTTTTTTGTATATGGGCACCAAGACTGGACGAGCACCTGTGGTTCCAGGAGGGAGCTAGTAGATCAGGAAGGTACTTTTCATGTTTGTTTGTGTCATCTTATTTCTTAGGATTCCCAGTCAACTTCATTCGTGACTTTAACATTAGACACGAGTTTAGTCGTTCCAGTTATTATTTTAGCGGTTTCATGTTTAATTTATTCGAGCTCCTTTTTATTACACAGTGTACAATTATCAAAAGCACATCTCCATATTCTACAATCTGTCTTATCATTATGAAAGATTGGTACACGACTTCTAATGATTTCATGTCGAACTAGAATTATATTTTTTCATAACGTTTCTTCTTTTCCAAGCTTTATTATTGATATATTCGATATGTGTGGACCATCGTAGGTCATGAATGAAAGCACGGATTTATATAAATCCGTGATGAAAGTAATACTTTTAATAGTAGTATTTGTGAATACGTAGTTCTTTTATTTGTGTGGCTTGCATAAGGATGGAATGATAAATTATGTTTCTGCTTGTTTTTCGTGCTATCAATAGGGACTCTGTTTCAAATAGAGACAAAACTATGAATTGAAACAAGAAATACTGGAAATTAGGGATGACATGGTATATAAGATCTTGTCACTTGAGTTGTAATAAATTAGCTAAAATTTTTGGTTTGCGACCAGCATGGATCCAGACCAGCCTGCGCATCCGCGCAGTCTGATCAGGATCCATGCTGTTCGCTTACAAACCCTATATAACAAGTAGAGAAACTGATAGCGAACAGCATGGATCCTGATCAGACTGCGCGGATGCGCAGGCTGGTCTGGATCCATGCTGGTCGCAAACCCATTATGTTGGTTTTGTCATGACACGGCTCATATAATTATGACAATATGAATATTAAGTTCTTGCATGTAATTGATCGATGTGTCAATTGTTATATGCACATATATTATGCTTTTGTAAATATAATGCGGATTCGTTTCTTCATTTTTATAAATGAATTTTGTCATTGCCATCTGTTTGCCAAATAAACATATTTTTTGTTGTTGTTGTTGTTTTTTTTTGGGTTTTTTTTCCGTCTCCTGAGCTGGCTCAGTGTGGATTTTTAGAATCGTTGAATATCCGTCATCTGTCGTCTGTCCACATTTTGTTCGTTAATACGCTAGATATCACATTTTTGCCTCATTTGTCATCAAACGTTGACATGATGTTTGTTCCGATAGAATTCCCAAGCGAGGTCTTCCTTAAGCTTGCTGAATACTAAGTTTGATAATTTCTCATTCCTAACTTGAGTTATCGCCCAGTAACTTTTTTTTCTATATTTAGTGACAGTTGCTCGACCTTAAACATAGGGAGTCAAATGGCAATCCCAAGCGAGCTTGCTATATACCAAATTTGATTATAACATCAAATTAAATTATTCCTAAATTTAATCTTTGTCAGGAAACCATTTTTTTCTATTTTTAGTAAAAGTGACATTGACCTTGGACCTAGGGTGTTCAAAAGCAATCACAGCGAGGTCTACACATCAGTTTGCTATATTTTGATGATGTCTAATATTTCATTCCTAGCATTAGTTTTCGTCCGGAAACCATTTATCTATTTTAAGTAACAATATTTCATTAACCTTGACCATAGGGATTACAAAGGCGATATCAATTGGATTCTTTACATGCTTGCTTTGTATCAAGTTTGATTACAATATCTCTTTCTTAATACTAGTTATCGTCTACTACGTCTAGTGGCCTTGACCCTAGAATATACAAAAGACAAGCCCAGACGGGGTTTCATATATACTAAGCTTGCTATATGCTAGGTTTCATTATAACATTTCATTCCAAACTATTGTTATCGCTCAGAAACCATGAAGTGAACCGACCGACGGACAGACCGACCGACCAAAAAGCTTACCCCTATATTCTCCTCAAAACTTCTTTATGTGGATATGAAAAAATATAAAGAAAATATTACGATACCATATCAATATTTAAGCACAGAAATATATTATTAATGATAGTATACTATCTAAGAAAACTCTAAAACTTTCATTTAAAATTCACCATTGCTCCTAAAATCGTTAATTCATAAGTAAAAAAACCTTAAAACCCAAAATAAACACACATTTATTGATACTGATATTTAATGAATTTATTGCATTTCCTTTTAAAATATGAGAACGAAACGTCTAAACAATTACAGCTATCAAGCTATAGCTTCCAGCTAACAACACCTAGAAAAGATAAAATAAAAACCTTAAAATGCCCAGCTTGACACAACTAAAATGGTGCTTGGGAGCATGAAAGATGTTGCACATTCCATTTACTCTAGTGAACAGACTCAATCAAACTGAACTTTCTTTTTCACTTTTCACTGCTGTCGAAGGAGAATTTAGTTACACGTGCAGATGTCAGATTTTTGAATTAAGTAACATCAAGAAGAATGCGTCGGCTCCAAAGGATCAAGAATGAAAGAACTAACTAGAATGAAATTCTTGGAGATGGGATCAGAAGTTATAAAGCCTGCTCATCACAGATAATTTACTGCCAGAAGACAACTTTACAAAGCAGGCATCATATTTAAGAAATACCGTAACCACACAAAAAATAAATGATTACATCGATGCAAGTAAAAATACAACTAAAATAACAATGATATTTTTTTCAAGATTGTATAAAAAAGAAATATCGCACGGAGGGACACTTAAGGTCTTCCCCTATCTCTGAAGCACGAAAGTCACCATATGACCTTCAAAAAATGAGGTTTGACCTAATACCTAACAACAACAAAAAAAGTAAATAAATAAAATTGTAATAGAATAGAAAATAAAAGAAACAAAATATTTTACATTACAGAGTACCCCTAATTTGAGCCCCTTAATGATATTTAATGGAGAAAACTGTAAAGATACGAACGAAATATTATCATATGTTGATAAACTTGAACTATTAGTGTATTAAAAATCTCTACTAAAACCTTAATTTATCTCAAACGTGATGCTTTAATGATCTTTATTCTATATTTAAGTAGATAACAATTTGATAAAGTCATTTTCTTATGAGCTAATTCATTACTTGGATTGACTGGCGGTTTCAAACATGTTAGTTTTTGTTTGTTTCGTTTATTATTTAGCCGTAGCGAGTGCACATGGAATTCAAGAAGAATCTTTTAGGAAAAATATCATGAATGAAATAACAGCATTGAAAACAAGACAGAATTCGTGTGACAAAAAAGTTTCTGAATTACAGGCTGTCGTAGATGAACTACAGAGACAAAACTATGAATTGAAACAAGATCGAAATACTGGAAATTAGGGATGACATGGTATATTAGATCTTGTCACTTAAGTTGTAATAAATTAGCTAAAATTCATTTTTCTTAAAGTTTCATAACATCTTATGTTTTATTCAGGTATAACCAGTCATAAATTTCAAAACTGGTCAGGAAGAGGCAAGTATTCGTGTCAAGCTTACGAAGTTGTTACAATAAAGGCCCATTTTGCATCAAAAATGCTTTTATTTTCATTTTTTTTTAGTTTTTCTAATTTTGATGTGCTTTTATAGTATCCAAGTATCCAAAAGGTTTCTCATTGGCCAATTACCTGAACAATCTTTTTCATCTGTTGCTTTTCGGCAGTAATTAAGTACAGGTATAGTGATTTAGTATTTTGTATGGAAGTCAAAAAAATGCTTCCGTTACATTTTGCCATTTCTATGACGAATTATTTCACATTTATAGCTACTTTTTCAGGTAACAAGCATCTATAACATTTCTCTAAAATCATTATTTTAACATTATAAAATTCATATTCCCCTTTATAAAGAGAAAAGTATTTGTTTCTGATGCATAATGTGCCTTTAATAAAATATTCATTTACTATAAAACCTTAGTATACTATTATTACAGAATCCGTCTAAAGAAAACTCTGTTCTCGAAAATCAAGACTTTACAGACAATGTTACAAGTAGCAGCAACCGACAGAGACGTAAGTGGAAACTTTTTTTCTATCTTCTTGCTTAGATATAGCTTGATTATCGTTAAAAAATTTCATACAATGTATGCGATATTTTTCAAGTGTGCAATTCTTGTACACAATTTTTTGAAACAAGAATAATGAGAAAATGTCAGTTTGTGTATATCATACACCAGTCTTTGAATTCTTTTTGCCTATTTACCTTACATACTAGTATATGTATATTTAATGATTATATACAAATGGAAACCTAACATAGGTTACAAAATGACAAAATTGAAAAAATTATGGACTATATGCCCCTAGCACAAACTTAATCAGAGGTCGACATTTAAGCATTAAAATGGTGCTTAATGAAGAATTTAGAAACAGTTTCAGATATGTTCATAAGGCGATGAGCCTGGAACCTATATTGTGTATTCGAGAGATGTGTGGTCCATTCAGTAGTGTGTGACCAATGAAAATCAACAAATTCACCATGTTGCAAAGTATCTTGTAGTTGTTTCTTTTCTTATCCTTCCTATTTGACTAATGTTGTTATGGGGAAATTCATGTTTAGTCTTATAGCTGCATCCTCAGGGAATAGCAAATATAAAGACATATAAAGATTTTTGCAGTATATATTTTCTACAGGAATGGTAACTGGCGGCCAGGTGGTGGCATTTACAGTCGGCATATCTAGTTTCAATCTAAATCATTTAGGAGATTACCACACAATCATCTTCGATAAAGCCATCACCAATATTGGAAATGCCTACAGCGTTAACTCTGGTATATTCCAAACACCACTGAAGGGAGTTTATGTGTTCACCTTGACAATGATGGTTATTCCCTACCACGCTGAGTATCTGCAAATTGTTGTCGATGGAAATCTAATTACTGATATAGCTGCATTTGCCTCCTCCATTAATGAATATGTTTCAACTACTAGGCAGTGGGTACTCGATTTAAAAGCTGGGTCTGAAGTTTGGATTAGAACATCTCCGATTGGAAATAGAGGAGAGATACACGGTCACATGCACACAAGTTTCAGCGGATTTCTACTGTTTCAAACTGCTTAATTATTATAATTTACTAATGGCTGAAACAGTAACATGATTAAATAGATTTAAAATCAAAATTTTGACTTATAGTTGTTCAGTTGTAATACAAACGCGATGACGGAATTGATAGTTAATTAGTATTAGAATATGGATATTGAAATAAAATGTATACAAGAAGGGTGTCGTCAAACAAATTGTATAACTTGATCTTCATAGTCGGTTGCTCACCTTTATCATAGTTTAAAATTGCATATTTTACCAATGTTTTAATATTCGGTACAAAAATGCCAGACACCAGCTATTTTAATTTTGGATATGGAAGTGCCAAGAGTTTAGTTAGACCACTGTGTACATCATTGAGTGTGATAAGGCTCGATAATAAATGCTTACTACTTTATATTTTCATCTTGATATCTACAAAATTGATATTATGCAGGTCCAAAAAGAAGCTGAAAAACTACATTTATAAATTCAAGTGCGACCAGTGATTACATATGTATCGTCGGATGATAGCCATTTAAAACAGTTGAATTCAGGGGTGTTTTGACAGTTTGTTATATTGCGATGTTCCAATAGCATTTTGCAGTTAAACTTAATAAACGCCTTCGGTGATCCAATCACTAATAAATTATCCTAAAGTCAATGCAATATGCAAGAGCCATCCAGAACATCTCACCGATATACATTCATTGCTATATTTTAGGTATGATAAGGCCAAAAAAGCCAAAAGTTTTCACACGCCATTGACACAAGAATAAAAAATAAAATTCGCAAAAAATCGTCAGTTCAATACAAATACATGTGTTTTTCAATTATATCTTTATTACTTTTCTTAATGCTTGTTTAAATTGTTTAAAGAATACGATTTACATGTATAACGAAACATCAAAAATCAAAGCCCTCTCCAAGTATGATGTAACAACCCGAAATAACACAATTTGACTATTACATGTTGAACGACCTTGAAATTTGAATACTCTTCTAAAATCCAAAATTCTTATCTCATAGTTTAAATTCAGCGTACGTTAGATGTCATTTAATTGTTTATCTTATGGTTTTATTCATTATCTGGACTAACTGAAAGATTTAAACATGTTAGTCTTTTTTGTTTGGTTAGTCTTTTATTTAGCCACGTACAGTAACTGGTTTACATGGAATCCAAGAAGAATCCTTTATGCAAAGTATCATGAATGAAATAATGGAATTGAAAACGAGGCAGAATTCTTGTGAGCGATACAAGGTTGAATTAGAGGAAGTAGTTGATAAGCTGAAAACAAGGCAAAGTTCGTATGAAGCTAAAGTTTCTGAATTAGAAGCTGTAGTAGATGATCTTCAGAAACGCAATGAGAAGTTGGAACAAGAGATACTAGGAATTCAAGAGGACATGGTAATGATCGTATTATTAATATTATATTGTTATGGCTTTTTATTGGTTAAAATTATTCTCCAGACTTGAATTGTCAATTAAAATCTTAGGAATTCAATCCACCTGAAAGTAATTGATATTAAGGCTTAGTGTGAAATAGATCCAGCTTTTTTAAAATTGATATTTAAGAACAAATTACCTTAGTTTTGGACATTTTGCCATAAATTTCTACCTTTCATAATTAGTTTTGACAGATTATAATAACTTTAGATCGACCTTTGATGATGTTTATGACAACAATAATTAAAGGTCACTGTTCCTATTTATGTGTGTTAATTTATATTGATTGATTTCTATAACTTTAGATGATTGGAAAGCTTTCTCTGACATCATTTCCAACTTATTGTGTACAAGAAATAATTTCTAAGATTATCATTGCACACATATTTTTCATAAACAAAACACATGAAAATCACTTTAGATATCTTCATTTAAATTGCTACTGTTATAGTAGTGTTATCTAATTTTACAAATTAGTTACGTGTAGGAGACATTGTGTTTCTAATAAAAAACAATTGTACACAGGACTGAGGGCCTCATGGCATTATAGTAACCTATCAGTCAGCATGCCATCATTTAACAGACCGGAGCCGAATGTAGAGGTCCGTTAAATTTTTTAGGCTGACTAGGAGGCCAGTGTAATGCTAGGAGGTTCGAACTAAGGTGTACTATTTCTGATATTATACCGCACTTTATTAGAACAAAATGGTAAGAGTACCAGAAGAGAAAACAAAAACAAAAACATTCAAAGTAATTTGTATTCTAGTATAACGTTTTTGTTTGACCGCCGATGTCATCATAAATATTATACTATTTAAATGTACACTGACACTCATATGGGTAAAGAATGGGCATATTTATGTAAGAAATCGTCAGATTTCAACATGATTTATTATCTGAAGATTTCATACGATAGTAGCGAAAGAAGTCATATGTTTAATAACGATTGTGGCTGGAAATAAACTCATACTGATGCAATAATTCGTGCAAGAATAGGCAGCGAGTAAGAGATCATGATATTGGACAATGGCCTTACAGAAATCACTCAACTTCCTGGCTGATCGGTCTTTGGTCATCACTAATCTGTAGAATTAGCCCATGTGTATCTGATACTAAATTGTATTACCGTAATAATAAAATTTCCTTATTTTACAGGATTCCCGGAAACAAATCTACAATGTTCAACGTCAAGACAATTCAGATAATCTCACGACTTACCAAATGCGTCACAAGCGTAAATGCTTTTTACAAATATGTTAGATTGAAACTAATGTACTAAAGATTTAAATTAAAAAAACAACTTAACATTGTAGGCTGTTTGAACAATACATAACAATCATCAATTGTACTTTCATTTTTCGCAATTAAAATTTCAGCATTAAATTCACGACATTGCTTTTGTCAGAATTGAGAAACGACATTTATAGATCTTTGCTTTACTACAGGAATACTAGTTGACGGTCAAGTGGCGTTTACAGCTGGTGTATTAAGTGCAGACCTAACACAACTAGGAGATCACCACACAATCATCTTTGATAAGCCTATAACAAATGTTGGAAATGCTTACAGCGTAAATTCTGGAATATTCCAGGCACCTCTGAAGGGTATTTATGTATTCACAATGACACTAATGGTTGTCCCACGTCACAGTGAGTATCTGGACATTGTTGTTGATGGAAATTTTATCAATCAAATTTTTGCAGATGCTTCGTCGGTTGATGATTATATGTCGACAACTAAGCAATGGGTACTCGATCTCAACGTTGGCTCCGAAGTTTGGATCCGAACATCAACGTACGAAAATAGGGGAGAGATTCATGGTGCAATGCACACAACTTTCAGTGGTTTTTTGTTGTTTGAAACTGAATAATTGCCATTCAATGATACCCACTTGACAGCTTACATTTTGTTAAAAGAATATAATAAAGGATATTTAGAACATATTTTTAATCATCTTATCTTTTTCATTAATAAAATCATTCGCCACAGAATAAAATAAAACTTGAAATTTAGCTTTCAAATTGAACTACTCCCTGAATTCAACGACTCCGGCCTTGTTTCAGTGCACCAAACCAATTTCCTTATATAAATGCATACCTTTGCAACTTTGGTCTCGGCATAGTGAATTTTCGTTCTCTTCGTAAATAAGTCGCATTTTAGGCTTAATTCTGGATTCCACTGTTCTTGATGAATAATTTAATGTCTTTAACTCTAAACATCAACACTATCAAAGTAAAATGAGGCCCGAAATATGTTAGCCATCTAGTTTTTTTAAGAAATCTTCTTTCTGATGTAAAAATGTTTAAATTCACCACTTTTAAAACTCATGAATATTGGCGGGTAGTATAAAAATGTTTAAATTCACCACTTTAAAAACTCATGAATATTGGCGGGTAGTACTCGTACATCTTTAATCTGTCCGTCAACAAATGAGATACTGGAAAGTACACAAAAACAACGTTTAGCTATCATATAACACACAAAAACTACACAGATGCAATAAATACACTTAAATTATGGACCAGTCAAACTAGAGATAACTTAAATTAGGCCACTTCAAAATTTCAAAGAACTACTTTCTAGACTACAACGGGTTGGGTGTAATTCCTTACCGGAGTGACACCTCTGATAGTCCGCCATCTTGACAAACTAGTGTCTACATATTTACAACCACACAGCTTAGAACACAGTAAAAATATGTCAAATATAGTGAACAGAACAAACTGAAGTGTGTTGTGTGTCAGATTGTAATTACCATTTATGGAGTATAAGTGGATGAGCTTTTATGCAACATTTTTTTTTATATTTTATTTTACCTTTCTATGGTTGCATGAACTTACATGTATTGCTACTGAAAACTTCTAACAGTCGCAGACATAACCTCTATTAATATCATCATTAACATTTTTGTGAACTTATAAACTCATTGCGTAAGAGACTTCATAATTTGAAGTCGGCACATGATTTTATATCAACAAAATCTAAAAGCAGCAACATGGCGTTAGCATATGCATGCATTCCTTTTGAGCTGTAAAGGCAAAACAGGCTACCACATATATGTACTTGCATGATATTTTGTTGCGCTAAATTTATGCACACTGTAATTTCAAACTGTGATCACCGAAGCAATTAAGGAGCACATTCAAAAGAAATAGACAATAACTATCCAGAACATTAATATTACTTAACCAAAATTTGGCACACACAAAAAACGACAAAAAGGTGCAAATGTTCCATTATAAATACTCATCAGATTGCAGTTTAATTTCAGACTCCTCATTGATGAAGCGTAGACTCAATTTTATGCAGCTCAATATTCTCAAAAATGCTTGTATGCTTTTTTATGCGATTTACGGGTTTCAATGAAATAACATATAAAATTCTGGAAAGGTATGACTGAAATATGATGTGAAAGATATAATGGCTGTTCGGAAAGGAAAAGAAGAAGCTTATCTCAAACGTGATGGTCTACTGGCCTATAATCTATTTATGGTATTAGCTATATAACTACTTATGCCCTCATTTCTTATTCATTATTCAAACTGACTGATTCAGACATGTTGCTCTTTCTCTGGTTAGTTTTGTATTCAGTTGCTGCAAGCATACATGGAATCAAAGAAGAATCCATTTTGCAGAATATCATGAACGAAATTACGGAATTGAAAACTAGACAGAGTTCTTGCGACCTTCACGCGGCTAAAATCACTGAATTTGAGGCCATCGTAGCAGACCTGCAGAAACGCAATGATGAATTGAAAAAGGAAAACCTGCAAATACGGAAAGGCATGGTATTAAAGATTTGTCTTTATTTTAATGTAAATTATCTAAAATAACAATACCAAAGATAATTGCATTAATTCAACAATTGTTATACCTGAATAGTAATTATATGCCACTTTCTATTTATTTCTGTCAGAAAAAATCGTGTTGACTAGGAAATCATTTTGCGTCATAATAAGAATAGACTTTTACAAACAAATGTCATAAGCATATTCTGGATGTTTTGTAATAGTTCATGCTTATTCATGAAATATTTCTTCGTTACAGAATCGCTTAAATGAAAACATCCACAATGAAAATAAAGAATATAACGAAGATATCAAAAATAACAAAAGCCGATACAATAGTAAGTGATAATGCAGTCTTTTTTATTCTGTATGTTGCAACCCAATCTTATGTTATAATTTTAAATTTTGAGCAAGAATATTATAAATTATAAATTAAGTTTGTGGTAAACATGTATATCTTCAGATGAATGTGTAATTTATCTAAAAAGAAAAAAGTTGAAGATCACCATATCGGACCTATGTTTACTTATGATATTAGTCAGATACTAAAATCTTGGAAAAGGTCGTTGACGTACGAATTGAAAGCCATCTGAAGACAAACAATCTACACGAGGTCAACCAATCTGCTTATCGCAAGTTCTATTCGCCCGAGACTGCAATGTTAAAAGTTCAAAGTGACATTCTACAGTCTTTGGATAATAAAAATGTGCCTATTCTCCTGATGCTTGATTTGCCTGCTGCTTTTGATACAATTTATCACGGAACGCTCCTTCGCCGCCTTGAACGACACTTTGGAATAACAGGCAAGCCACTCGAATGGATGACGTCATACCTGACCGACCGATACCAGACTGTCTGATAAACAACAAACTATCACATCAAGTCCACATGGAGTACAGTGTACCTCAAGGGTTTGTCCTGTGATCCAAGAGCTATGTGATGTATACGAAACCTGTCGGAGAAATATGCCGTAAACATGAGCTAAACAACCATTTCTTCGCAGATGACTCACAACTCTATCTATCCTTCAAACCAGTGACTAGTATTTCAATTCAAGAGAATATAAACCGTATTGAAAGATGTCTTGATGATATTGTAAGTTGGATGAATGCCAACATGCTGAAGCTAAACGGCGACAAAACAGAGTTGATCATCTTCTCATCTGAACATAACGCACAACCTGTTTCAGATGTTACAGTAACAGTCGACGGTTCGAAAATTAGCCAATCATCTAGTGTGCGCAATCTTGGTGCATTTCTTGACTCGAACATGAGGATGGAACAACATGTAAATAATGTCTGTAGGAATGTTAAGCACAATTAAGACAAATTGGTCACATCAGACCCTATCTTACTGTTAAAGCAACCAACTCTCTAGTAAATTCACTTGTTACTTCTAGGTTAGACTACTGTAATGCACTGTTATATGGAGTCTATAATCAGTCAATGACCAAGTTACAACATGTTCAATATACAGCAGCTAGAATTGTGACCAAAACACTCAAGTATGACCACATAACACCTATCTTACATGAACTTCACTGGGTTCCGGTAGAGTATCGGGTCGAATATAAAAAAATTTGACTTATACATATTAATCCCTCATCGATCAATCACCAGCCTATATAAAAGACATGATAGACATGTACATCCCAGTCAGGAATCTGAGGTCCCAAAATAACTCAATGACATTAGTTGTGCCTAAATCTCGGACAGTACGTTATGGTGACAGGTGGTTCCGGACAGCCGCAGCGAAATTATGGAATTCGTTACCACCTGGCATTAGAGACTGTAGTACCTTGCCAAGTTTTAAGAGAGCTCTCAAAACGCATTATTACATAAAGTTCTATGGACGTTAGTTTCATAAAACAACATACATGTACTACTTTTTCTATATTATCAGTGTAAATTGTGTGTTTGATTTTATGTCTTAGGGTTTTACTTTATAATTCGTTTCTTTTTTACTTTTATTTGTTACTTTTTTAACACTCTTATTTCGTTCAAATCTTTTATAGGATTCTTTTTTTTTAAATTGAGCCTTGCTTTTAAACTAATTGTGTCTGTTTTTCTTAACATCCTTTACTGGTTTTAGATTATCATTATTGTTTAATAGGTTTACTTAGTTAATATTGTACATTATGTCTTATATATATGATTATGTTTTGTCATATTTATGTAAAGCACTCTTGAACATTTATTATTTATGAAAAGAGTGCTATAGAAATGTGGTATATATGATAAAATAATAATAATAAATACTTTAAAAAGAAAACTTGCATTTGCATCTTAAAGTAATATTGCAAACATTTATTGAAACTGATCTTGTCTGAATTGATAAAGAACATAATATATGCAGATATATGCTGTGATTATATTCTATAGGAATGGTAGCTGGCGGTCAAGTCGCCTTTACAGTTGGTATATCTACCCCTGACCTAACGCATCTAGGAGATCATCACACCATTGTATTTGACAAGCCCATAACCAATATTGGAAACGCCTATAGCCATACCACCGGTATATTTCACGCACCACTGAAGGGCATTTATGTCTTCACTTTGACGTTAATGGTTGTCGCCCGGCACGAAGAGTATCTGGAAATTGTTGTCGATGGGAACGTTCTCAACGATATTTTGGCAGATGCATCTTCTGTTGATGATTTTGTGTCAACAACTAAACAATGGGTACTCGATCTCAACTTTGGCTCCGAAGTTTGGATTCGTACAACTTCAAACAATAATATGGGAGAGATTCATGGATATATGCACACTGCTTTCAGCGGATATCTATTGTTTGAAACCGAATAAGTGTTTTGCAATAATGATAGCTAAATTACTATTAAAATTGATAAAAAATAGTTAACTAATTTTGTTTTGTTATTAACTTTATCTGTATGTAAAACCATCCAGATCAGTCTGCACTAGTTAGTTGCTTAATTTAATATTTTTACTAAGAAATTATTAGGATACCGTTTGTTCTGATTAATTAGCGGGTAAATCAGTGCAATAACATGTCGGCCGAATCCATCCGTAGTTTATAAATTCATTCTGAGTAAAATGTACGTAAAATTGTGACCTACACATTTGTAAGATTTTGCTGCACATTTTAAAGTTCAAGGGTTTTGATATCATTAGATTTTACGACAATATCTGGCACAAAGAGCTTATCAATGAAAATGACCACCAGGTGCCCTTGTTGCAAAGGCGTTTCAATCTGCGTGGCGGTTTCAACTGCTATTAAAATCAATCTAAGAATTTTCTCAAAAGAAAATGTACCGATACAACATTTTCCGAAGCCGTGCACGAAGATGACATATTCGTTAGTCGTTTATGTTGTAGATTAGCATGTACAATAATATAGCGTGGAGGCTAATCTTTATTTACTGCAATATTGGATCTATCCCAAGTGTCAGTTCGTTTTTCATATGTTTGAATTCACCGGGCCTAGTTCTATATACTAATTATTTTGTAGTAAAATTCAGAGAGTGTAAAATAATGCCCAAAATGTTGACCTGATCCAACATAATAGTAAGTAATTCTACAGGAAAATCCTCAGAAATATGAATTTAAACACAACATTATGTGTCTCCATTTTATCTGGGTCTTGTATAATATTGCCCCGGATACCTTGTGCCCTTCATCCAAAAATAATGACTTACATGAAACATGTCTTTTTTAATGAAATCTTGATGCTTGTTTGAGCAACTCAAATGCTCATTGATCACTGGGTTGATAGACAATATTACGACTTGTTCATCGCTATCCTGTGTAATATATGAGGCGGTCGAACCTGGTGATGCTCAAGGAATAGGTTTTGGAAACAGAGAAGTAGTTTGTCTAACAAATTCAGCATAAAGTAATTATGTTATGGATAGTTGCTGGAAAAGGTTACAATTGTTTAAATTTACAATGAAGAAAGTATCAAATTTTAAACTGACCACTTTATCCTTTATTACTATTTAATAAGTCAGTGACCAAGGGCAATAACTCTAAAATTATGAAGTAAAAAGTTATGGTTATTGTGCATCCCAGCAAACACAAGACGTCATACTGACGTCAGATTTAAGTCAGGTTCTGACGTCGGATGACGGTCGGAAAAACGGTTGGATTTGAAAGTTTTTTTGACGTAATAATCTGACGTCAGGTAGACGTCAGAATCTAACCATTATTTAACCTTTTTCTGACCAAAATTTGACCATTATCTAACCATTTTCCGACCTCAATCTGACCATTTTCCGACCTCAGTCTGACCATTTTCCGACCTAAATCTAACCATTTTCTAACCATTTTCCAACCTCAATCTGACCATTTTCCGACCTGAGTCTGACCATTGTCCGACCTAAATCTAACCAGTTTCTAACCTCAACCTGACCATTTTCCGACCTAAATATTAACCCTTTTCTGCCCTAAATCTGATCATTTTCTGACCTTCATCTTATCATTCCCCTAATCCTTTTTGTTTCACCACGTCATAAATATTTTCTGGCTAATCCTGATTTGATCTAATTTAATGTAACTCATTCTATTAAGTAACTTTCCCTCAAATGAAATGTATAACAGAAAACTAAAAGCAAAAATATGTTTCATGCTTTTTTAATTTAAGATAAAAGTTGCAATTTGAAGCTGATACATACAATTTTAGTAAATTCTGCAAGGTTAAATAATTTTCATAAATTAAACAAAATAAAACAAAAAATAAGTTAATTACAAAACAAAAAGTATTACAAAAACAATGACATAAATGAAACTAAGAAAACATGTACAAATATTAAAGAACAAAACAATGTATGCACATTTCTATCAAAGTTTGCCTTATCAAATAAAACAATGAAAATATTATAATTTTAAGAAAAGTTAAAAGATTCTGATAATAATGTTTCAAGCAATTAATGACAGATTTTCAGTACTTTAACTATATTTCTACAGCATTTCTAAAACATTTAGTGCCATTTTGCATATTTTGACCTCCTTTGATAATTGTCAGTAATGTATAAATTGCTGCCTTTTAGTTACTTCACAAAGTTATACTTTTAGATATCCATGAGAATTAGCACGAATTTTGAGGTGTGATGCTTTAAGATATGACCTTCTTTCAGCACCCCTCGTCTGTCCGGAGGATATGTAGCGTTTGTAGCGCCCAATAGCGTGTGTGACATCATTTTCACTGAAAAAAAAAGAAATTTATGAAACATGTAAAAATAACAAGCAAAAATGTTTTCATGGTTATCTTAACTTAATGAACAATTTTGCCAACTTTTTATAAGAGAGCTTTAACAAAAATTAAAAGTAAACATAAATACTGAACATTTAAAAAGCCGCTTTTAAACTCCAGTTTAGTATGGATTAAAGTATGTAATAGAATTTACAAAAATCTTACTTTCATATGTTTCTTTTTACATATTCACGTGTGTCCGTCCCACCGACCTTTGAGAGCATGTCCAACACTTTAACTACCTGAAAAGAAAATTATATTCTAACTTATGTATATATTCTACGTTTGAAATAGAACAGTTACGCAAGTCTAAAATATTTCATAGTTTTAAATTAAAGATTTAATGCCAAAATGTCTGGAACCAAAACGTCTTGCGTTATTTGGGACCGGAACGTTTTGGGTTATTTGGGACCGAAACGTCTTGGTCCGAAATGCTCGAAATCGTACAAATTCATTCTCAATTCTCAGATTTTAACTGACAAAAACATCACAGTTTAAGAAAAATATGAAAACTTTCTTTGGTAGTACTGAAAGGCATATTATAAAATCTTCACAAGCAGAGTTAAAACATGTCAATTTTAAAAAAGATTTATTATTAGACATTATCGCGAATTTGTGTGACATTTTACTTCTGAATCAGCTGTTCAAATAATGATTATTAAATTTAAGAGTGCTTGCAATCATGCAATTATGTATCAAATACAAAGTAGAAATAAATCTTAATAAATTGAACTGACCTTTTTGTTCAAGAAAACCTATAATATTCACTTATCAATGCATCCCGATTCCTGACCGACAGCCAAAACGTAACGCCTACGAATTTGAATTTCCATCCACGTGACTTTAGATTCGAATTAAAGGTTAATTATGTTTTCTTTCCCTTTTCTGTCACTATGATTAAATGTTTAAAGCACTATTAAAAACTCGTCATTTTGATACATATAATGTACCACAAATGATAATATTACAACGTTAAATGATTGGAACTTGTAAACAGATCTGTAGCTATAAATAGATTTCATAACAATAACACATGTAACTTGCGTATATACAGCGCCACCTTTATGTTTTATTAGGTTGCAGCGCCGCGATCTTGGTCTGTATTTATATAAGAACACTTCATTTGTAATCCAAATAACATTTGAAAAAAAAAGTTTAAATGATTACAACAGCGAATAATGATTCTTTTTTGTTATTTTTTTTACCTACCGTCAGGACACCGACCATAACCTGACGTTAGTACGACGTCAAAAAGAAACGTCTATTAGACATCGGTATTTTAACGTCAGATTTACGTCGTATTTTGGTCGCCGACGTCGTGACCAAAATCTAACATTAATCCGACGTTATTTTAACGTCATGTGTTTGCTGGGATTGTACTTCTCCACTACGAGATCTATCCACGTATGAAGTTTTGAGTCAGCAGTTTTCATACTGTTGGAGTTACATCGCGTGTGCTAGACATTGGTCCGCGTAAAAAAATGAATACGAATTTTCGTAGCCTTTCTTACAATTATCATATAAACACATAAAGGTCGTACAATAAACCTGGGACTTGAAATAAATAATTTATGTCCCAGCTTTGAAGTTTACCGGTGCTGTGATTTTCTTCTTTCTCTATATGAGAAACGTTGACTTTTCGTCGAAATACATCGAATCTTCCAAATCTGACCATGAGCTGTTCATTGGTTTTTGTTTATGTCTTTTTCTTTCCTTTTTCTTGTAATATTAATTGTAATATTTAGGAGGCTCATATTAACGGCATTATAGAGCATAAGGCATATAGCTCAAGAAACAAAGAAACATTTTCACCAGATATTTGAGTTGCTTACGTATCTTTGCATCCCTGCACTATTTTTTTCTTTCTAAATTATACAAAAATTACACCAAAAGTTTTTAAAAGTCCATTGTGAGCTAATCATTAATTCGATATGTTTGCAAAAATTCACTGTTATAGTTAGAAGTCCCTAGTTTACGGTAATATTAATAAAAATGAGCTTTAGCCTTGCGGGGATTTCATCGTATTGTATATAAAAGTATTTAAAGATACGCTAATTGCCAGAGCAAAACGTGATATAAATATCTGGTTGTTTTTTCTTTGCAGGTTGGCCAGTGCAATCAGTGCAATAGGTTGAAAGTTCATTGTTAAGGCAGTTTAAAGAACATGCGGCTAGTAAAATGAACATGGCTTCCAGATAATGATACTTCTGCGCGACGGTTTTATTTTTTTATAAACACACCGTGACCATTGCTCCAATTTCAAAAAAAAATAGCAAGCAATAATTTTGCATTTACACCCATACTCCCCGGGACCACTTAATGACTATTTACACAACTCAAATACGCTGTAATCCCCAATTTCACAACGTTTCAAAACACAGGTCGTGACAAAATTATACTATTGTAATAAAAGTATATAATAATTACAAATACTATAAACTACTGAAGATTATATAAATCTTTGATTGCATACAAAATATTCATTCCGACGTGTGTTTTGTTTTTGTTAAAAATTATAAAGACACAGGTAAAGCATGATAGTAATATGTAGCACAGTGTTCTGCAATAAAAGAAATATTCAATTTTTGCGATAATGATGTGGCGTTATCTCATCATTAATGGTCAAGTTAACTTCTACTCTTGTATAAATCATGATAAATATCTAAAATCTATTAACGAACTATACGATATTCGTTTTATAGTACAAAACATCCAAAATCTGTTCATTTATTCTTTCATTTTAATTTTTTTATTATTATTATTTTATTTTATTATTATTATCTTTTTATTTTGGCTCGTCTTTTGTTCAATGACTGTTATTGATGAAATTGGAATCAAAGAAGATTTTTTTTATGCAAAATACCGGTACATGTGTCATGAAAGAAATAACAAAACTGAAAACGAGGCAGAATTCTTGTGAAGAATACAATATTATTACATGTATTTCTAAATGAGACACAGCTTATTGGCTGTTTTATGATTTTTCTAAGGTGGTGTGCAAAAAGGTTATAGCTTTAATGACATATATAATTATATAGAGTTGCATCAATTTTGCACCTAACTTTCGATTTGCTAAGAAACTTTTTATGTTCGAAAATGCAAAGTAACGAGAGTTTAGCTTAGTTACTGTTGGTTCAATTTTGTAACAGTTAGCCTTAGTTGAAAGTTTCAGTTCATAACAGTATTTGTGCGGGGTAATAAGATAAATAAATAACACATAGGTTTTATTGAGTAATACGCAATACGCACACAAATATTGCTCTCAATTTCATTACTCTTTAATATGTTTAATATCGGTACTGTAATCAAATTACGATATACATACAATGTTTATATTACAATCAATCAAAACGGTGACTTTTAAATCCTCGCCGAAGTGTAATGGAAAAGCTGAAAAAGTTTAATTATGTTAACCTGAAAGAAATTTATATATGATAGTATGATATATATACATGTATAATATGACATTTTCTTTTGATTAGTCAAAATATTCTTATCTCAAAGGTGAAATACTAAGTCGAACATCACCTAGATAGCATTTTTTTTTTTAAAAGTGTCTTCTGAATTCTTCATGATCTGGAATTATTGATAGTTTAAAACATGTTTGTCTTTTTTCTTTTCTTCATCTTTTCCTTTGTAGGCATACATGGAATAAAAGAGGAAACATTCATGCAAAATATCATGAATGAAATTACTGAACTCAAAACGAGACAGACTTCTTGTGAGCGATACAAGGCCAAAGTGGCTGAATTAGAGGCTGCTGTAGTCCAACTGAAAACAAAGCAAAGTTCTTATGAAGCTAAGGTAGATGATCTCCAGAAACGCAATGGGAAATTGGAACTAAAGATGCTTCAGATTCAGCATGACATGGTATTACTAAACTTATCATTTTTATAGTTATTTTTTTAATTGTGAGTTAGACATCGAATCGTCAAGATAGCCAATGAATTTAATCTTCAGACAAGTATTGATTTTTTACACCGTGCAATATAGGTCATTCTAATGAGTTCTAAGTTTCTAACCTCAGTTTTTGTGAATCTTGTCATTTTTTCTTCTTCTTTCTTTCCTTTATTCATTTCAATTAAGGTAACAAGAAAAGCATTGATGCAAAGCATCAAAGGGCGTCCAAGCAAGAAATGCAGCAAGTGAAGATGAACTAGTACACATATGATGACAAGTAATTCTTATAAACTACCAGAAATGTATATCACTTATGAATGAGCGGACGAAAGACATTGTTCATTATGAACTTTGATTGACATGCTAGAGATTAGAATATATCTTGTTATTTCTTTATGATCGTGGTTATTAATAGCAACGGATATACATGTATGCAATCATTTATAATCCATATGTGTAACGCATGATCAACACGTACCACACATTTGTAATTGTCCCTTATTATGTTATCGCTATTAGCGAAGACCCCCTTAAGGTATCTGTTCACACTTTAAGTTAGTAAAAATATGACACTGGTTATATTACCATGTTGATCATAATTGTTTATTATACAATAATTGTAATATCTATTAATTTTAATTAAAAAAAAATACAAATTTTATGAATATTGTTTTCTTTTATTCTTTTTTGTGTTTTATGTGCTATTTTAATACTGAGTTTTTACTACTCTTTTTTATTAAAATTGTAAAATAAATTTTAAGAATTCAATTGTCATATTGACCGACGATTATAAGTCAAAGCTTAACTGGAAAAAGTCAGTAAATTATGGTTTATCTTTCAATATATAATATTGTTTATTCTTAAACCATGTACATGTACATTGTATTTTTCTTTATCATTTTTTAAATTATCAATCAATTGAATAATTCATAAAATCTAATTTGTAACTTTGAATAATTCCTCGGCATCTTTACTAAACACGGATAACAAATTAAATAAAATGTTTCAAAGTTGATAATGTCATTTTAATACCATAAAAAATGTACCTTTTTCTCAATTATTGTACATATCACGGATTTATATTACATATAAATCCGTGTACATATTTATTGTTTTTATCTCATATAGATAAAATGAAACATGCTATTGTTTTTTTTTTCTAATTGTAACGATATCAAACATCTACTCCATAACCGGGAGAGACCGGACAATAAATGTGTGGTACTATTCGCCGGTCACTAGTAAATCCTGGTCAAAATAGACCGGGAGAGACCGGCATTTACCGATAGGAGTGATAAATAGATATATCTATAAATAGGTTTTTGGAATATTTAGGTCATCAACTGATCATACTAGGATACATGTACAACAATAACATACCATGATAACCGACTGTGTACTACAAAATGATAAATAAAAAACTCCGAAGAGCGCGATTTATTGACGGAAAAGGTTATGCAAAATGTTTGCATTGCGAAAATTCATTGTAACATATCGCGACATTTCATTCTTAATTAATAATAATCAAGCACCCTCATACCGATCGGAATTTTCGGCTTTTATTATGACCGACTAAAAGGCTCGAGAAGTTGCTGTCGCCCTTTCACAAAATCTGATTTCATTCCATAAGAGCGCCGCGCTTCGGCGCGGACGCCAATAAACGGTGATGTTGTTTGTTATTCGCACATACACTAATTTTATTTACGTCTTTTCATTTGTTTGGGTTTATTTTAGCAACCATATATAACATAAGGAAACTTTATACCTTGTTTTTTATTTACTTTGAGAGAACAACTATCTATTTGTATACTTATGCACACCAAAAAGTAAATATTAATTAATATTGAGCACGACATTGGTCTTTTAACATAATCAAAAATATAACTATCTTTAAATAAAATCTTTCTTGCTATTGAATTGCATTATTTTAATATGAGGTTTTAGCATATTCCTTCATTATTATGCCGTATAACACAAGGCGTTTCTAATATCTGATTGAAAGTGAAACGGGACAACATTTTGCCTAATGGTAAAGATACATTAACGATAGTGGTGAAATGAGTCGAAATGTCAATTACTTTTGTGATTGGAATTCATATATACTGATATAGAAAATATCTCATCTCTTGATTAATTTATGCAAATGCGGAATCGACAGAGTAAGAACCACAGATCTGGGAAATTTCTGTAAAAGTATACATTTGCCTAGCTAAACATTGCTAAATGCGTTATCATTAAAATTTATATATATCAGAAAACATTATTGTTTTACAGGATTCAAAACGACAAATCCATAATATTCAGCATAAAGACAAGCCAGATAATCTCACGACTTACCAAAACAGTTACAAACGTAAGTATTATTTATCAAAAGATATTTTACATATATTGACGCAAATGTCTCAAATGTTTTGACATTCAAAATCAGTAAAATAATGCAGGTTTGTATGTCAAAAAAACAAGTATTATCAGCTGCTTTTCGTCATACCTGTATCAAAATCACATTTGTTATCAATGGAATTCTTCAAGAAATAGTATCACTAATTTGAATTGAACTCCAACACGGAACAAATATATTTCAAAAGGTAATGATACAATGCATATATACGTAAAAATACAGTTTGTTTCCAAATCGCCACACTGGTTTGTAAATACTATGAGACATATATTGTTATGCGTGTAACAAGGCGTCTGATAATTCTTTTTTTGAAAGAAGTTTGATTCAAACTAACTTACAAATTATGTTCATGGATAAACCAGCGAGTTATCCCAGCATGCAATCACAAATCAGGTCATTCACCTGTAAAATTGGCAGCCTTAAACAACTTTAAGCGACCGGTCGATTAGGTGACATTGGTAATTCTGCCATAAAATATAAATATATACATATATTACGCTAACCTACATGTAAATGTGTATTTCCCACTAACTATTAAAGATTATTCATTTTATAAGGCAATTAACATGATTGTACTGAATTTAAAACGAATATATTTTTTAAAAATATATCTCTTGTTGAATGAAATTTCACCTCAGTGATTCAAACATTTGTTTCAATAACTTAATATCAAATAATATATGAATAGATCTTTGCCACAAACTACAATCACTTTATAGGAATGGCAGTCAGTGGTCAAGTTGCGTTTACAGCTGGTGTATCAAATGCAGACCTAACACAACTAGGAGATCACCACACAATCATCTTTGATAAGCCTATTACAAATATTGGAAATGCCTACAGCGTACATTCTGGTATATTCCAGGCACCCCTTAAGGGTGTTTATGTGTTCACAATGACACTCATGGTTGTCCCACGTCACAGTGAGTATCTGGACATTGTAGTCGATGGAAATCTTATAAACCAAATTTTTGCAGATGCTTCGTCGGTTGATGATTTTATATCAACAACTAAGCAATGGGTACTCGATCTCAACGTTGGCTCCGAAGTTTGGATTCGAACATCTACGTACGAAAATAAGGGAGAGATACATGGTAAAATGCACACAACTTTCAGTGGATTTCTGTTGTTTGAAACTGAATAAAGTTTCAAATAATACTGAAATGTTATATTGTAAAAAGAATATAACGAAAGCATATGATTGGAAATATTTTGTTTTTGTTATAAAATATTAATCAAGCGGGATAATGAGATGGCAAGAATATTAAACTCATACGATAAAATAATTGCCCATCCTCAGAAATATGAATTAAGACACTATTTGCCTCCATTTTATCTGGATCCTGTATGATATTGTCCCGGATACATTGCAAGAGAAGACATGTACCCTTCATCCAAAAATTGATGACTATAAGTTGAAACATACTTATTTCATGAAAGCTTGAAACTTATTTGAACTACTCTAATGTTCACTGATCACTGGATAGAGAGACAGTTTTACAACTCGTCATCAGCTATCCATAATTGAACAACGGATGAATATTAAAGTTTTTTCCTCCTCGGTAATACAAGAACCGGTCTAACCGGATGATGCTCCCCGAATAGGTTTTGGACACAGAGAAGTAGTTTGTCCATGCTCCCCGAATTAGGTTTTGAACAGAGAAGTAATTTGTCCATGCTCCCCGAATTAGGTTTTGAACAGAGAAGTAGTTTGTCCATGCTCCCCGAATTAGGTTTTGGACACAGAGAAGTAGTTTGTCCATGCTCCCCGAATTAGGTTTTGAACAGAGAAGTAGTTTGTCCATGCTCCCCGAATTAGGTTTTGGACACAGAGAAGTAGTTTGTCGATGCTGCCCCGAATTAGGTTTTGGACACAGAGAAGTAGTTTGTCCATGCTCCCCGAATTAGGTTTTGGACACAGAGAAGTAGTTTGTCCATGCTCCCCGAATAGGTTTTGAACAGAGAAGTAGTTTGTCCATGCTCCCGAATTAGGTTTTGAACAGAGAAGTAGTTTGTCCATGCTCCCGAATTAGTTTTTGGACACAGAGAATAGTTTGTCCATGCTCCCCGAATTAGGTTTTGGACACAGAAGAAGTAGTTTGTCCATGCTCCCCGAATAGGTTTTGAACAGAGAAGTAGTTTGTCCATGCTCCCCGAATTAGGTTTGAACAGAGAAGTAGTTTGTCCATGCTCCCCGAATTAGGTTTTGGACACAGAGAAGTAGTTTGTCCATGCTCCCGAATTAGGTTTTGAACAGAGAAGTAGTTTGTCCATGCTCCCCGAATTAGGTTTTGGACACAGAGAAGTAGTTTGTCCATGCTCCCGAATAGGTTTTGAACAGAGAAGTAGTTTGTCCATGCTCCCCGAATTAGGTTTGAACAGAGAAGTAGTTTGTCCATGCTCCCGAATTAGGTTTTGAACAGAGAAGATATTTGTCCATGCTCCCCGAATTAGGTTTTGAACAGAGAAGTAGTTTGTCCATGCTCCCCGAATTAGGTTTTGGACACAGAGAAGTAGTTTGTCCATGCTCCCCGAATTAGGTTTTGGACACAGAGAAGTAGTTTGTCCATGCTCCCGAATAGGTTTTTGAACAGAGAAGTAGTTTGTCCATGCTCCCCGAATTAGGTTTTGAACAGAGAAGTAGTTTGTCCATGCTCCCCGAATTAGGTTTTGGACACAGAGAAGTAGTTTGTCCATGCCCCCCGAATTAGGTTTTGAACAGAGAAGTAGTTTGTCCATGCTCCCCGAATTAGGTTTTGAACAGAGAAGTAGTTTGTCCATGCTCCCCGAATTAGGTTTTGGACACAGAGAAGTAGTTTGTCCATAAAGTGTTTACAAGCATTAAGTTATTATGTAATGGGTAGTTGCTGGAAAAGTTTAATACTAAATATGCAATGAAGTATATTGAATTCTAAACTGACTATTTTATTCTATATTATTCTACAAGTCAGACATTGACAGTCCTATCAAGACAGTATCATGGTCACTGAAGTAGGCAATAAAAAGTATGAAAACAAATAAAATAACTCTAAAATTATGAAGCAGAGAGTTATGGTTATTGTGCATTGCTTGCACTTCTCCACTGTAAGATCTGTCCACCTGTAAAGTTTCAAGTCAGCAGTTTTCATACAGTTGGATTTACATTGTGGACAAACAACAAGTACGAAAAATAGCAAATGGCACTAGCAAAGAGTCCCGGACATGGAGGTAGTACAATGGCTTCCAGATGCCCGCGTAGCATTAAAGTTTACTTGTGCGGCGATTTTGTTCTCTCTATATTATAATTATAGACTTTTCAAACAAATGAAAATCGAATCTTCCCAAGACTGGCAAATTTGTTCTTTCTCATTTTAAACAAAATTTTGTAAAAAAGGAGAAAAAAACAACAACATTTTCAGAAGTCCATCTTTAGCTACTCATTAATTTGATATGATTGCCAATTTATCTCTGTAATAGTTTGTAGTCTCTTGTTTACGACAATATTTTTCAAATATGGCCACCCGAGGTCGACTGAAATATGCGTTTTTAGCCTTTTAATCTACTACGTAGTAAATATAAGATTTTTAAAGATACGCCAATTGATGGACCCAAACTTGACATACATATAGGGTTATTTCCTGCGGGTTGACCAATGCAATAGGTTATGGCACAGGGACTTGAAATTCTATCAATATTAACGATAATATGCAAAATATACCCCCATATAATATAAAAAAACATAGTATATAGGTTTTTTTTTATATTATCATTAATATTGGTTATTTGATAAAATCCTGTGGTCATGGCTCATTTTTACGGCAATTTAAAGAACATGGGGTTAGTACAATGAACACCGAATGGCAATTGACGAATTTCTTCACCGTGACCATTGCTCAAATTTTAAGAAAAAGATCAAGTGCAGAGTCACTTTACGTCAATATATGGTACATGAACAACGGCCGCAGTATTTTTCGAGAAATCTAGTATTTGCCTGCGCGATGATTTTTATTTGATTTTGTAATTTATTATATTCCGTATTCCGGAGTCTACCGTCATATATCCTTTGTTCCGATAACGTTGCCAATAGCTTATATGCTTGTCAATACGGCAATAGAAGGTATGGTATATGTCACTATCCAAAGAAACATGTCCGCCAGGTGCCCGATTAGCATAAGCGTACCCCGATGCTGTGATTTTTTCCTCTTTCTAAATTAAAACAACATTCTACTGAGCCAAACGTGGCTTACCGTTTGATCCGTTTGCACTGCATATTAGCAAGTGCAATAGCTCAGAAGGCGCTATCTGAAGAATATGGATAATCCAGATACTACTTTACCTTATGCTTGCGTATATTTCCGTATTTGAGCAAATTAGCATTCAGATAGAATAAACGGAAGCTCCGGTGAAAATACTTTAATATGATTATCACATTATCCGTTTCATTAGACGCCGCTTGCAAGCGGCGTCTAGTAGATATGCATTCGTCCATACAGCAATGGGGAAAATTTTAGACTTGATTTTGTGTATTTTTTTGTTTTGTTCTTTTTTGTTTTAACAAAATTACACTGTTTTTAAATTTTCTAATAAAAATAGTTTTTATGATGTACAACATGTCACAGAGCTTTAAGGGATTAGAATAAACGTTTAACTGAAGTGATAGTGCCATGTTTGAATATCATATTCTTTTTGTCAATATCTTATTTTATTTACATGATAAATAACGTGCCAATGAGCCAGTCTATAGTCGATCGTTCTAAAACTTAACCGTTGAGAGAGGTGACAACTGAGGACTGAGGCAGTGTCACTTACCTCATTTGCTTCGCCTCTGTTGAAGTTCGGCTCCGCCTTAATTAAATTGTCATATTAAATTTGATATTATGCTCCATATGCTAGCATTTAGTCTTCGTTGACGGGGTAGAAGGGAACCAGGACAATTTTGATCAATATCACTGTCGAACCATTAAATTACAAGTTACAATGCCTAATCCACGCCCACTATTAGAGAGGCGGTTCTCACTCAACCATTAAGAAAGTACAACAAACCGGTTACGCTACGGCCTGTAAGGGGAGATCCTGCAGAACAGTTTGTCCTCAAATCATTCGAACATTATGCAATCCGTACCAATATTTAAATGGGTATATTCACTAAAGGTAGAATCAATAATCAGAAGGGCTGGTAAAATAAATCATCAGTTAGTTGATTAAAGAACTGAGAAACCCGAAATGCTATCAAGTTTCTTAATTGACCACGCAGTCACTGAGGATTAAATTTGTATAAATGTTTAAATAAATCGACACTTTAATATACTTTAATATAAAAACATCGATAGCTGTTCTATGCACTTTAATACAAACAATGATGAAAAATCCAAAATAATATTCGTGACTGAAATTTTGAAAGACCTTGAATATAATAATATTGAAATCTCTATTCGAAAAACAAGAACCTTATCACATTCGTTAGGCTCTTATGATTTTTATCTTAAATGTGCTATAAGATAACGTATAATTGCCTTCTTTTTGCGAATTTATTCATTATTTAAACATACTGATAGTTTCAAACATGTATGGCTTTGCCTGTTACGTCCTTTATTTAGTCACTGTAGGCATACATGGAAGTCAAGAAGAATATGTTGTGCGTAATATCCTGAATGAAATAACAGCGTTGAAAACAAGACAGAATTCGTGTGACAAAAAAGTTTCTGAATTAGAGGCCGTCGTAGATGAACTTCAGAGACGCAACGATAAATTGGATCAAGAATTACTTGAAATGAGAGATGACAAGGTAATAATTTTATAATAATTTTATCATTATACGTATTCGTCAATACCGACCCAAAATTCATTTTCCATATAAAAAAATTATTATTATTATTATTATTACTATTATTATTATCATTATTATTACCATCATCATTATTATTTTGTTCCTGCATGGTATAATTATTGTAAAAATAGTAAAAAGTGGTCATGTAAGACACGAAACGTATCAACTCAAATGGGGTGTTTTTAAAATGATATATATATTAGAAAGCCTTATCGTATTACAGATTATCTCAACAGAAAACTATGACCTTCAAAGTCAAGCCTATGTAGATAAAGTAACAAGACACAAAAGCCTGCACAAACGTAAGCGAAATTTTATTATTTGTTTGTTTTCCTATAGTTTAATATATTGCCGTTGTTCTTATTCTTATAAATGTGTACACTCCTATGTAAAATGTTTTAGAACAAAAGTTTGTACACATTCCTTTCAAAGCAATATTTTGGAAACAAAATCACCATGTTATAAAGTATCTCAAGAAATATAGTTGTATCTCTGCTCATCCAGAGATATCAGTATTTTACTTTTTATCCTTACCACCCTGCATCCAACTTCCCAAGATTAAACTTATCTCGCTATCTTACGGAAGGTCGGTGGTTCTATACAGGTGTCCGTTCGTGCCTGAAATAATCTGAAATAATGCAAGGAGGGGAACTTAAGGTTTTCCACCAGCATTAAAGCTAGAAAACTTGCCATATTTTATCCAGATTAAATATGACATTTACATAGGGTCGTTGTGACTTCAAATTAAATAAATTAAAAAAAAATCTGCTTAATAGGTTTATTTTGTACATTTTAGACAACCAACCATGAAAAAATATATTCTTTTTGTTATATATACTACTCAAAATTTGCTAAGGATCACTTTTTCTACTGTGCGTTACTTTTGTGTATTTGTAATATATGTAAAAATTAATTCAATGGAGTTTAATATAATTAGTTAGGAATTGATTTTTATGAAAATAATGACAATGACGTGTGCCTGTTGCGGAAAGAGTGTGCTGGACGAAAATCAACATTTTAGAGATCACATAGTGGAATAAAAAAATCTTCGAATCAGGAAATGTTTGGCGTGGCGTGTTTAATTCCGAGTATGGTGTCCACGGACATTAATAACGGCCTAGCATCGCCGCCGTATGCTGCTGTAGATAAGCCTGCGGACCTTGTGATGAGGAATATGGACCCGTTTCTCTATGATTGCATGTCTTTGCTCATGAACAGTTGTTGGTTGGACGTGGCGTGAAGAAATGCCTTTCTGCAGTATATCCCAAGCTTAATTGGATTTAAATCCGGGGACCTTGCTGGCCAATCCATGTGGATTATAGTTGCCTCCACAAGATATCGGTTTGTGATGTGGGCTCTTTGTACACGGGCGTTGTCATCCATAAGAATGAAATCAGGACCGACTGCGCCAGCTTACGTGCGTACATGAGATTTCATTGACATACCTTACTGTCGTCAGTTTACCGTTTTCAATGATGTGTTGGTCCGTTTTCTCCTGAGCGCTTATTCCCTCCCTCACCATGACTGAACCCCCGCCAAAACGGTCGTGTTTTGCAACACAACACTTGCTGGAGCTAAGCGTTCATTTGAACTTCTCCAAACCCTAGCCCGTCTGTCCGTGAAGTCCACACAAAACCTTGGCTCATCAGTGAAGATGACCGGGGTCAAATCATTAATTGTCCATGTGACACGAGTCTGCGCCCATTGCAAACGCTCTTGAATATGGCGTGGTACGTGTCCAAGGAATGCAAATTGCTGGCCTCCGTAATCTCAACTCAGCATCATGCAACCTGTTTCTAACAGTTTGTGTGCTTACACGCGCACCAGTTGCATTCTGGAAGTCGTTACGTAAGGTCGTAGCGTTCGAAATCAATTGGCGCCTGGCCTGAAGGACAATAAATCGGTCCTGGCCCCGAGTCGGTGAACGTTCCCGACCTCCAGCGTGGCCCTGCAAGACATTTTCAGTCATTTTTGGAATCGGTTCCACATCCTGTAGATACCCCAAGGACATGGGCAACGTGCCTTTGTGAACGGCCAGCCTCCAACATTCCACACCCCTGTTAATCTCATCTTCACCAAGACGACGTCTTACTTGTCGATTTGCCATAGTTTGTTAATTTCGAACGCAGTTTGGCAATAAAACAGAGAAGTCTTGCTGCTTGTACACTTTAAGTGAAAGCACAAGGCCACAAATTACCAATTTTCCATGGGTATGCTTTTCCACGTGCTTATCGTGCAAGGTAACATGACAAAACAAACTTAAGTACACGATTATGAGGTCCCCGTACAGTTGTATCGTTAGCGGAAATATGATTTTAATATGATGATAACATGATTGAAATATACAATGTCAAAAAGGTGATCCTTAGCAAATTTTGAGTAGTATATATATTATAACAATCATATGGCCAAAACAGACATTTATTGATATATCCTGTATACAGCGTTTATAAAATTTTCAACAGGAACACCTAGCAGTCAAGTAGCGTTTACAGCTGGCGTATCTAGTGCGGATCTAACTGACCTAGGGTATCATCACACTATTATATTTGATTACCCCATTACCAATATTGGAAATGCTTACAACCACTATACCGGAATATTCCAAGCACCCCTTAAGGGTGTTTATGTATTCACATTGACATTGATGGTGATACCTAGAAACACGGATTATCTTGAACTTGTTCTGGATGGAAATATCATGTTCGATATTCTTGCCGATGCTTCTTCTGTCGATGGTTACGTATCATCAACTAAGCAATGTGTCCTGAACCTAAATGTTGGTTCTGTTGTTTGGATCCGAACTTCATCAACAGGAAAAGTAAGGGAAATACATGGTAATATGCATACTACTTTCAGTGGATTTCTGCTGTTTGAAACTTAATAATTGTCATTTAATGATCATTGCTAATTTTGTAACAAGAATGTAATAAAAGGTTATTGGAGACATTATCTTTGTTATTAAACAAGCACGATAATGATACAGGGAATAATACCAAATGCTTCATGTTAAGTAAAAACACAAAATATAAAAGAAAACCGTAATGCACTTAAATGGCAATTTGAACAATATCTTAACTATATTCATTTGATGATCCTTAACTTTTGTATTTTTTATATGTATACGGCCAGTCAGACGGACTGACAGACAGCAAATCTTTAAACATCTCTGGTTATAACCAGAATATAATATTTTAAAGGCAAAGTTCTTTAACTAAAGAGGAGATGACTCTTGAAATAAAGATGCTAGACTTATGAACATTGTCATACATGGTGTGAGTGGTGACAAAAGACAATTATCTTAAGTCTAAAGTCGATACCATTTATCGTAACAAAGAAGAAAATAAAAGATATATAACAATTTTCAAATAAATTCCAAGTTCAAATAGAAAATTATCATGGAAAACCAAGGCGCTAGACTTATAAATCTTATCACATGATATAGGTGTTACTAATGAACATATTTTGGATATTTGGAGTAACTCCATGAAGGAATAAGAAAGTTATGGAATAAAAAAGGGAAATTAAAATTTTATGGGGGGAGATAATTCTAGAAAATTGGACGGTAGACTTTTTAACCTTGTCATATTATTCTGATGTGGGTGTTTTGAAGTTTGAAGTAAATCCTGTATTAAATGAAGAAAAAATTATTATTTCTAGAAAAAAATGTTCAAGGGGACACAATTCTGGAAATAGTCTTGCTAGATTATTAACACATGATTTCAGTGATAATAAGGAACATATACTTGAAGTTTGAAGTAGATACCTTAAAAATAAAGAAGTTATAGAAAACAAACAACTTTTTTTTCATGAATATTATATAGAAAAGAAACATAACTAAACTAAAGAAACATATGCTTTAAATGTTAAATAGATAATAAGCAATATACACACAAAAAAAAAAACATTTTTTTTTTTTCATGAAAATTCTAAGTTCATAATCTCCAAAGTGTCATTTATCCATATTTCAAGTTTTATAAACTCATTTTCAGCACTTTTGAGTTACCACAAATATTGTTATACTTGTCATACTTAGAGTTTATTTGTTGCCATAGCAACGAATTTTTCAACATAAGAAGAAAAAAGATCTGCATAATCTCCAGACTGCTAACCAACCCATATTTCGAGTTTCATAAAAAAAAAATTAGTACTTTTTGCGTATTCACGGGATCCAGTTTTGGTGCTATATTTGCCATATATTAAGTCTATTTGTTTCCATATCAACCACATTTTTAAACATAAGAAGAAAGAAACAAGACGTGCGTTATCTCCAGACTGCCTTGCCAACAATTGTTTTAAACAATTACAAAAACCGATGATATTAATATTTCTTTTTTTTTTCTTTTAAAGAAGCCTTGAGCAATTTGCGTTTATTTATTTACTAGTTTGTCCTCTACGGTGTTCCGTTTGGACACGTTTGGACAATCGTGACATTTAATTTATTCTGTACCCGCGATGCACGATGGTACGATGGTGAAAACGCGATGGCACGATGGTACGATGGTGAAAACACGATGGTACGATGATGAAATCACGCAATGGTACGATGGTGAAATCGCGATGGCGCGATAGTTCGATTTGGTGAAAACACGATGTTACATCGCGTTTTCACCATTCGTACCATCGTTGTTTCACCATCGTTTACCATTGCGTTTTTCACCATCGTTACAATCGCACCATTCGCGCTAATCGTGTTTTCACCATCGTGCCATCGCCGCTTTTCACATTTCGTGCCATCGCGATTTCACCATCGTACCATCGCGATTTTCACAATGTACATCGCGTTTTCACCATCGTTCACCACCCCATCCGCGTTTTACCATCGTACCATCGTGCATTCGCACAGGTTAACAGACTAAATTAAAAATCTACGACTGTCCAAACGGAACACCGTAGTACGCGATGGTTTTACGATGGTGAAATCACGATGGTGAAAACGCGAATTTGGATACGATGGTGAAATCGCGATGGTACGATGGTGAAATCGCGAGGATGGCAACGATGGTGAAAAACCACGTATAGCGCGATTGTGCGATGGTACGATGGTGAAAACGCGATGGTACGATGGTGAAATCACGATGGTACGACGGAGAAAACGCGATGTAACATCGCGTTTTCACCATCGTACTATCGCGCCATCGCGATTTCACCATCGTACCATCGTGATTTCACCATCGTACCATCGTGTTTTCACCATCGTACCATCGTGCCATCGCGTTTTCACCATCGTACCATCGTGCAGCGGGTACAGAATAAATAAAATGTCACGATTGTCCAAACGTGTCCAAACGGAACACCGTAGTCCTCTCATACTAAAATATTAAAAATTTACAACAAGATACAACAATATAATTCAGTACGGATAATTGGTCTTATTTGATAAATATTGTTAAAGGATTATTTTATTTTACCGATAAAAAATAATGCATATCAGCAAGTATACAGTGGCTATTGAGAATTTAAAAGCCTCGGCAACCATTCGCACAATCTTTAAATTTATCTTTTTATATTTTAACTTTAAAAAACTAAAGACATCGATTATTTCAAATGCGTTATCGGCACTGAATAAGATGTAAAAAAAAATATCGCCTTGTCATATCGATATCGACTATTTGATATTTATAAGATATTCAAGAACAAACATGTACCGTGTAAAAGCCGGTAGCGCAAACGCCATTGTATTGAAGAACTACCAACTGTAGCAAACATTTGAACTGTTTAAAGATATGCCACCACAAAAAGCAAAATAAAATGTTCCCACAGAAAGAAGTAATTATACGGTATAATGAATGTTTAGAAAATAGTACATTTATATTTCGAGATTTAAAAAGACCTTATTTTGTTACAGAAAATTGAAGGCAGAGCATTGCCTCACTCATACGACGGTTTGGCTGGAATAAAAAAAAATCCAGACAAGCCTTTGGGAAGACAATATATGTGCATGTTAGCTCAGTTCATTTACAATCGAATTATACATCTTTTTTCCCTGCATAAGGCGGAGATAGTCCATTCATCTGATATTGTTTTAGGTAACAGAAATGCGTTTGCAACTATGTACTGGTAATAAAAAGCCAACTTTGTCAAATGTTAAACCGATATTTTGTTTTGAAAAAGTAAAACGATACATAACAATACATTTAATTACATAAATTTAGGATTATAAAAAGTCATTGGCTCCTGTCACTCTCTAATTGTGCTAGCGCTACTTGCAATAAGTTCTTCTTTTGAAAGCACTAAAAGCACCATGACAGTCATGTTGTTAAAATTGAATGAGAAAGAGGCAATTCGTGCTTTGTATATGAAATCAATATACTTAAATAAAAGACGTACATGTACTCAATTATAACGTCGTGTCATAAAAAGTCAAAATGATTTCAACTACGCCAACGGAGTTTTTTGTTTATATTTCTACCAATTTTGATAGAACTCTATAGTTAATGCATGTGGTGCACACATATATGTTAGCACATAGTACAATGATAAATCCGTAAAAAATATATGTCTAGTATTGAAATTAACAATGTTTTAATTAATCTATAGTTTACAACATAGCGATAATTACAGAGGTAAAGTCGGAATGTGTTCTTCTTTATGACATTTACGCATAGTCACGGACCCTAGCTTCACTCACTTGTATGAATATTAATTCAACATTGCCAACTATATTGTGAAAACGGTGGGGGTGAAAATTGCATAAAACCGTCGTTACATTAGTTCGTCGTTCGTTTAACAATGGAAATTAAAAAACCAAGCTACATTCACAGACCTACTGGATTTCAGTATAATTACCAGACTGTTCCGGAACGATTGCTATATATGGCTCAGAAATGTGGGGATAAAGAAGTCTATGTTTTTCTTCACCCTGATGGAAGGAGAGACAGTATTAACGCAAGAGAGTTATATCAAAGGTCACGTCAGTTGGCATACTCGTTGATGTCGTTAGGGATCGGTGCGGGTGACATTGTAGCTACTTGTTTGGACAATGAGCTAGATTTGTTAATATGCACCTTCGCAACTATTTGTACAGGGGCTATTATTCTGAACGTTGTTATGAGGAATGAGGATGGTAGCGATCTAAAGCAGAAACTATGTAAACTTGACGTAAAATGTTTAATTGTGAACCCGGGTAAGGATCGGCAAAGATTTACAGCTTGTTTGAATTTCATAACAAAATTGAGTCCAGACGGTTTGGTCGAAAGCGAATCCGTTCCTTCACTTAAAATCTTCATTTCGACGACATTTGTTGAAGAAAGACAACTTAAGCAACTGAATGATCTATATAAAGATCCAGGGAATTCCTTCCATTTCCCTCGACTAGACCCGGAAATGACTGTAGTACTTTTGCCAACTTCCGGTTCAACAGGCGAGTCGAAGTTTGTAGCCCATTCGCATCATGATGTGATGATAATTGGCAATCATCTGAAAGAATCATTTGGTTATGATTCCGGAGATGTGATTTATAACGAACGCCGATTTGCTTGGATAGGTGGGTTTCCATTTATGTATTTGCATGACGGCGTCAAAGTTGTGACGAAAACACAACCGTTCGAAAGCCTTCAAGAGCATTGTGAATTTACATACAACGCAATGCTACAAGAGAAATGTACTGTCGCAGGTCTTTTCCCTGCCACTATCATTGGTCTTCTTGACAAAATAAATGGGATGACGTCACCTTCAAAACTTTTTGTTAAAAAAAAACCCCCGTGGGTTGTCTTGTGCACCTGTTTGATGAAGCTTAGGAGATTTCGGAAAAAAGTTACAAGTTTTTGGCTCTACAGAAAGCAGGGGTTTGCACATTTAATCTGTGAAAAGTAAAATGAATATTTATTATTGCACTGGGTTTTTTCACGGCGGGTTTTGAATTAAAAGTTTTTTACAACGACGGATTGGGCAGACAGAAGGGAAAGTGGCAACGGCGGCCTATCCCTTGTCTTTTTGTATTTTCTACGGAGATGAAAATTTTAAAAAAAAAGAATGTTGTTGTCAATTTAAAAACCCTGGGAAATAAAAACCCCGATGCGTAGGAAATACGGAAAAGGGCAATTTGAAATAAATTTGGTCGGAAATCGGATATCTTTAATACAGGGGGGAAAAATTTTTGATACCAAAAATCGAAGTTTTTTTCAAAAACCCCAGATTTTTATTAGTTTGTTATTTCATCCCCATTCCAGGATTTCAAAATTTGAATTGGTTTCCGCATGCGTTTCCCCCTTTCCCCGGGAAAACAGCAAACTCCCAGAGCCCTAGAGAGTTTTTTAAAAAAAGGTGTTATGTCTTTTTGCAAACAAAGGCTTTTTCACGTGCCCCAAACCCGGAAAATTGATCTAATTTTAAAAGCTTTTTCCAACGGGGTTTACACGGGAAAGCCGGAAAAGGGCAGCTCTAAAAGGGAAATTTCTAATCCCCCCTTTTGGTTTAAACAGTAAAATTAAATTTAACAAAACTTGTCCGGGCTAACATTATTTGATTCATTTAAATTACCTTTTAAAAAAGGGAATTTTAAATTTGTTTAAATTTTTCTTTCCCAACCAATTTAATTTTTTCGGGCGTGTTTTTAAAATTTCCCAGCGTTGATATACATGCTTTTTTTCTCTCATCAACATTGAAAATTGTTAGTAAAAATGGTAAAAGGGGCCAAAGTCTTTAAAAACATACTTTTTTTAAAAATTTTTTAAACTTTTCCCTTTGAAAATAATCAGAAAAATTATATCAGTTTAAAATATAACCAGTTTCATTTTTTTGTTTTTACTTTGGTTTAAGAACCATTTGTTTTTGTTGGGGTTCCCCAGGGTTGCATTTTTAAAAAAAGTAATTTTAATCAACACTTCAATCAACAAATACGACAGAAAAATGTTACCATGAATGTAACAAAAACATATAAACTATTTAACTCTGATATTTTATGCTTAATACCAAAACTTTCCTATCTAAATTTAAAAAAAAAAACTTTCAAAACAATTTAATTTGGTGGAATGTTCAAACTTGTTCATTTTCAATACACTACTAAGAACTACTAAATGGTGCCGTGTACTCGCCCTTTTATTTTATAAGCGATCCAGAGAAGTCCTATGACCAATGGGTTGTCTCCATACAAAGTAATGGGAGCACTCTGCTGCACTAATAAATTCTTTGTTAGAAAAATAGAGAGAGAAATCGTTAAATATTTGCTTGAACATTCATTGCGATTAATCATTAATAATTTGTATTAGATGCCTTATGCAAAACCAACTCCTTTCTGAAGAGAATTTCTTTTCACTGAGAAACATTTCTGCATGGGGTGTGGATTCAAATCCCATTGATGGCAAACATTATTTCGTGTTTGAATACTTTTTTCTTTTCTTAAATAACAAACTCATTTTTAAAATCTATCATTTTTGCATGTGACTCTATATAATCTTTTTGCGCTTAGGCGGTTAATTAGCACAACACTGGAGCAGCACAGTTATTTACAGGCAAAATAACAGATTGGACTAAATAATGAAGATGATGCACAAGGTCATGATGTTTCCATAAAACAGCATGGTCGCTTTACTATTATTATTTCATTATTTGATGAGATTAGCATGACGAGATTAGCATGCCAAAGACAGAAATCATGATTTGGATTACTTTCAACATTCATTCCTAGTTTTTAATGTTTTTTTTTATTCATATACAATGTATATATTTTATTTATTTATTTAATGTTATTTTTGGGGGGGTCATGTTGTTTTTATTTTTTTCGTTGTTTTTTCTAGATCTTCATGAAATAAAACATTAATCGTGAAAAAAATATTTACAGTCCCGTCATGGTAAAAAAGTCTACAGACAACTGCAATCACAACTAGAATTTACAACACATAGCGTCTTCTGTATTCACTTTCCCCCGTGTTTTTCTCCCAGTATCTGTATTGATCAATTTTTTTTTCCAGAAGGCTACTGACAATCAATTGTCATTGTTTGGCGAACATTATCGCAATTTTTTTTACATCTGGAGATGTAGGCCGCAAATTGCTCTTGAGAAAAGCAAAGGTCAAGGTCACTTTTCCGATTACTAGTATAATTATCAGAAGTTCGTACGTTGCACACACTGTTTCATAAACCGGATAAATTATAGAACTCTCGGATTAGTCAGGTATTCAAATTAAATTTGTCTTTTTTTCTGATAACTGTTTCTTCAAAGTATATTTATTTCACATTTTTGTAGAGGAAATTGGATTAAATACACTGTAAAAATGGCGCTTCAATAGTCATGATGTCAATAATTCAATGTACTGTGTACTCTATTTGAACTTATTGTTATCTTTATGCGAGTTATAACGGTCATTGTACACTTGACCTTTTTACTATACGCACACAAAACTGTTTTTAGCGTGGCTTTGTTTTTGACCCATTATGGCCCATTATATGTCCCATAAATGATTTAAATTTTATTTCTCAAAAGCTTTTCAATTTTTACGTGCTTATATAATTTCCAAAGAGTTACTTTTTGGCCAATTACCGAACAATCTTTTTCTTTTATTTATATATATATTTTTTTTTTGGTGGGAAAATTAGAATTGTTATATAGTAATTCCGTATTTTATATGGAAGACAAAAAAATGGTTTTTGGTTTCATTTTGCTACTTTTTGGACAAATTATTTTATGTTTAGCTCTTAGAACCATTATTTTTTATGTTATAAAATTCATGTAAGTCCTTTCTAAAGAAGTAAAAATTGTATTCAATCCATGTACCTTTAAGCCATAATATGTTTTATTGACTACCTTAACGAATAATAATCAATTATCTGTATCGATTAAAAAACAATATTGAAATATCTTTGATATCATATTTTTTATATGTAAAAAGAATATGTTTTGCAGTTAAAAAGAAAATAATTTAGTGTACATTTTTCAAACTTGTGTTATCTTATGTGTAAACATTGATAATTCCTCACACCGACCACTCCGTATCGAGATAACATTGGATAAAATATCATCGCACGACGGATACGAAAACATTTTTAGCACCCATATTTGATGTAGTTGTAATAATAATAATAATAATAATAATAATAATAATAATAATTATGATAATAATAATTATGATAATAATAATTATGATGATGATGATAATGATGATGATGATGGTGATGATGATTAAATCGAATGATGAAATAAAGTAATAATAATATCAAAACAATCATAATAATCTGAAAAAAATAATGTTGTTTTTTCTTTTTTAATTTCAACTTAGGAATGTTATGTTACTTTCAACCAAATATCATTATTTTATTTAAGTTCAACCAAATTTTTCTATTTTAATTTTTAGCTTGATAGTGTTTATTTACATTTTACAATTTTAATTTCAAAATTCTGAAACATGCCGGGGTTTCATGAAAAATAAAACAATTTTGACTATTAACTTTGATTTTGAGCTGTAATTTGAATCCTTGAGAAACAAATGTCAAGGAATTTTATTCATGACTCTCAACAGTTATTATATAATTTATTTAAATTTCTATATGATATTAAAATTCAATTTACAATATTAAAATACGTTTTATGTTGAAAACAGTGGTCAAAAAACTTACTCCCTTTTTAATGTGACAGTAAAAAAAAACTGTACTCGCAATTTGCACTACTTTCTATAACCTTTCTTGAAATAGAAAAAAGATGGCAATTGTGAAAACAAGGAATTCCTCCGCTGACAGCGATTTATTGGATGTGTCAGGAAGTGTGCTTTTTAATCAGTGCCGCCGCAGAACTTTAGATTTACTGACACGTTAGTTATTTTCTCCAGGTTAACATGCACTAGTGTGTTGCAGAACGTGTCTAGGTTTCATTATTTATGGTACATAATTGTTTAACCAGACAGAGGGTATTTCTATCAAATAAATTAAAATAGAAAAATACCGGTACAATTGATTCTGCAAGTTCGGCAAATGTCATTTTTCCGTCGCTTTTTACTACATGCAAACCTGCTAAATATGTCCAAATTCTATTTTTTGAACCGTTCAATGCATTGTCGATTTTGGAGAAATCAAGAATTAAAACTATTCAACCAACGATATAAACCCAGGTCAGAAGAGTTCACGGAAGCACATAATCTGCTTGCGCTGGACTGATGGTAAACAAGGCTAAACACTTCCGGTTCCAGAAGGTTAGGGCTAATATACGGAACACACGGATGTTTGATTAAAAAAGCTAAGCTTCCTGTCGGCAACTGGTTCTAACCATGCCGGCCAGTGCAGACCACGATCAGCCGGTATACATTTGTCGTCTGATTATGGTATGCACTGTTCGGTAATCAATCAGTACACACTTTGAAAATTTCCCTCAAGAAAGATAAATGGTTTGGTCAAGACTTTATGATACTAAAGATATTAAGCAAAGATATTTAGCAAAAGTAAGTATGCTATAATGAACTAATATCACGTAAAGATGATAGTGTGATCTCACACACAAGAGTTCAATTAAGGCATTTATAATATCATAGATGTGTAATCTTTGACAGGATTTCTAATTCAAATTCATTTTAACTTAATGTACTCATTCCTTAAAGTTTATTATAAATAGATTACAAAATAATACTCTAAAATATTTGATAATTTCACAATAAAATTATAAAATAAAATTCCACAACAGCCGACCAACAATTAAATGCGGATGAATACCGTACATCTAATAAATGATTATGTTGATTTAAGAAGCATGAAAAACATGTATTTTAATGAAATGTTTTATGTACGAGCGTATATGTAAGAGTTGTATTTTACTTACGTAAGAAACAATTATATTTTATTGGCGAACATTGTTATATTCAAGAATAAGTTATATTTCACTGGTGAACATTTTTATATGAAAGTGCCAGCTATATTTCACTGATGAACACGATTCAAAATTTGATACACCTTGTGTTTACTTGGTGAGATACACATTGATCTGACATTGAAACAATCAAATACCTCTTTGTGTTTTCTGAAATGAACAAAACCAATTTGATATGTGTCAGTGATATATACATCATCAGACGATACCATAAGGTTTTTCACGTGATATGCAAATGTTTCTCTTTTTTAAATCACGTGATATGCAAGTGTTTCCTTTTTTTCAATCACGTGATATGCTCATGTTTACGTTTTTAAAGTTCCCATATCTAATTCTTGAAAAAAAAATGCCTGAAACACACATTTTATAATTACAGAACTTTTAAAAATACACGCACATGACTTACAAATTTACCATTTAAAGTACATGTATTTCGATAGCGGTTATGTAATCATAGTAAATAAGTATTATCGTGTAAGTAAGTACCTTATATGACACCCCACAATCTCAACGCTCCAATAACTCTCGCTTATTTAGGGGAGTAACTGGTTCCTTAATCATAAACAGGAGGTTTCATATGTCAAAATATTCGGTTGAGAAATGGGATTTAATTTTTGCCAAAAATGCTGGGGGACTAAGAAATCCAAGATGGTGTCCAAGATGGCCACCGAAAATATGAAAATTACCATTTTGTTATATTACTTAAATTTGCTAGCTTAAACGATTAAATATACTTGTTTTTATCATTTTGATATCAAATAAACGTGGTTTTAGTATTCTATTAATAATATCAAACCTTTCAGTCATGAGCTTTTCAATTTTCACTAAAAGTGCCTATGATCACATCAAGTTGTGTGCACAAAAGCTTAGTTTCTGGCAGACATGTATGCTGCTGTAAAATGAAAACAATGCATACAAACAGACATTTCTGATGAATATATTGTAACTTAGATTTGTTTCATATAAGTCATGTAAATACACCATAAAGTAATAAGAAAATGAAAATTATAAACATAAAAATCTGAAATCAGTTACTGCATCCTGTCCGGTGCTTAAATTATCGTATGATAGCCATGTAACAACCATTAATAGTTATTTTGTTAAACTAAACAGTACTAAGATACTTTAAGAGGTTTGAGATTAGGTCCTCACTTTTCAGAGGCCATGGCTGTTTTACAAAAAAGTGATGTTATATTGCAAGATGGAAATAGAGCTTTTATAGTAACTAAATTAAATTTCAGTCAAATTTGACAGAATTATTAAATAAAGGTTATAAAGTGTATATGATATTATGTAAAGAATTTTTTGAAACATATCTTTCTACAAATACTAATTAAAGCCCCTTGAATGCTTAGAGGTGTAAGATTTGAATTGTCCACGATAAAATGTCTAAATAAATGTCTTCATTTTCTTACAGCAAGTGTTCTTTTAAAAAAAAAATAAAGTGAGTGTTGTGTTCATTTAGTTTATAAAAAAAAGTATAAAAAAAATAAACGTTCCCTTACAAAAAATATTTAACGGTTGTTTGAAAAAAGTAACACAATGAATTCGTGCATGCGCCAGTCGCTTTTTCGAAATTTTATAAACATAATTGATTTTCAATTTTAGTTCTTTTGTATGATATTTGTCAAGATATAATCAATAATCCTTCGACGGTGAAATCACAATTAAGAAAACGGGTCCTGGTCCCTTGAAATCTTTGTAGAATATAGGGAGATACAATGTTATATATTAGATGATTGTTTAACTTTAGTTTAAACCGATGTACAAACAGTAAACTAGATCTCAAAATTGGTACCCTTTCGTGAGCGTATAATGACGAATTTCTATAAATTGTCTTTTTTTGTTTCAGACGTTATGGCAGGTTTCTCAGAGAGTAAGAATGTGACCATATTTGGTGGCGGAAATGGTGCACACGTCCTTGCAGGTACTTCTTCATTGGTCAAAAATGCTCACGTGACTGTTGTTGACACTTTTCAAGACGAGGCAGAAAGATGGACGAACGCAATGGCGGCTAATGGATTTACCATGAAGTATAGTAACGGGCAAACAAAATCCCAACCCGCTGGTGCAGTTAACTTTAAAGTCACAAAAGAAGTGGAAGCAAATGTCCGAAATGCAGACATTGTTATCCTCTGTATGCCTGCATTCCTTCACGAGATGGTTCTAACGAACATCGCATCATATTTGCAAGATAAGTGTGTATTGGTCGGACTACCAGGTCAGGCGGGATTCGAGTATCAAGCTCTGGCAATTTTGAGAGAACACGGGAAAAAGTGCAGTGTAGTATCAATTGAAACCTTACCCTGGGCGTGTAGAATTGTAAAATATGGACAGGAAGTCGAAGTTTTAGGCACAAAAGAAGAAATTTATGCTTCTCAAATTGAGCAAATTAAGTCCAAGGATACTGATTCAAATTCAAGCCCAATGGGCCAAGTTCAAACAATACTCGGACCTAAACCAGTTTTAAAACGAGAAATGAATATCATCAAATACACTTTTCTTTATAGGCCAACTGTCCATCCTCCCATAATGTATGCAAAATGGAAAAATTGGGATGGAAAACCGTTAGAAACCGCACCTCTCTTCTACCAAGGAGTCGACGAAGAGGCTGTTAAATATTTAGATGGAGCAACGAATGAAATGATCGAGGTTGCCAATGTGCTTGCGTCTAAATATCCAAACATGGATTTCTCTGGAATTTCGCCAATGAAAGAATGCTTCATAGGTGAGTACCCAGATCAAATCGAAGACAAACAAACTTTGCTTTCATGCTTGAAAACCAACCGAGCTTACGATGGTCTCGTGCATCCCATGAAGAAAACAGCAGACGGTAAATTGGAGCCAGATTTCAAATATCGTTACCTGATGGAAGACGTTCCATACGGACTACTTATCATTCGACAAATTGCTGGCATGGTCGAAGTCAGAACACCACTAATTGATGAAATCATAGTTTGGGCGCAGGCTAAACTTGGAACAGAGTACATGAAAGATGGCAAGCTGTGTTTTGTTGACAGAAAACACGGTCGTCTTCCAATGGCTTATGGTATTAACACTATAGAAGAATTCGTCAATTTTTTCGAATAATGCTGAATCCACAGCTAAAATCTATGGGAGTTTTCAAAGTTCTTAGTTTGGACTTTTGTTGTGACAGCGAACAAGAAAGCTTGCTTTTAGAGTATAATTAGAGCGATGAATTCATTATACAATGTGTATGAGTTATGAATTCAAAACATAATTGTTGCATTCGACAAATATAGGACAATAGCATAATTGAATCAACATTTATTAACAACTTTTACCTTTGGTGCACATGTATGGTCAATTCATTAGGGCAAGTAGATATTGGTTTATATTTCTTTTTAAATGGCAGCTTAAAATGTTTGGTTTTTTTCTTATTAGTGGTTCGTTTATGTTGTGTAGTCAACGACCAGTAAAACAGTCATATGTTATGTTTACAAAGACTTGGTTTATTGTTGAGTTTGATTTTCTAGTTAAATTACAATCTTTGAAATATTGTCATTATAATAAACTGTTCGTTTATGTTTTATGTAGAAGTTAGGTGCATATATTTGTTTGTTGTGAATCGAGCTTTTACACATGTAAACAATGAATAAGGTGGATTGCTTCTTCATCTGAACTTAGTGGCAATCGCTGTGGATTCGATTATGTTTTGAAACTATGCATCTAGTTAACTTAATTAAGATTAATAAAAGTCTTTGAAACATTGAAGCAAGAAGAAAAAGAATTGTTCTTATAATTCAATGTTAGTAAAAACTAAATGAAATATGTATAGGAGCCAAACTATCTAGAGTCTCTTCCACTTATTATAATATTTTGATAATATGTATATAGAATATAGGGCAACATTATAACTTAATGTCTTTTTGTAATTAATATATTTGTTAAATGACACTGCTTTTTGTTTTCACAATAATTTTATTGTTGTATACAAATTTTAAAATTGTTGGTCTAAAAAAAATAAAGAAGAAGAAAAGGATTTGTCTCGTTTGATAACGTTAACGCTAAAAAGGTTAAGTTATGATATGATGCTAGCTTTGAAAGAAATCATGTTAGCCTGCGTTTAATAATGTGTTGTTTCGTTTGTTGGATTTTTTGTTGTCTTTTTTCAAGAATCCTAGAAATTATCTTGAACTACGTAGGAGATAAAAAAGCCTAATTAGGAGTTTACAACTCTTTCGTAGGACTTTTAAACTCCTACGTAGGACTTTTTAACTCCTACGTAGGACTTTGTAACTCCTACGTAGGACTTTTTAACTCCTACGTAGGACTTTTTAACTCCTACGTAGGACTTTGTAACTCCTACGTTGGAGATAAAAAAGCCTAATTAGGAGTTTATATCTCCTACATAGGACTTTATAACTCCTATGTTGAGGAACACTTATAAAGTCCTACGTAGGAGTTATAAACTCCTACGTAGGACTTTTAAACTCCTTATTAGGTTTTTTTTATCTCCTACGTAGGAGTTATAAAGTCCTACGTAGGACTTTATAAGTAATAAGTAATAAAGTCCTATGTAGGACTTTCAAACTCCTAATTAGGTTTTTATATCTCCTACGTAGGAGTTATAAAGTCCTACGTAGGACTAATATTGTCCTATGTAGGACTTACAAAGTCCTATGTAGGAGTTATAAACTCCTAATTAGGCTTTTTTATCTCCTACGTAGGAGTTATAAAGTCCTACGTAGGAGTTACAAAATCCTACGTAGGAGTTATCTTTTTTTATAGAACATGTTAAATTGGCACCAGGACGCTTCCGTATCCTACGTAGGAGATAAAAAAAGTCTAATTAGAAGTTTATAATTTTTTTAGTTTTATTAGTCCTACGTAGGACTTTATAACTCGTACGTAGCAGATATAAAAACCTAATTAGGAGTTTTAAATTCCTACGTAGGAGTTTAAAAGTCCAACGTAGGAGTTATAAAGTGCTACGTAGGAGTTAAACAGTCCTTCGTAGGAGTTTAAAAGTCCTACGTAGGAGTTAAAAAGCCCTAGGTAGGAGTTTAAAAGTCCTACGCAGGAGTTATAAACTCCTAATTAGGCTTTTCTATCTCCTACGTAGGAGTTTTCAATTTTTATAGAACATGTTAAATTGGCATCAGGACTCTTCAGTACAAACTCCTTAAAGTTAACAATTTGCCTGTTTTCATCACTTACTCATTCAAGTAGACTTTCGTATATACTTTTAAGTTGACGTTACAATTCATACTTCACTGAAGTATCAGGGAAAGAATAAGGGCTCATTTTAATAAAAGAGGTTTGTTGTAGGTATAAAGTTAAGTAGTAATTGTAAAAAACAAGTTTATAATAGTCTAGCTTAACAGTTTTCACTATCCAATTAATTAATAAGTAATGACTAACGAATACTTTTTTTTTGGGGGGGGGGTCTCAATGGATGAACACAAGCTCGTTTTTGCTCCGGTTTACTTAATGTGACGGCAAAGAAAGGGAATGCGATAGAAATATCATATTCAGATGCTCATTCATTGGTTACTTTTTGGTGGGATTTCATATTGTGACAACAGGGAACGTGTACGTACATAGTTGGTCATATAATCTGTCAAAATACTATTTGTATCATAGTTTGGGGACCTTTCTGTTGAAAATGTGTCAGAGTTCAATTGTATACATAAATTATACAATGTACATGCACAGTGCGTTAACTGGAGTGCAGGTTTTAGCTTCCGGCACTCCAGAGCGTGCCCATTGACTGGCTCATTTTGTCAGGGGTTTACTTATTGTGACGACAGAGAAAGAGATAGCAATAGAAATATCATATTCAGATGTTCATTCATTGGTTACTTTTCTTATGGGGTTTCATATTTTCTAAATTCAGTCAAAACACAAAATTTAAGTCTGCCAAAAAAGGAAGAGAATAATGTATATAATAAACAGAAAATTCAAGGTTTTTTCTATAAAGACAGGATTTATCGATAATCATTTTGTGGTATGAAAATTATTATATGTATCACGCAACTTCACTCATGAAATATCTTTTTTCATATTTTCATACCACTTGATGAAAATAAATCCTTTATTTATAGAAAAAACTTGAATATCCCTTTATAGTTAATATAAGTAAAATATTCTTTTTAAATTTGTCTTGGAAGTTTGTTGGAAAGATTAAAGCTTATATTGGTACTTAAGGATACTGCCCCAGAAAATATCATTGTTTTGAGCCGTCCAGTTAGCTCAATAGGTAGAGAGTTGGACTGTGAATCGGGCGACCCGGGTTCGATTCCCGGACGGCGCAGGTCACTTTCGTTATGATTGATCATGAAATCCTTTCTATGGTCATTCGCACTGTACATCTGCTCTGGCATGTACAGAAGTTTCAGTTCCTTGCGAAAATGGAAGCAACTAGTTACTGGTTAACCGCTTGACAACCAGCCCAGGAACGATGCGGTGGTTGAACTGTGCTCTGGTGAATTCCATGTGGCTAACTGTCGTGATCCGGAGTGAAAACTACCAACACCACCACAAAATATTATGTTTGTTAATACTGTGTTGATATAACACTGCAGGGACAATTTAAATCAAATGATTTGACAGACACGTCGCATTTTTTTCTCTGACGTCACTTATTACACTGATTGTGACGTAAAGTGACGTTATCGTCCTAGTGATTAGATACACGGCATTACACTCGGACATTTATTTGAGAGAAAATGGAATTGGCAGAATTCATCTAAACACGGGAGGTAAGTGAGGCGTATATTAACGTTGTACCGTTTACTTTACGTGAATTTGTGTAAATAGCATATCCTACTTTGATTTTGGAGCAGTATGTGATAACATTAAAGTGAACTACTGTACTTACAGTGTAGAGCCTTGGTCCGAAGGTTATAAAGAAATTCTCTAAGCTCAATCTCAGATCATGTATATCTGATAGGTCAGAAACTGCCATATAATGTACATTTACTATTGGAATTCCCGAGGTTTTAGACAGAATTGAGAAATAATAAATAAATGTTTGGCCTGACCTCGAGGTTATAAAATATTTTTTTTCTAAATTCAATATCAAATTTCTGGATTTTTATTGGTAAGTGTACACCCTGGGCTGGTTTCTGACCATTCAGGTACTGGAGCTCTGAGTTATACATAGAAAATTTCTTTATAACTTTATAACTTTGGAGCCTAATCAGACTCTAATGATGTGCAGTTTATACTGTTGGTATAAAAGCCTTCTAATCCCAATCCCAACAGGTCAACTTTTAATATAGAAGCCTATAGTTTGAAAACTTCTTGAAAAAAAAGTCGTTTCATGCAGAAAATATTTATAAATTTACATAAATTTAAACTAAAGTGAAGAATGTTTTATTGTACCGGAATATATTTGCCAATATTACTCCTTTATTTCCAGTGCTTTTTAAGCTTTATATTCCATAATGTGCTTAAAATGTTCACAAAACATTCTTATAGATATAAGTACTGTAGCATTAAAACTAAGTTACTCCTGTAAGTAATAATTAAAGATAGATATAAATGATATATGCCAAAATAAATGTTTAAAAACTAAAAGTTTTGATAAGTTTATTATTCAAATTACATAAGACCATATAACCGGTGAAGATATACAATACAACATATATATGGCTAGCCAGCGTTCAAAAATAAATTTGCAAACAAGATTTAAACAACAACGGAGAAAGTTAACATTCATTTACATGTTAAAACATCTTAGTATTAATGATCTATTTCTTATAATATCTAAATGTTTATAAAATTATGTAGGTGGTGTATTCTATAAACTACCCCTGCTCTTCCTTGTTACGAAGTAACTATGTAAATTAGATATAAGAGTCATTATATAAACTAGTCATACTAGTTAAAAAAAAAAACCCAGATCCACAGCAATATTATATAGAGTTTTCGGTATTGTTGCTAAACACATTATTTAATTTCAATATAATTGAGCCGCGTCACAACAAAACCAACATAATGGGTTTTAATCCGTGTAATTTCGATCAAAAACAAAGTAAGTACATATTGTTAAGGTACATTTCAATTTCTTCTTGAACCAGGCCATAACAAATGAGCCGCGTCACGACAAAACCAATATAATGGGTTTGCGACCAGCATGGATCCAGACCAGCCTGCGCATCCCAACCCTATTACAAGTACAGGAACTGATAGCGAACAGCATGGATCCTGATCAGACTGCGCGGATGCGCAGGCTGGTCTGGATCCATGCTGGTCGCAAACCCATTATGTTGGTTTTGTCGTGACGCGGCTCAAATAAAAATTAAAGGAACGTAAACTTACAAAGTGGTCTTAAATAAAACGTTATAATCTTAAACCCAGTAAATTATTAAAGGAGCTGAGGTCCGAATATATATATGAAAACATGAAATTTAAAATTCTTACATAGGTCAACTTGTGAGCTTGAAATAGAAAAAAATATGCAAAAGATAAATTTAGAATTATTCTCGAAATTAAATTGAAAGTCAATTTTTGTGCGATATTTAGTCTGATTAAAAGCATTTAAAGACATTTCAATTTTATATCATTTAGCACAATTAGAACTAACGTGCTGGAGCAAATGATGAGAAATTTTGCACACAAGTTACTACTCTAGTCCTTAATCAAGGTCAAATGCACAAGTCTCGAACAAAAATATTTCCAATCCCTTTATGTGAAATAAACTCACTTTTGTCACTTTAAGACGATAGTTTTTAGTTTGTAAATGTGTCAGGAAAACGTGTTTCTCTTACAGTTATGGCTATGTTAAGGATAAACAAGGATCTTGAAATGGAATCCAACATCATGCGCCAACAGAAGCTCGCAGCTGGCCAGTCTCAACTAGATCGCCACATCAACAGTGTCCTATTACAAGCGTCTCTTAGAAGACCACCAGTTTCAGTACGAATGTCTGGGAGTAGATATTCAGGAAGCAATAAAATAACGTCATCGGCGATTTCCGGTGCACAAAAAGCCGCATCAAAACTGGTATGGTCGAAAGTCATGCTTTCGAAAGGATCGACCGTAATGAAATCAACATGCTCAACACGGATGATTAAATCGCCAAAATATGTCGAGAAGGCTTTTCCAAATCACAAGCACGATGTAATTGAAACAAGTATTATTAGGTTGGTACCGAAATATGATTTTGAAATTCCTTCAGATCAAGAATTTGAAAAGCTTATCAAAAATGCCTATCCAAAACCTGTGAGAAATCAAAACAATTTCGAAAACACATGTCTTACTAAATCAGATCATTCTTGTAAAAGTGCCGTAGAGTCAAACATTTATTGCAATGGTGAACTGAACAATGAATATGATAGTAATGTTAGCAAAAGACCTGATAATGAATTCCGTCAACAACTTGAAAATGAAAACCAGTTGAAAGCCAATGTAGAGAAAGACAAAATAGTTCTTCGCGGTGTATCGGAAGAAATAAAAAATCAAGCATTGCTAACACACGACACAGATACCACTTTGCCTGGTCATGAAATCAAAACAAGCTTTAAAACTGAAATTGATCTCGACGAAATTTATGATATTGGTTTGTTTTTTGAAGTCTGTAGCAAACTAAATAAAGAAAATGTCAACGAAGTTTATGATATTGGTTTGTTCTTTGAAGTCTGCAACCAATCGAAGAAGGAAGAAATCGACGACATTTATGACCTTGGTTTATTCTTTGAAGTCTGCAACCAGTCAAAGAAGGCAGAAATCGACGAAGTTTATGATATTGGTTTGTTCTTTGAAGTCTGCAACCAATCGAAGAAGGAAGAAATCGACGAAGTTTATGATATTGATTTGTTCTTTGAAGTCTGCAACCAATCACAGAAGGCAGAAATCGACGAAGTTTATGATATTGATTCATTCTTAGAAGTCTGCAACCGGTCGAAAAAGAGTCATTTCGACGACGTATTTGACATTGGTGTGTTCTTTGGTTTATGTTGTGAAGCCTCCGAATTAAAGAAAACGACAGAGTTTGATAATGCAGTTGATGATGATCCAGTATTTGATCCCAGTAACAATAACAGTAAAATCGATGTCGGCAGTGTGTTGGGACACACTCTGACTGACACCACCAGAGAATGCACAGTTGACACTACAAGGCATGAAGTTAACGAAAATAACGAAGATGATAGCAACATGATTGATGCACAAAACATGGATATTGCGCCTTTACCTCGTCTTGATGAGAACATAGACTTTGGTGAGGATATGTTCGGAATTCTTGGAGTGTTTTGCAGAAGTGGTTTACATCAACTGTAAGTATTAATAACAGAAAATTCAGTTTGTCAGTGTGTAGTATAACAGATATATCTTTGTTATGTTAGATAGGGTTGATTCACAAATGTGTGACTAAGTATATCATAGATTTCACAACATTACGGTACAATTACAGGATCACATTTTATCTTATTCTTATATTTTTTTTAAGAATTAAAGCAAAACCCACAAACTTCTTTTCTGGTATACCTTAATTCATTGACGTCGTATAACTGTATCTCTTATAAGATTCTAAAAATTCTAAATAATGTTTTTGAAAACGTTTTGCTTTAGTATATACTTTTTGATAATATCCTACAATTACCTGGTGCGTTTCATCATATTACGTTGTACAAAATAATCATTTAATGTTCAGAATAATTAGATAATCGCTTGTTCCGGTATACACTAAATATTGCTGTCCGTGTAATAGACAGGACTGATTTTGAGAATTTGGCTCTCTATAAGATGCTAGAAGCATTTTGTAGTACAAGTGGTATGTTGGTGTATTTTACCTATTTAAGGTATGCTGAATCCGATAAAGGTGGATACCGAATTGAAAAACTTGATCTTGACCATTGAAAGGGCCATTTAAAATGCCCACTAAAATGGCCGCCAAATTTCTTTATCATAAATAATGATGATATATCAATTTTTCTATAGGCTAATAATTATAATAGAAATATAGAAGTAATATTAAAGATGGTACTGAAAATTTTAAGGCATTTAAACGTAAAAGACCTATATTTAGGGTTTACGAACACTACTACACTCTTTCTGTCCTATCTGCTAGATATAGAGCTTTCGTGTATTTTATCTGGCACTCTACTCTGGCTACTCATATTATACTTGCACAGCGCACGTATGTGTGACGGGATTTAAACGTGCGCATTAAACGTGGGATTTAAAGGCACCTGTCTCTGGGTTTTGGTGTTCGTTTTTCTGTTACCGGTTGTTGTCTCTGTTCGCTTGTTGTCAGTTCTTCTGTTATCGGTTATTGGTCGTGATTTTCGTTCTTCAATCGGTCCTGGTCTCAGTTCTTTTGTTGTCAGATGTTCCGATTTCTCGTCTCTGTTATTCTGTTATCGGTCCTCGTCTCTATTTTTCTGTCATGAATGCTCGTTTCCTTTGTCTTGTTGTCAGTACTTCTCGTATCGGTCCCTGTCTCTGTTCTTCTGTTATCGGTCCTCGTCTGTGTTAGTTTGTTGTCAGTTCTGTTATCGGTCCCTGTCTCTTTTCGCTTGTTGTCAGTTCTTCTGTTATCAGTCCCGGTCTTTGTTCTTCTGTTATCTGTCCCTATCTCTGTTCGCTTGTTGTCAGTTCTGCTGTAAGCGGTTATTCGTCTTGATATTCGTTCTTCAATTGGTACTGGTCTCAGTTCTTTTGTTGTCAGATGCTCCGATTTCTCGTCTCTGTTCTTCTGTTATCGGTTATCGTTTTCGTTCTTCTCCGTTCTGCTGTCATCGGTTCTCGTGTCTATTCTGCTGTAATCAGTCTTGGTCTCCGTTTTCTTGTTTTCAATTGTTCTGTCATCGGTTTCCGTCTCTGTTATCCGTCCTCGTCTCTATTTTTCTGTCATGAATGCTCGTTTCCGTTGTCTTGTTGTCAGTTCTTCTGTTATCGGTCCCTGTCTCTGTTCTTCTGTTATCGGTCCTCGTCTGTGTTAGCTTGTTGACAGTTTCTGTTATCTGTCTCTGTCTCTTTTCGCTTGTTGTCAGTTCTTCTGTTATCTGTCCATATCTCTGTTCGGTTGTTGTCAGTTCTGCTGTTAGCGGTTCAAGTAACTGTTCTTCTTTTATCGGTCGCTTGTCTGTGTAGCAATGTTCTGTGGTGTACGTCTCTGTTCGGTTGTTGTCAGTTTTCCTGTAATCGGTACCTGTCTCTATTCGCTTGTTTTTTTTTCTTCTGTTATCGCTCCCTGTCTCTGCTCTTCTGTATTCGGTCCTCGTCTCTGTTCGCTTGTTGTCAGTTCTTGTCTCCATTCTTCTTTCTGTTATCGGTCGTTGTCTTCGGTCTTGTACTTTCGGTACTTGTTTCCTGTTCCGTTAAGGTCTTCTCTTGTTTCTATCGTTGCCGTCATTCTGTGCTGATGTCCTGGTTTGTCAGTCTTGTAGTCATTTATTCGTTCAGTGGAGTAGCGGGGGATCGAACTCACGACCCCTTGATTTGAAGGCAGACAGTGTTACCACTGCACCATAGCGCCCGCTCAGAATAATAACTATGTTTGAAAGTCCTTTATACTTTAAAAACTATTTCAATGGCAAACAAAGGGTGTATTACAATTATATTTTAACACCTCTACTATGTAGCCAACCCACGTGACTTTTTTATATTGGCAAAGAAAATATTACTCGATTTATTACAAGTAATATTTTTAAAAATAACTTTGCAGTTACTTTAAGATATTCCAGACATTTATTGGAGGGTACCCGGAATTCTAATGTATATCAAATGATGTGATAATCTTCTTGTAGAATTTTCTTAAAACCGTGACTGAATTCCAAAATTTTCGAGAGCTGCCATGGTATAACAAGCACACGTAGCAATCTCCCGGTTTCAGACATTTCATAACTCGATGAAAATATGGTGTTGTTATTGTTGTTATCAAAAACTTACATGCATCATACATGTGTAATGTTCACAATGTGCTGAAAAAACGGCTCTTTATTAATTTCAACATTTCAGCAAGTGACACATTTTATATCAGAATGGGACAGAAATGTTGTTCTAACCATTTAAAATTTAGGATTTGTAAATTTGTAAGTTGGATATTTTTTACCTAGTTTGCTCATCACTTAATTCACATTTTTATATATAAACCTGAGGTACAGAAAATAGACAGAAAACAACTGTCATAGATTGAGATAGAGCCATAGTGTCGTAGATATTTGGGTTACAAAAGGAGTTTTTGATCCTGATAATGTTTTAAGTACATGTACAGGATAAACATATTATAAGCCAATATTCTTAAAATTTTAACTGCCTTTATTCATATTTTTTTTTTAAATACGTGCAATTATGTAATTATTTTGTCTTTAGTTAATAGTTTCTGGAGAAAAGGCTTAACAAAGGTGATATCTTTTATTTTATAGATAAATTTTATAATGTGTCACATGTCGACTTTAAAAAAAAATTGTGGGGGTTTATCGCATACTTAGTCCCGCTTTTGCATGTTGGAACATCTATATTTTATTTGTTTGTATACACAGCCTAATTGCTTATTTGTATAGTCTTATTTTATTGACCTGTCAATTGTGAATACCTTACAACACTCATTGAAATATTAGATTCCACTTAGATTTCGTGAGTAAAGTTTACGAGAAATAATATGGAGTACATGTATAAAGAGGATATTTGTTTGTCTGTGTGTAAGATGAAATTTTATTTCATCGAGTGGGCTTTAAAAACAGTATTCCAACGAGTGGCGTAGCACATCTGACACAACAAACAAACACATTTTCTTTTTATTTTATGCTTAAAAATAAGTTAAAACGAAATTTCCTTGATATTAACTTTAATATTAAAATCTGTTTTCCCCACTGGTAGCCTCTATTATGTACATGTATTAGTCGAATTTCTCATAAAATACAAGAAATCTTGGGCTGAAAAATAAGTTCGACAATCAACGTTAAATTGCGATGATATTATTCATTTGAATGATCGCTTATTTTAATAATAAAAACAAACAATTTTAGTAGGAGAAAAAGTCCAACCATCCATCCATATTTCTGTTACTTACTGCGAATTTATATCAGACCTGGCTCTGTTAAATGTAAGCGGCGGCCATTTTTAAAAGATGTGTATTTCAAGGGAGGAAAATAATTGTGTTTGATTTAGAGGGATATCGTTTGGATTTGTTAGTCATACACCTTTTTAAAAGAAAGAAAACTTATTTGAGGATTGTAACAGACAATAAATAAGTGTTGACAGATGTGTAAACATTTAAAAAGTGGCTAGGAAATTGGAAACTTGGAATTGTTGAAAGGCTGCCTTATTTCGTTTTAACGAAATATAAAATCTTTATTACGAAATATTGATTCGTTATTACGAAATATTATTCCGTAATTACGAAATTCGTAATAACGAAATATTAATATGATATTACGAAATATTTATTCTGTGATTATATTTATTAAGAAGGATTTTGAAACTAAGTACATGTATATTGTTAAATATAAGTCAAGTAAACAAAACATAAAAAAGTGATTTTTTTTTCAATTTTAGTCTTATACCTTAACGCGCTAGTAAAACAGTACTGTGTATAACTGTTAATTGAGCCATTATGCTTATAATCGTTATATTTGGTGGCCAATCTCATTAAAATCTGATCATATTGAATAATCGTTTGATTTTGACAAGAATTATTAATTTCATCATATTGAATCATAGTTTTAATGACCTATTTTTAGTATTTTTAAGCGGCCATTTTGAATTGACCTTTTGAAGGTCAAGGTCAATTTTATTTTCTTGGTATCCACCCACATCGTCCTCAGCATACCCATATTAGGTTCAAACACTCAAGATATAACTTGTACTATAAAATGCCTCTAGCATAATCAGTCCTGTATATAATATAAACTTGCAAATTGGGTCTTAAAACAAGTAAATGTTATAAATTCATATAATGTACAAGTATATACAGTTATACAGTTGGTGTAAACATACATATATTCCATTTCCGTAAAAATGAAATAAAATCAATGAAGAAATCATTGGTGAATGACGATAAGCCAAATTTCATTGCATATCTAATTTTATTTTAGTTATGTTATGTTAATAATCAGGCATGCATGTATGTGTGAGTGTAGGACAAAAGCCCTCCCGGACAAAAGCCCTCCCGTCAAAAATTGACAAGGCGGACAAAAGCCCTCCCGTGAAAATGACAGGGCGGACAAAAGCCCTCCCGTAAAAATGACAGGGCGGACAAAAGCCCTCCCGTAAAAATGACTTGGCGGACAGAAGCCCTCCCGTGAAAATACAGGGCGGACAAAAGCCCTCCCGCAGCAAATACATATATGTACATTAAATAGTTTGTATTTTCAATTCAATGCACTCAACATATTAAAATTGTAATCATGAATATTTTTGTTTTCCATTGGCATAAGAGTGTTTGTATGAGCTTGAGTACATTCCTGACTGGCATCTGAATAATAAGTACTAAAATCTGTAAGTGCATATTTATTCACGTAAAAATGAAGGATTACTCACATGTAAAGTTATGATTAATAGAGTAATAAATGATGAAAAGAAGTTAAAATTAACTAAAATTAAAAGTCCAAGTGCCTTGTAATGAGTCAATTACTTTAGAAAGTGACCTTTTTTTAAACGACATTCGTGTGAAAATATTACCTCGCTAAACATTTAATTTCTGAAAGGTATGTTCTGAATGAAAGCTGGTTCTAGCTAATAAAAATACTTAGACCAAAAGAAAACAACAACAAATATATATGTTACAAATTTAATATCTTAAGTGCGTTGAAAAAACACAGGTATGTAACATAAATATATATTTTGTTACGGGAGGGCTTTTGTCCGCCTTGTTAATTTCACGGGAGGGATTTTGTCCGCCCTGTCATTTTCACGGGAGGGCTTTTGTCCGCCCTGTCAATTTCACGGGAGGGCTTTTGTCCGCCTTGTCATTTTCACGGGAGGGCTTTTGTCCGCCTTGTCATTTTTGGACGGGAGGGCTTTTGTCCGGGAGGGCTTTTGTCCGTTTCCCTGTATGTGTGTTTCATAGATTATTTTCCGTTTTTTTTTCCAGGTACAGCGATGTCCAGGATGTCAATGCTTGAATCGTGCACACATTTACATAAAACATTTTTATTGTTATAAATCATTAAAATTAAAAAAGGATAAGATTATGTTTGCTAAACGAAAAATAGTTTGGGTTGTTTTTTTTCGTCCAAAGTTTTTAAAAACCAAAACCGACGTCAACCAAAAAGAACTTGAATTGACGCGCACTGATCATATACATGTATGATGTTTATACATTTTAATAATTCATTGAGCTGAAGCCAGGCAATAGTGAAACCATATAGTAGAAAAGCATAAAAACCGGTTGTGATGTTTCTGCTAATATGTTTTTTTCTACATAATACATGGAAACATGTACACTTGCAAATATATTTTACGTTTTTAAGACAATTCGTAACCGCAAAATATAAAAAACACTTCTATCAAAAAATCTTGAGATGTAATTCTGATAAGCCTCTTATTTTCACATAACAATATTAAATATGATGAAACTAACGACAGAAGTGTAACATGTCAATTTTAGCGAACTAATATGACCAGCATTTTCATTGTTAATAGAAATGAATACATGTACATAGTAAAACATGAGAATTTACTATTGTTACATGTATACCAACTGAAAATAGCGTATAGACGGTACATATTAGGGGGAAAAGCTATTGTTTATACTTGTACGACTTGTGACCTGCCCGTGCCACAAGTATACACGTTGTTGAGTTTTTACTCATATTGACTTGTAAACTCGGATCACATGGCTAGCTTCCTGCTTTACTAGTAGAGGAAGTCCTCAGGTAATCCTCCGTTTATTATTTCATTCAATAGTGGGCATCTAAGTAGAACCATCGACATTCGAAATTCTATGAGGTAGATGGGCTTTCTCACATAGAAAAATGTAAATTTACTAACAGGATTCAAAACCACTACGCCAGGACAATCATGCAGTACATTACGGCAGTATGATCAGTCCCTATATTGTAGGCCGCTTAACTTTGGCAGTTTAATATCACCACAAACTACCAAGTAACAGTGTGCAATTCCAAGCTTAAAGCCATACGCCTCAAGATGGTAAAGTGAGAAAGAAAGAAAAATAAATAAAGTTTCAAGTAAATGGAAAGTATTGTTATAGTAAGGTTTAATGTGTCAATTCGTTATTACTGACCTTTTAAGCTGCGGAAGGATGCTGACAAAGTCGTCAGTAATATGTGTTGTTTTTTCTTTTATACACACAATATATTGTGTTCCTAACGCAGTGGCCGATATGATATATAAATAGAAAAAGTCAATTATTTCAATATGGTCATATGTTAAATAAAACTAAACTAATTTTGCTGTATAATAAAAGTCGTAATAATTTAGCCTCGTTTCCATATCACATGCATATAGTATCCTATATAGCCTCGTTTTCATTATCTAAGTCAAAAATATCTTGATCAAATGCATATATTGTACTCCAACTGACCTCGTTTTCATTTTCAGAATAAAATATTTGATATCAAATCCATATTGTACTTGAAGTAATTAAGTTCTGTTAAAATATAAACAATGGTGGTGAGAAATCAGACTGATTCAATTTGACTCGTACACGGCTGCAAAAAGCTATATCAGATTTGGCTAACTCCTCGTCCAATATAGTTCAGACAGCTGTGTGTTCGCCCATAAGAATTAACTATTGTACTTGACAATGTATAATAACCTCATAAAATAAATTTGCTCTAAAAACAAACTTTTTCTAAGTTACTTTACGGTGACATTATGTCCACCAAAACGTAAAAAGTGAGTGTGCTGGTAATGTAAAAATAGTTTTATATTTTGCCATAAACGTTTTAAGATTTTACAATGTACTTCATTAAAAATAAACAATAACTTATGTGACACACTGAAATTTCTGTCAATATACTTCTTACTTATCGTGTAACGTTCAAATAATAAAAAGTTGTACAGTATTATACACTGCAATTTAAGATAGTTTTTATACTTTATTCTAAACATTTTTATCAGTTTTTGGTCAATTACCATCTTATAAGTCATTCTTTAGCTCAATTTGACAGCAAAAAAAATATATACGCAAACTGTCAGTTTAAAACAACCTATGACTTTACTTTATAACTATAGCATACTTCAGTATGACCCTCATATCTCTTCAGGTCTTTTTTTCTGACGTGACTTTGCACTTAAAATTAAGAGAACTTGTCTAAAATTAAAGGTAAATACAGTACAATCTCTGTAAAGCAACACCCTTTCGCGCTATCTGACTAATAAGAGGTGACTTAGGAGTGTTGTCGTAAACAGGCAATTGCTATGTAAAGGTTGCATTATACCAGAATTTCAGCATTACTTATTTATAATAGATTTTTTTAAACTGAGAAACAATAAATTCAGTGACTATGTATATAGCCATAAGAAACAGGAGAATTTTATTCTGTTCTGAATCGCTTTTTATTATCGGCGTTTTCCGACATACTCAAGTAACGGAAATCGCCGTATTGTTCCGAATGCAAACAGGGATTACCATGGAAACGTTAAAATCTGACTCCCTTTTACGTTAAATCCTTTAAATCAAACAGTACAACATTCACTGATAGCCAGAAAAGTATTCAATTGATCTTAAATCCATTTTAGTCATTTGGAAATCTCGCCGGTAAATAATCGTGTTTTTTACTGAAAGAGTCGGAAAGTTGCGACAAAAAAAATTCGTCTCTCTCTGAATTGTGACCAAGTACCTTTAACTGCAGTGTTAGGTCTATCTCCAGATGTGCATAAGAATATATTAATTAATGTATAATCTGGCTTGTCACTTGTTTCGTTATCAGTACATGTATATATGGGACTTCACCAGGAGAAGAATTGGCAATAACAATTTAATTTAAAAAGTAAGTTTTCGATATTTATATAAATAATTGCCTTATCTATAAGTTTACTTTAATAATTTATGCAAATTTTATTACATCATATAGTAACAACAAATACACTGAGAATGCAATTTTGACTTTACGTCCGTCCGTCCGAAACTGCTTTTACAAACCATAATGTAGTATTTGGCATAAAATTAATGTTAACAGTGATACGACATACTTGTAGTGTAATGTGTTGTATGTGCCAATGAAATGACCGAACCTTATTTGTTAGTGACATATTCATGCTCATCTAAAATACCAACAACTTACATTTAACACAATTTTAGGTTTTTTTTTTTTTTTTTTTTTTTTTTTTTTTTCTTGTTTTTTTTTTTTTTTTTTTTTGGGGGGGGGGGGGGCAGAGTGGGGGTTTAACTCACACCCACACTCCAATGGTCATATGATGACTTTACAGCTTTACTAGAAAAGGAAAACCATGTGTGGAACCTCCGACATTCCGTAAGCTAGATGTATAATTTCCTCACATGAAATAATTTAATTTCCCTGACGGAAACTGAACCCAGAGCGGTGAGGGCCAAGTGGTTTGAAGTCAACGCCCTAAACCAATATGTCACAACGCCAAACAATGAAACTTTCTTAACAACTCTTATGAATATATCAATGAGACAAAAGAGAAAGGACTCGAGCAACATTTAGACATGGAACTATAATTTGGAGTTTCAGGAATATGAATATTTTAGATATCAAAATAAAAAATAATAAAATAATAAATTACGAAACTGCTCGACTGTCTCTATAATAACTGGTAATATTGTTTAAATATATTTTCTACTTTTGAATGAATACGTACAGTATTCATATGTTAGGGGCTTTAAAATATTAATATAGACCATATTTTATATAATTCACAGGGACAATGACAGAGTTTTCTGATAAAGTTAACATTACAATTTGTGGTGGCGGGAATGGTGCCCATACTCTGGCAGGAATATCATCTCTGGTTCCCAACGCTTGCGTTACTGTTGTTGACGTGTTCGAAAACGAGGCTGAAAGATGGACGAACGCTTTGGCCAATTACGGTTTCACTGTGAGGTTCAGCAAAGACGTAATGTTACACCAGAAGCCGGGGAAAGTCAAATTCCGTGTAACAAACGATGTGGAAAGCGTTGTTCCCCATTCAGACATTTTAATCATCTGTGTCCCGGCTTACACGCACGAAATTTATCTAAATCTTATATCACCTTACGTACCAGAAACGTGTCCAGTTGTAGGAATGCCTGGTCAACCAGGCTTTGAGTATCAAGCATTGACCATCTTGCAGGAACACGGCAGAAAATGTAAAGTAATGTCTATTGAAACGCTTCCATGGGCATGCAGAATATCCAAGTATGGACAGGAAGTAGACGTTGTCGGGACAAAAGAAGAAGTTTGCTATACTCTGATCGACAAGCTGTCAAAGGGCAATCCGTCCAAAAGGTTGGATCCTGTTTCGGTGCTTCAAACAATATTAGGCAAGAAACCCCAACTCGCCAAAGAGGAGAATATGCTGAAGTATACTTTTCTCTGTAGGCCGACCATTCATCCTCCGATAATGTATGCACGATGGAAAAATTGGGACGGTAAGCCTTTGGATAAGCCGCCATTATTCTACCAAGGAGTTGATGAAGACTCAGTTAGGTATATGGACGGCGTCACGGATGAATCTGTCAAGATTGCCGCTGCTGTTACAGAGATATTTCCAAGCATGGATTTCTCGGGAGTTTCAACGATGCAAGAATGGTTACTGGATCATTACACAGATCAGATCACCAACAAACAGACGCTCCTGACTTGTTTACAGACAAACAAGGCGTATGATGGCCTTTTACACCCAACAACAAAAACAGCCGATGGTAAGTATGTGCCGGATTTCACCTACCGCTACATTAGAGAAGATGTTCCCTATGGATTGATAGTGGTACGTCAAATAGCCGACTTCGTTGGAGTGGAAACGCCAGTAATTGACGAAATCATCTTGTGGGCACAAGAAAAGCTGGGAAAACAGTTCATTCAACATGGAAAGCTGTGCAAACTGGACCGTACCGACGGCAGACTTCCTATGACCTATGGTATTAATACAATCGAGGATTTTTTCAACTTTTTCAAATAGCATCAGTATAGAAGTTCAACTCGTGTTCGTTCGGCCATTGAAATTGTAATTACTTATAACTATACAAAATAATTGTGAATTACTCCATATACACTTTATTGGCTAACAAAACAGATAATACTATATGAGAAATGAGATTTGTTTTTGTTAAACAATTAAGTCGCTTAGTTACAGTTAAATATCGAATCGGATATTGTACAAGAAAATTATTATTCAAGTACACGTACTTATTATAATTGTAAAGAACGGCGTGTAGCGCATGATGTTTTCGTTTACTCGTGCCTGCAGTTGTTTTTTTTGTTGTTGTTGTAAAAAACAGAACTGTCTTCCCATATTACATTACACATAGGCTAGGCATGAAAATTTTGCAAAAAATGCCTTTGTTTTAATACTTTCTACGACCCAATGTATTATATAATCTCTACCAGAGTATCACTAATAAATTCCTGTTCGTATTGTCTTATACAAGAAGTTAATTCCCTAGGAAATCACCAATAGTGCTCACATGCTTGGCGTACTGTAACGTATAAAGCACATAAACCCTGTTGGTGAAAAGTTAGCTTACCACCAAGAGTGGTTTGTGTTTGTATATGTGATGTGGGAAACATTTTTAATAATAATTTACCAACTTGAGTTTTTTCATATCATTATTCTTATTATTAGTATTGTGACGTTTTCTTAACGTTGTGACATTACTTTTTTGAGAAATTTGTTTTAAGACTTGGCATGGAAAATTTGTGGTTACGGCAACTTTGGTTTGGCAGTTGTTTACATTTTACCACACTGGCCACCAAATGAGACACACAAACCCTGTAGATGAAAAGCTAGCTTTTCACCAACACGGTGTGTGTGTGCCTTAAAACGTTACAGTACTTAGTGCAGAAAAATAAGTTTGTGTGCCTTAAAACGTTACAGTCCTTAGTGCAGAAAAATAAGTTTGTGTGCCTTAAAACGTTACAGAACTTAATACAGAAAAATAGAATCGAACCATTGGTTACATTAAGCCTTCATACATGTCACCCTATTGTCCTCTCTAACATTAAGTCATTGTTTAATAATAATTGTATAGGCACATTGTGTGCCCATCTAGAGAAACTTGAAAGAATAATACCTTTTCGTTATTGTCGAATTGTTAGTACTTTTACCTGGCTTTTATTGTATAATATGATATAAATAGATTGACTTTTCCTTTAGAATGGATTTAAAGTATTTGTCTCAATTTAAAGAATATATGTATCTTATTCAACTTGAATTGCATTTGTATAAATTCATCTTGGAATATTAAGTAAAAAATGTTAAGATTTGGTTATATTTCATGATTAAAGGGAGATCATAAAACACAAAACATTTACTATATAAAAACAGACGAAAACGGCAAATTGAAAATGTTGTTAGGCTCGGTTTGCTTAATATAAGCCTGTTCATGGACGGTAGTGATAACTGCATGCCACCGGTCACGTCAAAACATATTTGTGACGTCATCCTTTGTTGTATGTGTATATTGTACTTACAGATGAATAAACCATCCAATATTTACCGAATAATTATACAATATTTTGAGATTGGATTTTTTTCAAGCCAATAACTATAAAAAGAATAGACAGTAAGCTGTGTACTTTTGGACATTTTGCAGCAGATGTGGGAATTTAATGTTTCGAAGAGAGGCATAATCAAAAACAACACTTATATTGAATAACACTCATTTGTTTCTTTTATTTTAAAATTTATCATTTATCATTCACTCACCACAAAGGAACCTCATAAAGATTTACACTGTTGATGTGAACAGTTAAATTTAAGTTTACTCACTATAATCTGTATTTTATTCAAAATGTTAAAAAGGACAGGTTTTTTTATATAGGAAACACATGTTTTCATAGCCCGTATTAATCCATCTTTTTCTGAATAATGTTACTCACAAATTGGTGTTTGTTTGTTTCCAAATTTACGACACACTGATAAACTTCAAGCTGTTTGATTTTCAGATAAAACATATGACTATTAAGAAAGAAAATCAAATCCTATCAAAATATCGAAGTAGCATTAGCTTGATATGATCAACATGAACAAAAGAAATTGCAAAATTCCCATTGATTAAAATGTTTACGTTATTCAACTTATTATATTATTCAAATTCCAGATATTATATCTTAAGTTGAATATATTCACACTCTGGTTTTTTTTGGCAACAGGCAACTAACAAAGACAATCTACACAACTAAACTTTGCAAATGACAATCTACAGGAAATGCAGTGAATAAGTCGTCTTATAAATTGAGGCCGGTTAGAGTAGGCCTTTCATACTTGTTGACCCTTCTGTCCACTTCAACATTAAATCATTATTTAACATTAGTTTTATAGGCACATCGTGTGCCCATCTAGACAAACTTGAAAGAATAAAACCTTTTCGATATTGTCGAAGTTTCAGTACTTTTATCTGGTTTTTATCGTTTAATATGATATGAATAAATTAACTTTTCATTTAGAATAGATTTAAAGAATTTGACTCAATTTAAAGAATACTTTTATCTTATTCAACTTGAATTGCATTTGTGTAAATTCATCTCGGAATATTAAGTAAAAAATGTTAAGATTTTGTTATATTGCATGATTAAAAGGAGACTATAAAACACAAACCATTTACTATATTAAAACAGAAAAGAACGCGCGAAATCGGCAAATTGAAAATGTTGTAGGTTCGGTTTGATTAAGCCTGTTCATGGACGGAAGAGGTAACAGCAGGCCACCGTCCACGTCAAAACATGTTTGTGAGGTCATCCTTTTTTGCATCCGTACATGTATGTGTCTACTGTACTGACAGATGAATAAATTGTCCAATATTTACCGAATAAGTATCCAATATTTTGAGATACTTTTCTAGTCAATAACTCTCAAAGAATAGACAATAAGCTGTGTACTTTCGGACATTTTGCAGCAGATGTGGGAATTTAATGTTTCAAAGAGAGGCATAATAAAAAACAACACTTATATTGAACAACACTCATTTGTTTCTTTCATTTTAAAATTTTTAAAAAAAAAATCATTTATCATTCAATCACGCACAAAGGAACCTTATGAAGGTAAATACACTGTTGATGTGAACAGTTAAATATGATGCACTGCTTAAGTTTACTCACAAATCTGTATAATATTCAAATGTTTAAACTATGGTGTATGGTGGCATATTTCTGCCACCAGATAACCATATAACTAACTAGTTAATTAAAAGGTTAACTAGTTACGTAACTAGTTAACCTCTTAATTAACTAGTTAGGTATCAAGTTAACTAATTACGTAACTAGTTAACCTGATATCTAACTAGTTAGTTATCAGGTTAACTAGTTCCGTAACTAGTTAACCTCTTAAATAACTAGTTAGGTATCAGGTTAACTAGTTCCGTAACTAGTTAACCTCTTAATTAACTAGTTAGTTATCAGGTTAACTAGTTGCGTAACTAGTTAACCTCTTAATTAACTAGTTAGTTATCAGGTTAACTAGTAACGTAACTAGTTATTTTTTTCTATAAAGAAAAGATCATAACGGGAAATAAATGCATGTTTGTGCCCGCAACTGCCATCCCTTATTGTCAGCTTAATATTAAGAGGTTAACTAGTTACGTAACTAGTTAACCTCTTAATGAACTAGTTAATTAATAGGTTAACTAGTTACGTAAATACTTAACTAGTTAACCTAATAATTAACTAGTTAATTAAGAGGTTAACTAGTTACATAAATACTAAACTAGTTAACCTCTTAATTAACTAGTTAGTTAAGAGGTTAACTAGTTACGTAAATACCTAACTAGTTAACCTATTAATTAACTAGTTAATTAAGAGGTTAACTAGTTACGTAACTAGTTAACCCGTTATCACCTATCTATAAATAGCACTGTTTTGCTCCATTGCATTGATACACAGTCCCACTTAAGAAAGTCATTGCAGACATTAGAAGGGAATTAAAATCGGCTCCATACATTGATAAAATGGTTTCATATATTGTAAAAATGAATTAATATATTGATAATTCGGTTCCATACAAGGACATCTGGTTCCATACATGGCTACTTTGGTACAATATATTGAAGTATTGGAATCATATATTGAGAAAATCAACTTTTATATTGCTAACTCGGTTTCATACACTGACGGTATGGTTTCATATATTGTCACTGTGGATTGATATAATGGATTCCGGTTAAATAAGAAGGTGTTTTCAAGTCATTTATAGTCGAAGTGAACTTATATATTATCCAAATGGTTAAATAAATTGAAAACGAACAACATCAGACAGCCATGGCTGTCCATAGACAGGTGCCACAGGGTTGGTGGTTATAATAAGATACATCAATAAAACCTTTGATTAGTTTATGTTTTATAACATGCTTTTTCATGGGTCAGTACAATTGATTACTTTAAGGCCCGATTACGTTTCATTTAGGTATGTATATTGTTTATATAAAAATTGGATATGTATTAGTCAGACAATGAAAGTCTTAACTTTCAAAGCTCTAGACAAATAAACAAATACACAGGAAATTGACCCGATGCTGTGAGACACGTGCAATAAACAAGGGAATATCTTGCCGCTCAAGCCAAATTGCTATTTTCGCGAAAATAACCCTATTTTCGTATTTTAGTTATACCCCGCGCATAAGCGGGCAGTACGGGTATTCCAAATATTATGCAATATCTATTTAAAGATAAGTGATAACGGGTTAACTAGTTACTTAACTAGTTAACCTATTAATTAACTAGTTAATTAACAGGTTAACTAGTTAGGTATTCACGTAACTAGTTAACCTTTTAACTAACTAGATAATTAAGAGGTTAACTAGTTAGGTATTTACGTAACTAATTAACCTATTAATTAACTAGTTAATTAAGCGGTTAACAAGTTACGTAACTAGTTAACCTCTTAATTTTAAGCTGATAATATAATAAAAGGATGGCAGTTGCAGGCACTAACATGCATTTATTTCCCGTTATGATCTTTTATTTATTGAAAAAAAATAACTAGTTACGTAACTAGTTAACCTGATAACTAACTAGTTAATTAAGAGGTTAACTAGCTACGTAACTAGTTAACCTCTTAATTAACTAGTTAGTTATCAGGTTATCTGTTGGCAGAAATATGCCACCATATTAAACAGACAGATTTTTATAGTTTCATAACGCGTATTTATCCATCTTTTCCGGAGTAATGTCACTCACAAACTGATGTAATAGAATAATTGTTTCCAAATTTAGGATTCACTGGCAAACTTATTGTAAGATAAAATGTGTGACTATTAAGAAGGAAAGTCAAATCAAAGAAGCATAAGCTTGATATAGGCTAATCAGCATGCATTTTTTTGTGTGTGCAAAATTCCCATTGATTAAAATGTTTACGTTATTCAACTTATTTTATTATTCAAATTTCAGATGATATCTTAAGTTGAATAAATTCACACTCTGGGGTTTGTTTGTTGTTTTTTTGGCAACCAGGCAACTAACAAAGGCAATCTACAAAACAAAACTTTGCAAATGACAATCTACAGAAAGTGCAGTGAATAAGTTCTCTTTTAAATTAAGACCCGGTACCATTGGTTAGAGTAGTAGGCCTTGTTGGCCCTTCTATCACTATTTAAAATTAGTTTTATAGGCACATTGTGTGCCCATCTAGAGAAACTTGAAAGAATAAAACCTTTTCGTTATTGTCGATGTTTCAGTACTTTTACCTGGTTTTTATCGTTAAATATGATATAAATAAATTAACTTTTCATTTAGAATGGATTTAAAGAATTTGACTCAATTTAAAGAATATTTGTACAATGTATCTTATTCAACCTGAATTGCATTTGTGTAAATTCATCTTGGAATATTAAGTAAAAAATGTTAAGATTTTGTTATATTTCATGAGTAAAGGGAGATTATAAAATAGAGAAAAACAGAATCCCTAAAGAAAGCCCAACACGACAAAATTGAAAATGTTGCAGGCTCGGTTTGATTGAGCGTGTTCATGGACGGTACTGGAAAGTACAAGTTACCGTCCACGCCCCCTAGCACCGGCTTTAGCAGAATTCAACATTTAACACGAGCTGGTACAATTTGGAATTTTGAAACATCCGAAGATGTGTTCATATGACGGTTATCATGGAACCTCAATGTGACACGTAAATGCCATTCCATGAAAAGCGGCATATGGTCCCCAAGTAAAAAAATGCGTGTGCCCTAAACGAGAAACTAAATAAAATGGAATTTTGAAAGGGGATCTGAGGTTATGAAGCCTGCATATCACAGATAAGACGTCAAAAGACAATTTAAAAAGCAGGCAACATATCCTAAGGGTGATTACATGTATACAGTATTCAAGTAGGAATACTGGAACCACCCAAGTTGAAAAAGTCCAAATAGAAGAAACTAAAAATACCACACAACAATTATGTCGTGCTGAACGATCTTCAAGGAAAGATATAAAACACAAAACATTTACTAAAAGAACGTTCGAAAACGGCAAATTGAAAATGTTGTAGGCTCGGTTTGATTAAGCCAGTTCATGAACGCGGTAGTGGTAAATGCAAGCCACCGCCAACGTCAAAACATATTTGTGACGTCATCCTTTGTTGTATATGTACATTGATATGTCTATAATAAACTATCCAGTATTTACCGATTATTTTGAGATTGGATACTTTTCAAGCCAATAACTATAAAAATAAGACAGTTAGCTGTGTACTTTCGAACATTTTGCAGCAGATGTGGTAACTTTGATGTATCACAGAGAGACATAATCAAAAACAACACTTTAATTGACCGATATTCATTTGTTTCTTTCATGTTATTTAAAAAAAATCATTTATCATTCACTCACGCATGAAACAGCCTTATAAAGATTTACACTGTTGATGTGAACAGTTAAATACTTTTTTTTAGGAAACAGGTTTTCATAGCGCGTATTAATGCATCTTTTCCTGAGTAATTGATGTCCTAAAACTGTCCATATTGTAAGAGAATAAGACGCATCGATCTGCCCTTTCTCTCACATAATGAAATTAATATTAATTTAAATGAAAGATACTTATTAACCATTTTCACAATTTTTAAAAATATATATAGTATGAAAAAATTTCGATTAATTCAACCTACAATGATCATTTGACTTTATTTTCTAATGATTGTACAGTTCAATCGAAACTGATTTAACTTAAAAATTAGACCTTGATAAGACTAGATGTCTACTGACAAGCCAAATATCTTCATTTCCTACATTTTAAGTAGGAGACTGCATTACTAGTGCCTCGTCCAATATATGTTTTGCAGATGTGTAGGAGTCCAACAGAATCAGTATTGTATCAAACAATGTATAAGGACCTAATTCCTAATTTCAAACATCCATTCTCTTTACCGTTTTGACATAACTTCTTGATCTCGAGTATAATATAAATCTAATATGTTTTGTTTTTTTTGGACACGGGAAATGAAAACGAGGCTTAATTAATATGGTTTGATTCAATAATGATTTCTATTGGAGCATCACATAGTGAAATTGTTGGTTATATCTTCTGACCAGGTGTGAGATAAAATTTGATATTTTTAAAAGAAATAGATATTTCTGTATGGGAAATGATTTTTAAAAATTGTTGTTCACTTTGATTCCTTACCTACAATAAAATTTCAGATAAGTTGATAGATATGGTCATTTTCGTGAAATAACTATAATTTTGCAGACATGAACTTTGAAATTATTGTATTTACCAAAGAACAACATCAATATATGCAAGATATATAACAATGCTCCCATGGTTACTGTGTGTGGGTGAGCGTGGGCGTGTGTGTGTGTTGGTGTGTGTGTGCGTGCGTGCATGCGTGCGTGCATTCAAGTTGTGAAAGAAATACCTTTGTGTGTGTTATATTGATTTATATCATATTAGTTACCAGATATATATCACTAAAATCCTAAACCTATTGGGTTTTCATTTCAAGAAAACAACAAAGGAAGCATCCTCGGTAACCCAGGCTATATTAACCGTATATCAGTATTACATGTATAGTATACCGTGGGTTCCGACGAGTAATTGGAAGCACAGGACTGGGTGAACGTCTGACACTTGCATGCTTTCTAACATGTTTTACTTCTGGTTTGTTAAATAATTGTTTTACAGGCACATTGTGTGCCCATCTAGAGAAACTTGAAAGAATGTAACCTTTTCAATATTGTCGAAGTGGGAGTGATTTTTCCAGGTATTTATCATACAGTCTGATATAAATAATTTGGCATTTCAGTTAGAATAGATTTGATAATTTGACTTTGTTTAGATAAAATTTATAAATATTTCAGTCTGAATTATATTTATTATATTTGTTTAAATTATCTTTAACATTTAAATTAATAAATGTATAGATTTTGTTATATTTCATGCATAAAGTGAGGCTATAAATCGCAAAACACATTTCACCGTAAGAGACTTAGTTACGTTTTTCACAATTTTTATCGAATTGTGTGTCACAAAGATTCGTGAATGAATCTCTATCTGGTTGATAAGAAAAAATTCTATCAGTTGAAACGTATGAAATTGCGCTTCAAGATTTGCGTGCATTTTTGGGGTATATATAATAAATAAAAATATCCACTGCAGTGAAACATATTTTTCGTATTTTCATTGGTGCCTGACTACTTTCTTTGTTTTTAAGCCAATTAATTTAAAGGGGAAGTCTTTGGAACTATACGTCAAAGAAGAGAAAAAAGTATATAAAAAAGAAAATGCATTTTTTTCTATAAATCGGGATTTATTTTCATCTCGTGGTATGAAAATTCTTATATTTCACGCCTGGCTACTGCCACTGGATGAAAATAAATCACATATTTAAAGAAAAAATGAATATTTATTTTAGTGGGAAATTGCATTATATATTCGCGTTATTTTGACGTCATTTTCGACGTCATTCAATACAAACGTTTGTTTTTATTTGCGTCCTAGCAACCAGATGTACCGTTAACATCCGAGTGAAGAGACTTTTAAGATGGAAGCGGAAGAGTTTATTTCGTCATTTTCTTACCATTAAACATACAGAAGTCGTCGTATTTGGAGTCCCATGGAAGACGCACAAAATCCATACATATATCAACAGATATGTGTCGACCAAGGGATTTGTAAGTCGATAACTTTTATTCCATTTTTTACTGTTTCATTTCATGTAGTTTCTTTATTTTCTAGATCATCGAAAAGAGGTCTATGTGAATGAATATTTTACATTTTAATTTTAGATAGTGTTAATTGGCCGCATTAAGGGCTTAAAGGCCAATTTAGCCCAACATCAATTTATTTTTGTTTCCTTAATCCTTTTAATTTTTGCTGTCCCGTTACAGTTTTCAAGGGCTCTACTGGTTTCCTAGCAGTTTCCGGCTACAAATCGCACATTTTAACAAATAAAATAAAAATCAGTCTACGGAGGGGTACAAATTTTGACAGGACAAAGTTAGGTACCTGTCCAGCATTGCCATATGTTTAATGTTGCACTTTCATTTTACTTTTTAATTTGAATATAGGCCTGAAATGTAATACCTTTTTCACCTTTATTCAAATATTCAAAGCAGTTTTCCGGACCCTTTTATTTTGAAAATAATTCAGCACCATAAAGCAATGTTAAGATGGTTTTAACAAACAAACAGAACTTCACAACCTTTTCCGTGTCGTCTGAAAAAATATTTTCCGAAGTATTGATTTACCTAAAATGGGGTCTTAGTTATTGTGCATGGATATTCAAGCTACAATTCCCCAGGTGTTGCTTATATGAAAAGTCGCAAGTTCTCTTATGTAACTTTAAATAACAGGCAAAACTTCAAAACATATAAATCGTTGTACTATTTTAAATGCTGTTTAGCATAGAAAACAAATGTCTCTCTGATTGATGAATTAATGTGGACGCCTTACTGGTAAAAATAGACTGTACTGGACGAAAATGATAAACGGCCGGAAAACTGCTAGGGGACGGAAACTGCTAGGAAACCAGTACTGTATAGCTGAGCCATTTTTTAGCATTTAGCAAATATATACGGAATATTATGTTGTAGTAGCTTTCTGAGGCTCTGTATTTTGCTACGAGCAGCGGTGGAAAAATAAAATATACCTATAAATTTTCTCCCTAAAATACACGCAAATATTGAAGCGCAAATACGCTTCAACGGATAGAAATTTCCGTATTATGTTAGTGACAAATACGGTACCATATATGGAAGTGTCGGACTATTTTTGACGTTGGTTCCGATCTTAGCTTTGTATAACGTTGCATTTGGAAACGGGAACCAAAATTATTAAAGGCGTGGCCAGTTTTCAAGAATTACGTATTCATCCGTCAGTCATAAATTTATTTCTTGACAACTACATTTCATTTTCTGAATAAAACGAAATGGTATATAATAAAAGGAAAATTATGTTGTAGTAGCTTTCTGAGACTATGTATTTTTCTATTCGCAACGTTGGAAAATTGATATCTTGCTCGACCTACGGTCTCGCGAGATATCAATTTTCCATCGCTGCTCGTAGCAAAATACAGAGCCTCAGAAAGCTACTACAACATAATATTCCGTATATATTTGTATGGGTTTTGCATATTTCACCATCCATTTAATTTTCTTTAATTTTTTTTTAAAGTGCCACGCCAAAATTTTGTCCTAACTTAAATCACTCTGATGTTATATAAATCTAGATTTCTTTAACATACCAAAACTATAAGATAAAAAGTTTTTGAATTTTAAAAAACCTGTTTTGGGCTCTGTTACTTACATTATTGACCGAAAGCAATATGTACATTTTAAAATAAAAAAAATATTTTCAGCAACTAAATGTCAATGCTTTTAAGAAATATTTCCATCTTAAATATAGGAATATGTGCAAAATTACATATCATTTGCTCACTTCTTTTATCCAGAATAATTATTCTTGTGAAAAATGACTCAAAATTGAAAAAAAGTTGTAACTCATATCCGCCCAAAATAGAACAAAAACAAACAAAACAAATTTCAACATATTAGATTAAATGAGTATGTTTCTTAATTATATTTTGCATATAAGTAAATAAGCTGTTATACCACTTAATCTACCGTGTTTGATTTGTATTCTTAAGTTAATGTAATATATTTAATATATGTATTCTTAAGTTAATGTATATATTTAATATATGTATTTATTACATGCTTTTCGGTGGTTTATAGAAATATATCAGTGATATAAAACTGGTAATTTCACTGTTTGAAACAGTGAAATTACCACTTTGATAATTTCACTGTTTTGAATTTAAGCCCCTTACGTTGTTTCAGTTAAATACCAGCGTGCACAGTACTGGGTACCAACTTCATGGCGTGACGTCGTAAATGACGTCACGTTGTATTATTATTTGGCGCGCTTTTCATTAAGTATTAGGTTTAATGTCTTTTTAAAACGTTTCTTTGCATATAATAAAAAGAAAATTTGTTTAGTTTAGTTTAAGATCGATATATATTTCACCTTGTGAACACCAAAAGTTCATATTTCACTCGTGGCTGCGCCACTCGTGAAATATACCTTTTGGTGCTCACTCGGTGAAATATATTCCGATCTTACACTGAACTAAACAAATATCCTCTATATATCCGGAAAAATATATGTTCAAACCAAGAAACTCAAATAATCTTTGTATGAATATTAAAGGCTTTTTTGGCTCATACATAATCATATTTTACATTTAGCAACATTTATTATGCATTTTCTTTTCAACGTACACATAGTAATGCTCCGCATTGCAAGTTTAGAAATACCAACCTCGATACTTGGCGCCAAAAGAAACCCGGCACTGCCGACAATTACTTGTAGGTTTTCCTACGCTATTCCTTGCTTTGCCCAGTCTGGTTTATAAATTAATCAAAATTGCACTCTATAATAAATTTTTATTTTACAGACATGCCGATCACTGAAAACACGGTAGAAAAGCCACCGGAGAAGAAGAAGAGAAAAAGAAGAAGGTCTCAAAAACAATGGGAAAGGTGGATGAAATACCGTGAAAAGAAATACCTGGAACGTGTTCTAAACAAGGGCTGTTTCACTGAACAAGATTACAAAAAACACCTAGATGAAAAAAATCAAATATCTGTTGATCCTCCGATGGTTTGGGTTCCTGTAGAAGAAACAGACGTAACAAATTGTCATGACGTCATCTATTACCCAGTGTATTACCCATATCCTGTATATTATCCTACAGACGCGGCCATTCAATGGCAACATCAAAATATTTCAGCTATTGAGTATAGCGAGTGTTTACAGTACTCGGATCAGATGTATTACGAACCAGGATTGACGTCTGGTAATTCTAGCGAAGATTACGAGCAGGTTCAACAGGTACTTTCACTGGAGCAATCATTTGGAAATACGTGTACCGCTAGTGAAAGCGATGTTAAGCTCGAGCAAGTTGCCAACAAAGTGGATACGCCATCAGAAACAGATATTGATACAACATCCGACTTGTCCGCTGACGAGAAAGCCCCTGTGTTTCTTCCAAGTCCTTCAAGTCTTTTCGCGCCACATTTACCCGCCACAACACGTGACCAGGAGGATTTCTGTAACATGAAAGACATGGAGGAAAGCCTTGAGCGACTGTTATGTACGGAGTCTGAGGTAGTAGGTGAGGAGTCTGAGGTAGTAGAAGACGTTTCCGACGATGATGACGAGGCCGACGGAATTTTGTCATTGTACGCTTCAAGTGGTATTCATGTCAAGTTTAAGTAGGTAAGTTACTTAAGTCTAAATACAATGTAGATAAAAAAATCAATCGACAAGTGCATAAATTTAACATGTAGGCATACCACGAATGAAAATTTTTGCACATATTGCATGTACCTGTGCTTTTGAGCAGACGATATTTTAACGTATTGCCAGACTGCACGGATATGTATATGTACTGGTGACATAGGCATGTACTGGTGACATAGGCAGAGATTTTATAATTATATTTTAGTGCAATCAATGATGATGAAAAGTATACAAGAAGAAATAAAATTTGCAGGATTAAAAACAGATTATTTAGGAAATAGATCTTGAGTTTGAGTTTTATAGTTAAAGCCTGAGTCATTAATTACTAAAATCTGAACGACATACCGTGCTATATGTATAACACCGAGCACACAAGATCTATTTCCATTCTGACATGTCAAGAAAAAAAATAAAGGTGTACTTTATTTTTGGTGGTTAAATTTCTTTTCGCCTCAATATTTCTGGTAGCAACGTTCTTCAAAGGTTTTTCTAGTCGGTTGAAAAAAAAAAAACTCTAACTAATCCTAAATATTCTTTATTTTTGTTATTATCCAATGAATATTTTACATTATCATTATATCTTACATGAATATGAATAATTTTTTAACCTTGACAAGGTATGCTTTCTTAAACTTATTAAACAAAAAAGGTAACATTTCCTTTTTTGCAGGCGACATGCAAAAAGAAGAGGACGTATCAGAAATTTGGCTTGAATGTATGAAATGACAAAATAAAAAAAAATCTGCCTTGGAAACTATAGATGTGGCTTAACTTATTGATAAAATTTCTTTCATGAAGATTATTTGAGCCGCGTCATGACAAAACCAACATAATGGGTTTGTAAGCGACCAGCATGGATCCAGACCAGCCTGCGCGTCCGCGCAGTCTAATCAGGATCCATACTGTTCGCTTACAAACCCTATCACAAGTAGAGAAACTGACAGCGAACAGCATGGATCCTGATCAGACTGCGCGGATGCGCAGGCTGGTCTGGATCCATGCTGGTCGCAAACCCATTATGTTGGTTTTGTCGTGACGCGGCTCAATTTTGACTGTGAATCTCCGGAAATGAGAGGTTTTGTTTCAAAAAGATTTAATCTTTGCCAGAGATGGAAACGCACCATTTCTTGGATACTGGTTGTGTCAAGAAAAAATGGCCTTGCTACCTCGATAGCCTATATGCGTCTTTCTCCTAATCAAGAGCTGTCAGGGGAGGCAGCACACTCGGTGTGTTGAATATTGAGCAAATCTTTGAGAGAAAAAAAATACCAAAGAAATCATATTTCTGTATTAATTATAAATATCAAGAACACACTCTTGAAAATGTCCAATCATACCCAATAACTCCAATATCGTACAATGATAGTTGGGCTTCTTCACTTGGGCATTGCACTATCCATCTATGAAGCTGTATTTTCCAATTACGCTTAGGACAAGAAGAGTTACATTCAAGTATACCAGAATGCAAACTAAAGAACTTCTTCGAGGAAGCAGTTTTTTGTATGTTCCGTGCATATATTTTGAAGTGACGTCATTAGCGTTATACAGACGCGCTAAATGTTAGCGTTATACTATAGGCGCGTCAATGAAAAATGACTCTTCTCACTTTAAGAGGACTTTATTTTGGGTATGTGATAAATAGAATTAAATTCGTGTAAGATCATTACTGAATTTATTGAACTCGTTGAATAAAATAATATTTTGCTCGCCAGAGCCCCGCATAATATAATTTTATTAAACTCGTGCAATAAATTCAGTATTGAACTTACACACATTCAATATCCTCTATTTATTCTTTGAGAAATACTTGCAAAACAAATGTTTTTATAGTCCTATGTGGACACTAACATACCGTTTATCAAAGTAAATAAATAACTTTATCAATGATCCATGAATACTTTGTGGTCACAGTGTAACTCACACATCATAACAAAATAAAGACAAACGTGTTCCTTTAATAATTACATTTTTTATTGTCTAAAGTTATGTAAGGGTAGTACATTTTAAATAGCAAAAATATTGAACATGATAATCATGTAATAAAAAGAAAATGTATAACATATAGAGGTAACATAAAGGCACTAACATAAAATGTCTACAGATATATATAAATAACTATCACAACTCAATCACACCATTTCCATGACAACAGCACAATTATTTCAGCTTTTAAACAATAAGCCTATCAACAGTACCAATGTTTCGGGTTTATACAACAACCCTTTACCTTCTGAATTTCTTAAGGTAGTCTTACTACAATGCTTTCCCGCCCAAAAAAATAAAAATTCAGCCAATTTCGTAATAAATCATTTCCGGAAACGTTATTTTTCACAATCTCCTGTATTCAATTATTTTTGACCGTTTATAACAAGACTTTGGTACATAACAATAAAGGAGGAGTGCATGATTGTAAAAGATTTTGAAGAAAATAACGTTCCGAAAATAACCAATTTGCTACGATATTGGCCGATGTTAGAATTTAAATGGACTTGAAAACATTCATTTTTTTGGAACTGTCAAGTAACTATGTTGGGGCAATGAATACAAAAATTTAAAGTTATCCGACAGTTTAGAGACTGGTGATATCAGACATCCGGTTCTAGTTTGGCAAGGGGTTCAACCAATCAACAGCCAATGTCAAAGATACTTTAGACCTGTCAGATTTCCAGATGAACATAGTAAAAATCCATTTTGAAACAATGAAATTTTGTGTCTTTAGAACTTAAATATACTCAATATAATTCACTGTATAATCCACCTAGATCTTATCATCTTGCCTTATACATTTAACAGATAATTAGATTTTTTTTTTTTTTTTTTGGTAATTGATTACTTTGATTGAAATTTTTTTCTATAAGGTCCCCAAACACTTGGTTTCAGCTGTGAAAAGCATTCATTCAAACTTCACACTGAAGGAACATAAACTTAAATCCTACCTTCAATTTATCATGCTAAATTTATATAATGAACTCATCCTGCATTGAATTTGAAACAGTCCATTCACAATTTTGGGGATAGTTAGATGAGCCAGCCAACAGTATAAAGCCTGGCAATACGGCTAGGAAGTCCAGGCTGGCCTGGCTCTATACTGAGTGCAGTCATATCATTTTCACTTCCATAAAACAAGACAAAGCATGGGCATCATTTACTGGTAATTAATCAAAAAGCCAAATCCTTAAGCCACTCCATACAAAACTTATTATTAATTTCAAAAAAGCAAAAATTAATTCAAATCACTTCAATAAAAAAAAATCAAATCATGAAAACTTAATTCCCCCTGAAAAACATTTCTAATTATTACTGAGTTTTGGCATATTGATGAAGAGTGATCTGATTGGTTAATTATAAATACAAGTATCCTGTAGTTGGAAATAGTGGATCTTGCTAGTCCATAGGCAAAGTCATTTTTAATTATACTAGTCATGCAATAGGGATTTTCTTTCCAATGCAGTGTACATTGTATCTGTCAATGTTATACTAACAGTTTATGTAGCATAGGCATAGTTTAACTGACAATCTCCCTTAGATGTGACATTCTTTCAATTAATGTTTCACCCACAACTTTAAAGCCCTTGTAAAAGTATATAAAATCTTCTCACCCTCTTGAGATACCAAATCAAATCAATCTAACAATCGTCTAAGTGACCTTGACCCCCATTTACCTTATGGTCAATGTTAAAGTATGTTTTATACCAAACATCTGAGTAGTGGTTAACAAAAGAAGGCAATACATGAGAAATGCAAGGTATGACTTAAGAACAAACAAAACTACAATTGTATAATTATGCTCCCATAAAAAAAATACATTATATATTTTCAGAGGCTTAAAAAAGTTACACACTATAAAAATTAAAGCTTATTATTTTCAAAAAGGAAACAAAAACACATTCAACAACCTTTCATATCTTGTAAATAATCTACAAAAAAAATGTTAATAAATTACTGTAACAGTGACTAGCTACTGGTTTGACGTAAGAAATTGATTTCACAACACTGGCACTAAACTATATACTCAAAATGAATAATATCATAAAATGTTACAACCACAGACAATGCAAACGAATAACAAACACATAAATCACTTTAGTTATGATGAACTTATCACTTGAATTTCATCTTATTAGTGCAAAACTGTAGTAACATAACGCATAAAAGAATAAGAGATGAACTTATTACTTGAATTTAATCCTCTAAGTGCAAAACTGAAATAACATGATGCACACAAAATAGGAAGTCTATTACCCTGAAGCACTGCACTGAATTTGTGTAATGTACATTATTTTGGTTTGAATTTGGAGCTATCCAATATTTCAGATAGGGATTTTGACATCAAAATGCCATGATTAAGCTGCAAACAGTGTACAGCCTAGACAAACTGCATTGATGTGCAGACTGGCTGGACAAGGTTCTAAACTGTTGACATATTTCTGCTCACAAATCTCAGTATACAGTTATTTAATATGTGATTTGGGAACAGTCAAACTATTGGCCCAAGGTGGAGGGGGTAGTGTTTTGAACTGTTGCCCAAGGCCGTAGGCAACAGTTCAAAACACTATCCCCGACACCGAGGGACAACTGTTTGACTGTTCCCAAATCACGTATGAAATAACTGTTTTATTACCTGATCAACTACTGTTTTAATAGTACTTACAGAAGAAAAAAGGAACAAGAAAATAGTTCAAGTGCACATATGTTAATACTTAAACTTAATATTTTGTCACGTCTGGTTCATGATCAAGATCGATGGACGCTTCAAGTGGGAATCCTTTATGATGTCAGAGCACGCGAGGGAAACAGTAGAAACTATTGACCGGTCAACAGTTCGCGAACGTGGACGTTTTTAGAATTTCAGAAAACAGTAAATAATAACAAATTACATTTATATAAGGTATCAGGTAATAATATAATTTAAAGACTGAACAGTTTTGCACTTTAGAAACTTACAGTTACCAATAGTAACTAAATGCTGGTCTTCAGGCATATACAATTATAACAATAACTGAAAAATACAGAACCCTCTACAGAACAAATTGAGAGTACATGTAATGTATACAAGCTATAATAAAATCAAATTTAACAAAAAAGCCTTATCAAAATTTCATGCGTATAGCCAAGAAATCTGAAAATTTTAAAGGACAAAGTTCAATGAAGTCTGTCCCTTTAAAAATCTATAGAAGTAGTTTTTTTTTAACTTTTATTTGTCTTAATGAGAGAGAAAACAGAAGACAAATTGACACCACATGTATTTCTATCCTAATATACAATAATATCAAATTTTGAAAATACCTAGTCTACAATATCATGATTATTATCAGTTTATTGGTTTGTTATAAGTAAAGTTATTTAAGTATACTAAAACATCATTCGTTTTTTTTTTTTAATGTAAGCAAAATTCAATAAAACATGTTTCGACCAGATTTTAACAAATTTGCTTCAAGCAAAAACACCAAGAAATATAAAATAAAACTAACAAAAAACATGTTCAATCCATATTTAAATGCAAAAAAAAAATTTTTTAAAAATTAATAAAACATATTCTATCCATATTTTTAACTATTTACTATATGCAAAAAAAAAATCAATAAAATATGTTCTGCCCATATTGGCTGTATGCAAAAGTTTTATAAAACATGTTACATCTAGATTTATACACATTTTTGATTCAACAATGTTTTAATGTCTTTAACTATGAAAGTTTCTGTCATTAAATGCAACAAAGTAAAACTTGGTTTTCTCCCTATGAAATACTATGTACATAAAAAAACTACTGTAACAATGTAAAGGTAATTTACCACGATGATGTTTTGTAGTGTAGTGTCAACTTTTTCAAATTTTATCTCATTTTTTGCAAAACCCTTAAAATGTTGGGGTTTTTTTCCCCCCAGATAATAAATGTTTTGTAGGATAGGGAGCAAAGACACCTTGTATGACACTACAAATTTCTTAACAAATATAAACATAGAATGAATGCACCCAAACATATTAATAAATACATCACCAACAAAAATATTGCACTTTTTCAAGTTCATAAATGCTACTTACACATATAAGATGTATAATAATTATACAATTAAAAAAATATTTAAAAAAAATCAATAACAAAACTATGAGTGTACATAATATTAGATACAAGTACATTAAGATTACTATCATTATTTACATGAACTAAGGCACTGAAAATGTTGAACCGAACAAAGATGTATAAATCCGTAGGATTATAAACTGTTTAAAACTCTATTGTCAAAATACATGAGTGTCATTAGAGTTTTTAACATAAAGGAATACAAAACTTTCTTCTCCTACAAAAAATGAATGATTTGGCTTATAATAAACAAATCTTCTATATGTTGTTTCACACTAAAATCACATCTTAAATATCTCAAATTGTAAAACAGACTTCAAGGTCCCACACTGTTTGTTCTATTCACATTAAAGGGACTATTGAATTAATTATTCACTTTAAGGAAATGTTTGTTTACCATTGACTTTGTCATACAGCATTATGGAGAAAGATTGGGCAAGTGGTTTAAATTGGGCTTGAGAGGTTGGGAGTGTAATCAGCTTGAAGCTCCAGGTCTGAGTTCGAAATCATACCCTATATATGAACATTAAATGATATTTATGAGCAACTAGTTTCAAATGAAAGTATATGTTCAGAAAAACTCTTCCGAATTAACAGGTCATTGACACATCATGTTTCTATTTCTTTTCAGTTTTCTTTCTTCCATGACAGCAGTCACGGAAATGGTCCGTATGTTTGGAAGTATCAGAATTCACCGAGCTGATACTGCCCCTTTTAGTGCCATGTTTGACCTTGATCTTATCCTCTTTTGATGCAGACAAATCCTGTTTGCTCACTTTTCTACCACTCACTGACACAGATGAATCTGTTGATGATCTAGGTCCCTTAGAAGCATGACTAGTCATACTTGTTTTCTCAATTTTCCTTTGTTTTTCAGTTGGACTTAGTTGGGACGATGAACCCTTCACTTGCTTACTTACAGCTGACTTCACAACTGATGGTGTTGATTTCTCTTTCTTTAATTTTTCATCTTTAGTATTCGATACTGGAGAGGTCTTTGTTTTTATCACTGACTGTTCTTTAACTTTAAGTGCTGAAGATTTCCTTAAACCTTGCACAGGAGACACTGTAGGAAGTCCACCTGAAGTCTGACCTAATTGTCTTTTGCTTGAAGACGATTTATTTACAGGGGGTGTCACTGATCTCACTTTTCTTAAGATTTCTTTACACTCCTCTTCTGCAACAGGTTTAATCTCATGTGATGTAACAAGAATTGTAGGACTTGATTCAGTCTGATGTATCTTTGATGGTTTGGACCCTGATGAAGGATCGGCTTCTGATGCAGAGTTTGGTCTGTATGCTTTTCTACTGTGGTCTGGAATACTAATTGAATGAGACTTGTAGCTTAGTAAGGTCACGGGACTTTTCCTCCCTATTGATTTCAATTTGGCAGCAGACGTTAGCAAAGCAGATCGTACAGTGGCTGCTGGAGTTCTTGATCTCGACTTTTCTGAAGCACTTTCTTTTAAAGATATTTTACTTTTTTCTCTAGAACTACTCTCACCAGTGGGTTGTTTTGATTTTTCCTTAGAACTTTTAGAAACTTTGTCTGACTTTGGAGAGCTCTTAACTTCCAAATGTCCATTTATTTCACCACTTTTAGACTTTTTCAACTTTGCACCTTTCTCTTTATCAGGAGAGAAAATGTTTCCTTTTGATTTTTTGCCAGTTTTAGTTTTTACTGACTGATCTTTCACAGCAATATCTTGTGTTTCTAGAGTTGTAGTTTCATGATAAACATCATCAAGAATATCTGTCTCAGGTATTGTTGGGTCTTCTAGGGACTCATTTATTTTTGATGCATCAAATCCATCTGCTGAACTCATAACCAAGTACTTCACTGCATTGTCACCAGCAATGCTTTCAATGCTGGTTGGAGTATGACTTGTAGTTGCTACACTCTCACATATTGGAACTGTTAAGGCTTCAGTTTTTCTAGCTTTTTCATGTACACCATCTTCTATGATATTCTTTTCAGCATTAACCTTGGCTTTTTCACTGTCTAAATTTCTCGATAACTCTTTGTTATTTTGGTCTAAAGTATTAGGGGCAGTATCAGATTCTTCGATGCATAAATGTTTTCTGCGGAGCATTGGGGAAGTCATACTGGACCTTTGAGGAAAAGGTTTAGACCTTTCAAGATCAAAACTTGTACATTTTGTTAGAAGTTTAGGAGATTTTGCGACCTGACTAGATTTTGAACTATCAACAGATGCAGTATCTGAGACATTAGTATCAAGTTCTGCATGCTGCGAGGCCTGGGGCCATGATACCCTAGAACCCTGTATACCATTTTGAGGGGATGGTGGATATGAAGAGGTTTTGCTAGTTTGGGTGGTTCTTCTATAAACTTGTGGGGACCTTGAGTCTAAAATGCTAGTGAACATACTTTCTCCTTTTGGTACCCAACTATTAATAGGAGGAAGTTGGAACACTCTATGTTGATTGGCTGATGGACTTAGATCAGATTCGCTAGTGGGTATATCTGTATCTGAGGCACTGTCGGTAAATTCAAGGACGGAGTCTTCAATCTTTATTGTAGGCGGGGAAGAGATGGCAGATCTAATGGAGAGATTTGGTGAACTGGCTGGCGATCTAAGTGACACTGTCTTATGTCGTGTGGTGAGAGGTGGAGTCATGAAATGATGATTCCCCGCCTTTTTTCTTACAGCTCCACCTCGAGATCCTGTCAAATAGAAAGCATTTATTCAATACAAGGTTTACACATTCTGCTTTTGAAAATAATACTGAAACTTAATCTTTTTTCTACAACAAAAGAAGATTAAAAAAAACAAACAACTACTAGTATGTTTTCTTATTTCTAATTGATTCTAATTTAATAATAAAATAATTCTTCAAACATCAACATAGAGCTACTTAAAGTGAATTAACATTAGAAAAATAATTTTTTACACAAACATAAATCAGAAACAAGACTCATAACAAAATTAACAACAACTAAACAGAACAACACACAACTACATGGTAAAATAACATTCAAAACTGTTCTAGAGATATTATAATTACTTAATTAAATGAGTTTTCAGGGCTAAGTGTAGACATAAATGATGAAGATTTATTCATTTTCATACAACATCAAGAATGACAGAAAAAGTACTGAGAAATTAAATAATATATCCCATTTAATAAAATATGTACAATGTGTGCAAATAGTAGTTTTTATCTGCAGAACTTAAAAGGTACTAAGTCCATATAAGCAGAGTTGGAAAAAAAGAGACTAGACAACCTATAAATTAGCTTTCATGGTTTTAAAAAACACTGACACTATTATGGACATACAGTTTGTATAATAATTATGTGTCATATGGCGACTTTCCACGTTTACTGGTGGACGGCAACCTCAGGTGCTCCTTTGTGAATTGTTTCATGTACAACCTGGCACCTGAATTCAGAAATGACCCAGCATTTGAGTAGAACCACCAACCTTCCATAAGCTAGCTGGATAACTTGGTCATAATGAAAGAATCCAAAGTCCGAGTGTAATTGGACTTGAAATTTAAGTGGTCAAGGGAACAAGTGCTTTTATGTCAGCAACTTTAACCACTTGACTCTATATATACTTTTGAATGGTGGCCTGATGAGAATTACCAAGTACCACTTAGTATGTTAAATATTGCTTTATAAAAATAAAATAACCTCTTGTCTGTGTTACAAAAACAGAAAATATAAAAAATACATCTTGTGTAGATCAGGTTGGAGAATTCAATATCGTTTAATGATTTTTAGCAAGGAAAATGTAATAATGTGTTATCATTGATAATCATAAGAAAATACCTGTTTAGAAATTTACAAACACCAAAGAATGTCACAGATTCATGTACAAAATACAATAACAGATATAGAATACAAAGATAAGCATTGTTTGTACACCATAAAGACAGAAACCTCAAAGCATGGCTCAAGTCAAGGGAAAGCAGTTCAAGATACAAGCCAGAGCTGTTATAAAAGCTTTCTGGAAGAGAAGTTTATAGATATAGGGTAATGCCTTTGTAAATTGTATCTTACAGCTATAATATTCACACTGATAAAAGACTGGTTGTAGGCTAAAACAACTTCATTTTTTTAATTTGCATAATGTACTGGTAAAAACTACAAGTTTGAAACAGTCAATTGCTGAATATGAGGAATTTTGGTAAGAAAATGTTAAATTTAAGTAGCCAACAGAATAAGACTCTAAAGTGACACTGCACCTCTTAGGTGGAACTGCACAAAAGTCCAGGCCAGGATGGCTTTATACTGGCTGTACAGGAAATTCATGATCACAACTATCATAGCAAGGTATTAAGTTTAATGTATGCATTTTAAGTCCTGATTTCTGAGCAATTTCTATTTGATGTTACTTTGTCGTTTTGTTTTTGGCTGTTTTTTGGCTGTTTTTTTTTTTTGTTAAATCAAAAAAATTTGTCATCAAGGACAAGCTCAAAATAAAAACTAATTGAACTTGACTTTCATGTTAAGAAACTGAAGCAAATTGCCCTAAAATGTCTAAATTAAGAAAGTAGACAAAAATTTCACAAAGTGTTATCATTTTTTATAATTTTTTTTTTTTTATGAAAAAGAATATTTTCCAAATGATTTTTAACCATATTTCTCTCCTTAAAATGATATCTGAATAATTTTGATTGTAATTCTTGTAGTACCATGTCACAAAAACAATACCTTTGGTATGTGACTGGATATAACTATCATTTTTTTCAACACATACACATCTGAATCATTTTATTTCCAACAAAATAATTATATACAAGAAGCGCCGCAATGCGACGAAAACCAGGCCGACTTCGGCATTACAATAACCCGGTTTTCGTTGAAAACCTGGTTAAAATGATACTACAGTTAAAATAGTCATTTCATCACATATTTACAAAGGCATTTTAATACCCTGAAGCAACAATATTCAACTACCCTTTCTTGTTCTTTCTTATTTCATTGTCAGTTGTTAAATAAAGATCTCTCCATTGCTGATGCGAGGATAATGTTCATATCAGCATGTTAAAATTAACTTGTCAACAGTATAGAGCCTAGTCAGGCTGCAAGGATATGCCAGTTGACTACAGGCTAACTTGGCTATATACTGGCGACATAGGCTGCTAGGGAAGGTTACATAGACAAGGCTTTAATGCCACAAGCTTTTCAAGGTTTAACATGAAAGGGTAGTGTTTCAAAAAGCATACTGTGCCCAGTGACAATCTGTTAGTGAAAATAATTCAATTGACTGTAGTTCAATACAATACATTTATAAAAAGGTACATTGACATTAACAAAGAATAATTGCCTTTTGCATTTTGGAATACGAAACTTAAAACAGAATCAAACATTAAGTAAATAGTACTAAATTATAATTTTTTGTCTTCATGACATTTGAAAGAAAATTTTTACAAAGAAACAAATAATATCATTTGAAATTGTCACTGGTCATCTTGAAAGGACGAAAGAGCCCAACTCGGCTTAAAAGTTTCCTGTTCCAATATATACAAAAGTTTTATATTGAAAATACTTCATCTGTACTAAAAATCTTTGCTAAAATTATCAAAATTAAAATCAGCTCTTTCTTAAACAGAAAGTCCAGATCAAATACTGAAATTGTTTAATCTGAATAATTAACATCAGTGTAAAAGTTCAAAATAACACATCTCAAGGATAATAACACATCTCAAGGATGGAACTTTTAAGAAGAGATTTTGGTGAGTATATAATAACAATTGATTAAGTGGGCTTAATGGATTTCTGTTCAAATTCACAGATATCGTACAATAAGAAGTTACGACTACTGCAAATTAAGCCCACAAAAAAAATTACAAACAGCATGCAAAAAAAGAATCGTGCACATGCATCCACCACCACGATTATTGCCAATACCAAATAAAGGTGAGCATCTACCACCAAATCTTACCTACTAGAGGTCACCCTATTTCTTTACACCTACAATAGTGAGCGGGGAGGTTATATGTCTATGTCAGTGTTTCAGCCGCCGTTTGCATATATAACTATATTATTATATTCTTTGCCATACTACAAGCATTTTGTATCAAAATGCATCGTTCCATTACAAAGTGAACGCATTTCACGTCCCCCTTACATCATTCATTCTCAAAAGAAACCCTGATAGCATATTTCGTCAAATGTTAAGAGGCTATAAAAGTAAAAAATTTACAGTTTAGAGAAAAAAGGATAAGTAACTTTTGTATCAAACATAGCTGTTTATGATAGCTTTCATTAAATATTTCTTACTTCTGAAAAAAAAATCAAGCTTAATTTCTTCTCTATATCTAAATATTATATATAAAACCTAAAATGAACCCCATTCATGTAATTCAAAGTCTACTTTCTGTTTAAAAAATAACTTTAAAAGTTATCTTGCTTTTATTATTTTTAACACATAAAAGACTCAAAATTTGCATGCAAATAAGAAATAAATTGAAGACACTGACAAATAAAACAAAACAAAAGGTTTTCCGATTCTTTAGTCTAAGCTCATAACAAAGACTCTTCAAGACATAAAAATATTAGTGTAAATTCTACTACTAAAACTTCAAACACTATCATGGCAACTGTTAATATAGTTACTTTAGTAGTCAGCATTCAATGCTTCTAAAGTTCTTAGAAAAGTAAAACTTTAATAATAATCTAAATTCTAATTTTGAAATGATTATTTATCTAAAAATCTTGTACCTTAGTCCATTAAGATATTTAAAATTCAAATACAACTTCATAACTATCTGGAATTTAACTACAACTTCATTATTATCTAAAATTCAAATACAACTTCGTTATAGTACAACTTCATTATCATCTTAAATTCCATTATAATATAAAATTCAAGTACAACTTCAGTAAAATCTAAAATTCAAGTACAAATTCATTATTATTATCTAAAATTCAAGTAAAACTTCAATATCATACAACTTCATTACAATCTAAAATTCAAACACAACTTCAATATCATCTAAAATTCAAGTACAACTTCTTTATTATCTAAGATTCAAGTACAATTTCATTATTATCTAAGATTCAAATACAAGTTCAGAACAGAATATTATTTTGTAAACTGATGAATAATAAATTTTAATTTCTACAATAAGCATAAGATTGAAATGGAGGACTACAATATCATAATCAAATACACTGAGATCAGTAAAGAAAACATTTTCTTCAAGATGTAGTTAATTCTCGAATAAGCAAAAAAATAAGAAATCAATTCCAGTCACTGTCTCACCTACAATGCTATGAAGTAGAATTTAGAGTAAAACTAATGTACCTTCAATTACAAAATAAACTGAGAATATCTGCAACATAAATAAATCTGAAATATTCTGTAAATTCAAAAATCTGTTAACTTTTGTTAGATAAAAGAATTGCAGTTTTTTTTGTACGCTAAACAGCAAAGAAGGTTAATTTAGTACACTTCATCCGTGGCTATACATAAAAGACTTATCACACAAAAGTCAAGATAAACAGGAAATATATTATAACTAAATCTGCTCACCTTCATACCAGTGTTCAAATAACCCATCAAGTCTTTAAAATGACTCCTGACACTACACAGGTACATGCCACAATAAAGCTGATCATATACTTATATGTACAGGACAATATGCAATGTGACTTGTACATAATTATATTCTAGAGCAGAAGAACAAATAGTGGTCTTACTATCGGGACCTA